AGTGGCCGCGACGTCACCTCGTCCCGCGGATTGCGCTCCTGCCTCCGCCTGCCTAAATCAAGTCCCTCAACCGAGTACACACAACGAAGAAAGTCCGACAATTTTATTTAGCATAGTTTTATCTATTGTAATAGAGGACCCAATTCAACAACCAACATTTTCTGCCACGCAGGATTGCACTCAACCCCAATCCTCATCAATTCAAGTACATTTCTGAAAAAAATCGTTTAGAATGCACAATTTGTCATATGCAAGGACACATCAAAGGTGCGAGAGGATCGCTGGGTACACGTTGCCGTCGAAGCGACCGAGCGCCGAGCGCAAGACCACATCGTGCAAGTTGAACGCGTCGACAAGCAGCACGGCGTCCGGGCGCAGCTCCTTGCACAACTCCAAGACAGCGCCGCGTACGGTGGCATACTGCGTCGGCGACAGAAACCCTTCGGCGAGAAAGAACGCGCCGCTTTTTTCGACTTCGGAGAGCACAAAAAGTGACGCGAGGCGCGTCAGCACACGAGCGAGCGACGAGCCTACACGACGCCACGTCATGATTCGGAATCCGAGCCTGCCGAATGGCATACCCGCGTCGGTCAAATGGACAATATTGTCCAAAAACCGCATGGCGACCGCATGGAAGACGTGAACGCGCGCCACGTCCATCCACTCGACTTGACACGGGAAGCGGTCCGACGTGGTGCGAGCTACAGTCCACAAGCAAATCACAAAATCACAAAAAAATCGATTTTTCAGAGGATCGATCCGCGTACCATGGCGCCAGAGGTCGTACACGCGTTGGGCCTTGGTCGCCGCATAAAAATCAAGCAGCGAGCGTAGCGCCGGCACCGTCTGCATGCTTTGCACGGTGGTAGGCGCCCACGACATCGTCTTTGGTGCGGTCAAGTAGGCCAGACTCGGACGGCCTTGGCAGTAGGCGTCGTATGCGCGACAGACATACGCACCTGTCTGCTGGGCCATGACCGTGTTGTCGCCTTCGAACGTCACCATGACGCTAAAGTCGGCGACCATTTCGCCCAGCCCACTCACGCCCAAGTAGCCGTTGCCGCCGCAGCACTGCCGGCAGCTCTCGATCGCTGCGAGCGTGTCCCACGTGCAAAAGGCCTTGAGCCCTGCCATCGTGCCGTGCACTTCGGCCAGTGCACTGTCGTCGCCCCCTACGACACACCGCGATTCGGATATCGTGCACTTGAAACATTGATACCGTGGTCGATCGAGTCGATGAGCGATTCAATGTACGTGGCTTGAAAGTGGTAGGCGTACGCAGTTGCAATCAGTGGCAGAAGCCGTCGCTGGTGGCTCGGGTAGTCGAGGAGGGTGGTCTCGGACATTGCACCCGCCGCGACGCCTTGGGTGCGCACGGCGCCGTAGCGCACGCTGATGGTCAGCGCCTTCTTGAGCATGCTGATCGAGAGCATGACGAGCTCGCCGCGCGTCGCAATGAGCGCGGTCGAGGGCTTGGCCGTCGTCGCCGGCACCGCAATGTACTCGTTGTCCTTGGAGATGGACGCGAATCGCGACAAAAAGTGGTCGTACGGGACTCGCACGCGACGAAATTGGATCCATCCATTGTCGACGCCTACGCCTGGGATGACGCGCCGCCATCGCATGGGCCAAGGTACCGTTGAGACCCATCTTGACGCCGCAGTCGCCGAGGAGGACGCCGGGCAGTGGCGCGTGCGGCGGATCGAGGCTGCGCACCGGTGCGACGAAGACATGCAGGCCTTTCTTGACACCGTTTAAAACGAGCTGCGCGTAGACGGCGGCGTGCGTCGCCGACTCGCCTGCGGCGCTACATGCCTCGTCAGCGATCGCAGCGACAATGCACGACATACCCAATCATCCATTTGGTCGCAGTGACCACCGGCGTGTCGAGGATAAACTCGCGCGTGCGCGGGTCAAAGGTCGCAGTGGTCTCGAGGGCGGCGACGGCGCTGCCTAACTGACAAGATCGCAGTGGTATCGAGTACAAGAGCGCGTACCGTGGCCAAGTTCGGTCATGGCAAAGCAGCCGTAGATCTCCCGCATGAGCACTTTGGGCAGCCACTCGTTTTGCTGGTCCTTGTTGCCTTGGGACGTGATCGCTGAGAGGAAGAGACCGAAGTGGACGCCGTTGCGGATGTACCAGCCCATGTCATAGAGGCTGAACGCGCGCACCATGGCCTTGCGCATGAGGACGTCCATGCTCCCGTGCTCGAGGAAGAGGTCGTAGAACGTGTCGACGTGCGCTAACGTCTGCGCCCGCGCCTCCGCGAGCGACGACGGCGTCGGCTCCTGCATGCCAGCGAGAAGGCCCATGGCGCGGTCATGGAGCTCGGTCGCGCGCGCGCCGCCGTCGAGGAAGTGCGTCATGGCCGTGACATTGACGCTGCCGCGCCGGCGCTCGGCGTCCAGTGCCGAGACAAAGCTACTCGTTGCGGCTGCCATCGAATTCCGAAGTGGCCTCGGACCAGACCCGTTCGAAAAATGACGTGGCGCGCTGTGGGACGAGCATATCCGGATCAAGGGCGAGATGGCCCCGAACGTGAAATTGATGACGGATCGCTGCATGTAGCCAAGGCGTGGTACTGTCCGAGCGCAACGTCAACGTCATCGGTGCGTCGTAGAGCTGCTCGGACGGCAGCTACATGCTTGCAGTGTCCACAGCTTGCCACGAAGGCTTTTGCACGAGGGCTTTGGGTGGTGGTGATGTGCTGCAGCAGAGAGATGATCATATTTCGGCTTGGTCAAGTGCGATGGTCATTTCTGGTGGTATATCGCTCTACAGAAACAAACAAAAGATCGAGAGTACTTGTCTGTCGTCAACACGGGTCAAGATATTCATTCCCTTGGTTGACACCCACGTCCTTCTTATTTATGGCATATGCCACATCAAAAACTAAAAAAGGCAAATGCCACAAAATAGTTTTCGAGACGCATGCGCTGTAGCTCTCGCACTTCCGCCTCGATGTCGACACATCGTACGCTCCTAGCATAACGCTGCGCGTGCTTGAATACAAGGTTGCATGTCCTTGAAGAACGCGATGCGTTTTACCAATTTTTGCATTTGAAAATTGAGCTGCTGTCGAAGCCGGGGACTGTTGTTTTGAGCAATGATGTAACAGCTTTACTTCACACGGTCTTTGTGGCTCGTTACTTCTGTTGCTGACAGGCATTTCAGCAAGTATCGGTCGCTTGTGCACAGCTAACAGTAGCGTTTGTTATCCCTGTTGGCCGCGGCCAATATCATATCAAGTTTGTATCAAGTGCAACCACCTTCACCAACGAGAGGCAGCGGCGAAAGGTCGCAACGAAAGCGCGTTTCGCACCCTTGACCCCGCCAATGACATTTCGACAAAGCACTTTTGACACAACGATCTCGTTTTCACACAGTATTTGGCAAGGACTCGGGGCTACGCTTCAACTTTTGTGTCGAGGTGCACGACATCACATCCACGCGCCGTCGTAACAATCAGTGTTGTCACCTCGAAAGGCCCCTTTGCTCTGCGAATAGTGCACCGAGAAAGGACTCATACTTAAAAGAATCACATCAAACTGCAATCCTGTATGCGTCAAACGAGCCAAAGTGCTGTGCTTGGCTAGAAGTACTTGTGGATTGTACTTGATCGACACCTCACTTGCAGTCAATGGTCCTCGGCACACCGCCCCGTGACGGGGATGCATTTGGTATCCTTGTGGCGGTCCTCCAGACGACACTGTGAAGCTGGCAGCTATTCTGGCAACGAGAGCATAGGCTAAGCCACCTCTGCAGCTAGAGCAGGCGCCGAATCCTATCGTTGTAGTACGCGCTAGAGGGCTCGCGGCGACGGACCACTCTGATGACCCTGATGAAGGCGGCCTGTCGGCAGCGAAAGTCGCGTGATGACGGGCCGACTAGAATTTCTGCAGCGAGTCGACTGGCGCATCGACAATCTCCGACCAAGCAGCTCGAACGAAGGCGACGCATGTTCAAAACGGTACGACTCGGATCCAAACAAGGCACCCTGGATATGAGACTCGAAGTCGCACCGGCACATGGACCGCGCAGGTCGTCGCACAAGCACATGCGCTTGAACTGTCTTGGCGCATACACGCCACGAACGAACATAGGTCCAGATCAAGGATCCAGTCGGTGACGCGAGCGTAACTATATTAGTACCAACGACGCCACGTGTGTCCCGAGACAGCTCCACGACGAACGACGAAAACGTCGCCGCTCGATTCAACATGTACCTACGATGCGTCATCGTCTTCCTACTCCTGGCGCTGCCGACGAACTGCGGCGGCCAGCAACCGGCGACAGCGATTCGCTATTCCGTACCGGTACCCGCGACTTGCGTGGCATCGTGGTCGCGTCCCACTCTCTCCTGCCCTGTCTACGCCCGGAGCGAAATAAAATGTAAATTCTAAAAAAATAATAAAAAGTGCAATCTGATACAAATGCGCCGTAATAAGTGCAATGTCGCGCCGGCGGAGTCGACGATTTGCAAGTATGCCCACAGACCAGCCGCTAGGCACCGTGCACTGGTCGGACCTCAAGCGCGGCGACGAGTGGGTCGACGACAGCGCGCGCGCATCCTGCTACACCTGCGACCGCAAGTTCACACCGTTCCGCCGCCGCCACCACTGCCGCATGGTAATGCAACATCCTCCTCCTCGACGCCATCTCATCATCGGCGTAGTGCGGCGAAGTGGTCTGCGCCGCGTGCACGGGCTTTGTCAACATGGTGCCGGCGGGCGGCCCGCCGCGTTCGATCCGCATTTGCACCGGTTGCATCCTCAAGAACCGGACGCGGTATGCGACCGACCGCCCCGCGCACCACCGCAGCGCGACCACGCCCGTGACGCGTCCGTTGGCCGCCATGGCCATCTCGGCACCGGGCAAGCGGTCGCAGCGCCACCGCGGACCCACGTCTTCACAGGCGACGATGCTCATGCAGTCGGACCGACCGCGCGTCTCGGATGCGTCGAGCGACGTCGGCACGTCGGGCGACTGGGACGACGGCGACGGGATGCTTCATTTTAGCGCATCGAGCATCAGTGACGCGATCGCAACGCTGCCGCCGCCGCCGGTGCCAATCAACGAAGCCGCGCGACTCGCCGCGTTGCACAAGTTTCAGATTCTCGACACGCCGCCCGAGCGTGCGTACCAAGCGATTTCGGACCTCCTCGCCAAAGGCTACAACTGCCCGTACGCTGGCGTGAGCTTTGTCGACGCCGACCGGATCTGGTACAAGGCCGTGACCGGGGTCCACGTCGACGCGCTGCCGCGGGCCGTCTCGTTCTGTAGCCACGCCATCATGAGCATGCAGCCGACGATCATCCTCGATGCGTCGACGGATATCCGTGTTCAACACAACCCGCTCGTGACCAGCGACATCCACATTCAGTTTTACGCTGCCGCACCGATCGTCGCGGACGGCCAGCACGTCATTGGCACCGTCTTTGTGTTCGATACCAAGCCGCACAAGGCCATGATCGCCGAAGCGTACCTCACGAGCATGGCCACGATGGTGCGCAAGCAGCTCGAAGCGCGCATCCAGCAAGCGCCGCGCGTGATTGTCTCGGGGCCGGTGGTCGCCGCGGTGGCACCAACGGCGCTTGTCGCACCACCGGCGTGGCGTGGCCAAGACGCGACGCCCAACGAAATGCACTCGATGCTGGCGACGCTGCTGGACCGCACCAAGGACGTCCAGGCGCAGCTTGCTTCGCAGCGAGCAAGCCAGCCCTAGTACGTTAAATCTATATATTCGATAGAGTGAGAAGGCGAGTTCTCTTGTGGTTCTATGGTGCTTTTGACAAGCTAGCTGCGAGCGAGTTGCGAGACGACCCTACCCGATATTCACCGCACTTGAAATAATTCAACTTATCAAGTGAGACGTGCTCGAATCCAACGCCTCTGCAACAAACGATTGTTGACATTCGAATAAAATCTTTTGCAGCGATTGACGGTGACACTTATGCAACTTGAAGACGCAACCACCAACCCTAACCCTATAAGATTGAAAAGGCGAGAAATCACATTAAATAATCCATGTGTATGGTAGAATTTATCGCTTCTTTTTCCTCTCGTGCTTGGACGAAGGCGCGAGCGTTGCGCCCCGCGGCAGCTCCCACGCCGACTCGCCCGTGTGAACGTTGTGGTAAAAATGCCGCTTCTCGGCCGGATCGTAGAGCTAGCCCATGCGTGCAAACCTGGGAAATGTAGTCACGCGTACCTTGTCCCACGCATAGCTCGTCTCGACGGGCGTAGCTGGCTTGGTTTTACCGCCTTTCACTTTAGCGCCCTTGGCCGTGACGTCCTTGGTCGCTGTGTCGGAAGGCCCAAACCCCGCAATGAAATCGGCAAACTGGTAGCCATATTGCTTGACTACACTCTTCCGCACCGCAATCTTGTCGACCTCGGGCAGCGAGTGCGTCGAGAGGCCCGTCACGAGCCGCGTGTACTCGGCAGCAAACGCGTCTGGTCCCAAAAGCACTTGGCCGTCGAGCTCCATCTGCTTGAGATGGATGGCGGCCATGAGGTTGTGCGCCGTGACGAGCCATGCGTCGGCCGCATTCGCATAGCCTTCGATAGCCGTTGCAATCTCGTAATGGAGCCGTTCGTCGTCTGGGAGACACGTTCTCGGCGCATTGGAACGTGGCGTCGACGTGACATCGTCCGTGTCTTGCACGAGCGGCACCTCGGCGAGCGGCGGCGGCGGCACCTCGTCCTTAGCGGGCTGATACGAGGCCTCGCGCGTGGCGAGGAGCCTATGCTAGCCGTGCAGACATTGTGCACACGAAGGGAATGTCTACCACGACGATGGAAGCACCTTGGCAAGCGGCTTGGGCAGATGGCGCTTGTGTATCTCTGGTTTCGGCTGCAGCGGCGCCGGCGCGCCCAGCTCTAGAATCTCACTCATGCTGAAAAACGTTTGCGTGTGACCACTTGTGATCCAGACACGCCGGTGGTTGACCATGCGGCGCCAAAAGTGCTGCCCGAGAATTCGACGGCGTAGCGTCCGCTGCACCCAGAACGCAGGATACACGATTGCTGCAGAATAGATATGGGACCTTGGCATCGAGGCAACGAAATAGGATGGTTTCTACCTGGAAACCGCTGGATGAAATCGCAGATATGATGGATGCCATGGACAGCAGCAAAGTCGATGGCGCTGGCATCGGTCGTCGAGTAGAGCGAACGGAGCGCCGTCATGAGCTTGGTCTCGTGCGGGTTGAGCGTGCCGATCACGAGCTGCAAGAGGCGCGCGAGCTGTGCTTGGAGACGAAGGCCCGGCCCATACGAATCGTTCCGAGCGATCGCAGCGTCGGCGACCTGGACCAGCTGCAGGTACTCGACGTCCTGGCTTAGAATATCGAGGACCACGGCGTCGGTCTCGGCCGTTGCTACGATATACGCCAGCAGCTACCCAAGGAATCAATCTCATGTAGTAGTCCCAAAGGAAGAGGTACAACCTCCGCTGGCGGCAGCGAGCAAAACGAGTAGAGTGCGCACAAGAGCGGGCTAATCTCGAACCGGTTGGGAAGCTGACGAAAGCTCTGTTTCCGCGGCGGCGGTGGCAAGACGACGTCGGCGAGTCGGCTGCGGCGAAGGCCACAGTACAAGAAGAGGTCTTTGACTGTGATCGCGGACCGGCGCGTCCAGTCGAGCTTGAGAAAGGTCATGAAGAAGCGGTTGCGCTGCCGGCTTGTCATGCGCAGCGCGTCGCCCACGTCGACCAACTGGTCAATCTCGAGCGCGAGCAGCCGGTCGCGGTAGACATCGTTGTGCTGGAGCTGGTCCTTGGCCAGCGCTCGCTCGCGCTGCGCCTCGGGCGAGGCAACGTCCGTGCCTGTGAGGACCGCAAAAATGACGTGGCAGGCGGGCGTGAGCCGCAACACGAGCAAGACCAGTGCGTGGTAGAGCCGCGTCGAAGCTACGTAGGCGTACGCGGCGTGGGCGGCGTCCAGGACCCGCTGCGTCCTGGCATGCAGCGTCGACTCCATCGCATCTGAAACCGTGTGTTAGATAACAGACAACCGGATTAAAAAGCAAAACAAGCGCTTCAGATGCAATATCCGGATATCCGGATTTGGTGTTATTTTGGCCAATCCGAGATGTGTATTTTAATTTGATCGGAAGCGGGCGATGGGGACGACGACGCTCGCGCGGGCGACGGCCGAGGTCGCGGCCGACCTGCGGACGAAGGAGGAAGCGCTCCACGCGCTCGAAGGTACATGGACGCGCTTCCTGCCTCGTCATGGAGGTCGAGGCGATCCAAGACGATGCGAATGATACCACATATGGCAGAGCAACTGGTCCGACTGCAGCTGCGGGTCCTCCGGCTCAAGCCCCCGCTTGTGCATCTTCAGTGCCAGCTCTCAAGTAGCAGTGCCACTCCATGACGAGGACCTGGCATCAAGACGGCTGCGCTACCACCATCGGAACGATCGATGGCTGCGGGTAGCGTTGAGGTACGGTGAATCGCGTTCTGTATGTACTAGTATCTGTGTGATCATGACCACTTCCGTAGACGTCGTTCAGCATGCATGTAGTGGACTACTCACCTGTTATATCGAGGATGCAGTACACGGACGATTGATAACGACCGTCTCTGTCAGCGCTCGGAAGGCGAGGAAGGGCGGGAGACAGCGTCGTGCTGTCCCCACTTGGTCATGGACGACGGTCTCGTGGACTCGTACTGCACCTGCGACGCATGTCTATCTGCCGACTACCAGTGCATTGAAATCCCATGGCCGATGAATCGGCTGCATTGCTATGGCTTCCGGTGCCTCCGCAGACCCATGTTATTTTGGCTGTGCCAATATGCGAAGAGCGCATCGCTTAGCGCCTCGAAGGGGCTGCATCCCGGTTTCTCTCGATGTATCTAACTAGGAAATAGATAGAAGGATGAAGATGCTTTAAGCCTTACTGGAAGCGGTGCATTTGGTCAGCGATTTTCTAAGTTTTCATTGATACCTGTCGGTGATTGCACTCCAGAATGTGCGGGTGGGGTACGGCGTAGGCGTGTATAGAATCCTTCTCGCCGTCGATACGACTTGTGGCTTTGTCATCGCAGTGAACGCGCGTTTAGTCAAGGGAATGCTATCTTGGGGGACGTCTGTGCGTGGGGTGGCACTAAATGTGGCATTCGGTGTCTAGATATGGCATATGCCACAGTGAATTGCGAAGCCGGCAGGGAGCGCTAGACAGCGCCAACGTCGACGCGAAATGGAGTTTTAAGCTCTCCAGAGTGTCCTCTATCACCGAGCCAAGTATGGGCGACTTCGTTGAAAACTCGAGTTGGGCGACCGATCGACCTCGGCGACGCTGTGGCGCGGATCGAACGCCGCCGTGTCAGTATTTTAGCCAATCGAAATGGCCAAATTAAATAGTATTCAGCGGCCAATCCAAATCCAATAATCAATTGATTTCAGCCAATCATCAGTACGCAATCTGGAAGCAGCCTCTCCGCTATCTTGCACATTTCCCGACATCCGACGTCCGGTTGCCATGATGAGGTGCTTCCGATACGTGTCGGTGAACATAGCGCCGCTGCAGCATGCGTGACCAGCGACTGTGTCGGTGTGAAGGCGGCAGCCCAGGCCAATGGTATCGACGGCCTTGCGGGCACGTTGGGCACGCGACTGCCCATGAGATGATGCACACCTGCTCGCTCGCGACATCTGTGACGAGGCTACGAGCGATATCATCGGCGAGCGCGCGTGCAGCAATGGACGCATGTCATCCTACGCCCGCTCGTCGTCTACGAATCGCACGCTCGTGTCGCCGCCTCAACTGTCCTTAGCACCGCTACGAGCATCTCGGTCGTGCGACTCTCGTCTCGGCAGCGATGGTACCGAGCTTGCGTGCGGCTCCTCGTGCGTCGCGCGCTGCAGTTATGCTCATCGCCATGGTGGGCCCTCGCCGCAACGTCGTCCTCCACCGCCGACGGCAGAACGCTCTGCTGCATTCACATACGAGTAGTTGAACATGGATTTACTATCACAGACGCGTTCGCGTAGTATACATCTCGTCGCCATCGAGTGTGCTTTTGGTGTTGACGAAAATGGTGGTGGTGTAGGCGCAGGTCGAAAGAACCACCGAGGGTCTTGGCGCTGAGAGCGTCTCGCCCGCGATGATCGAAACGTCGTAGATGCCGAGAAAGGTATCAATGCGGCCACAATGAGAAAGCGCAGTGTGGCCGCCTCGTGGTAGTTGCGCGGTATAGGCCGCTTTGTCCTAGACCTGCCCCTTCTTCTCGAGGCATCGAGCTGGCACGCCGCGTCATCGGTTGCAAACTCGAACGAGTCCTTGTCCGAGCCAAGGACGAGGCGCGCCGCGATCAAGACAGCCGGAAACATGATGACCTCAAATGCGATCGTACTGTGCAGCTGCATGACGAGGTACGGGTCAGCGTAAAACGCTGGGTGGCCGAGATTGGCATCCGACCGTTGACACACCCGTGATCGACGTGGCCAAAATGCGCGCTGAGAGGAGCGTCCTCGTCACGAGAAGGATGCGCGTCACGGCCGAGTGCTCGCGTTGGTGCGCGGGACGACCATGTCAGCGCTGTGAAATAGCACGAGGCTGCCAAAGACCGTGTCGAGCTGGATATGAGGAGGTTTGCACAGAGCGCGATACCGTTGCCATGAGCACCGATACCTTTCTTGAGCGCCGGGACGAGGCGACGGTCTCCTTCTCGACGTTCTTGCCCGAGCGCTTGCAGCATGATGCCGGGTCTCATAGATCGCGTGGGCGCGTAGGACACGACGCTTCCACACGTGAAGCGCGCTCTGACGCACGTCGCGCCGAGGTTTGCTGAGGCCTGAGGTTCGCGGCGGGCGGTATAACCACACGGCGTCCCCGCAAGGCCGTCGATAACAGTGGCCAGGGCTGCCGCCTTCGCACCGACGCGGTCGCTGGTCACGCATACTGCAGCGGTGGTATGACTGCCGAGACGTCGCGGAAGCGCCTCATCATGGCACGGCAATCGGACGTCGGGAAATGTGCAAGATGGCAGAAAGGCTGCTTCCAGAATGCGTACTGATGATTGGATGAAATCAATTGATTACTAGTTTTGGATTGGCTGCTGATTAATCGGCGGCGTGCGCCACCGCCGCCGAGGTGGATCGGTCGCCCAACTCGAGTTTTTAATGAAGTCGCCCATACTTGGCTCGGTGAAAGAGGACACTCTGGAGAGCTTAAAACACCATGTCGCGTCGACGTTGGCGCTGTCTAGCGCTCCCTGCCGGCTTTGCAATTCATTGTGGCATATGCCATATCAAGACTCCGAATGCCACATTTAGGGCCGCACCGACACCGTGTCGGTGCGCTGCCAGCGGTCTCGGCCTGGCTGCCGTGTGCGAGGACCAGGGCGTCATGCGCGACGTGCTTGAGGTTGGAGCCATCGAGCTCAATGCCGCGAGATTTCGCGTGTGCTCAATTCATGATGTGGCGCGCGCGCAGCTTCTTCTGCCACAGCGCGGGTGGTATCCGGAAACGTGTCCGGATACGTGGACTCTGACGTGGCCACAAGAGAACGAGACAACGAGCGAGATCATCGCTCGCACGTCTCGCGCCATCACTCGAGGTTGTCGCTGTCGGCGTTCATCTTGGCGCTTCAACTCTACAACGCACAGGGCAAAGACGCTTGGCTCGAGTGCAATGTCTTTCTACCGCTGCGGCGCGACTGGCTGCACCGACGCCAGCAGCCAACACCGTGCTGGAGCGACGACTCCTCGAGCCTCTTCTGCGCATGTAGACGCCTGCGCCAAGATACTAGCGCCAGCAATAGGCGAATGCGACGCTGCTCAAAATGTTACTGAAACACTGTACCATTGGTCGGGCTTGCAGCGGCATCAGTCCTCGACAACGTAGATCGAATCATTCGCAGGCTGCATGACGACACGGCGCTACTTGTAGTCAAACCGCTTGACGCCGTGAACCTATCTCCAGTATTACAAGATTGGATGACGAAAATGGACTTCGGCCACACGCAATCCATCGTCCGCAGTCGACAGGACATCCGCTTGCGACCGGCCTGCCGTGCGACGCGATGCGCTTTGGTTGGTTGTTGTAAAGTGTACAGAAGACAGTTGAGTACGACGTCGACACCCTTTACAGGCTGGAAGAGCGCCGCGAGCATCGACGGCTTCTGCTCGAGCGCATTCTTGCCCTCGCCACAGCAAGCTTCGAGGATCGAGCTTGAAACTTTCAATGTATCAAGAGCTCGGTGAACTGTGTTTCACAGTATTTAAACAATGTAAGACAGACCTCAAGTTTAAATAGTGTGCACACCCCACCACCGAAACCACAAGTATCGGTTCATAGACGCACCAGTGCTACGTAGCAGGCATGTGTACCTCTCCATATACTTCTTGTATGATGCTCATGTCGTTTCCGACGCTCAATGCAGCGCAATCACGCGCCAATCCATTTTCATTTTTTGAGGCGGCGACACAAATGTCCAAATACTCAACATGGTATCTCGAGGTTCCACAGCTCAGATGACCCCCATTCTGGCTGCCACAGTTGGCGATGCATCTTGACCCGGGCTGTGACCAGTTTGTTGGGCAGCGCCTTTGGTGAAATTTGGCATGCAATTTTGGTTGAAAATGCGTTGAAATCGCGAAAAATGAGGACGCTATCTCGTGTCATTGTTGTTAATACATGTAAAGAGCGTATGGCATGGGGCCGAGGGCGGCAGTGTGCGCGCAATATGGCTCTCTTGAACACCATACACTATTTTCGTATGCTGGCGACATTGTTGAAATTGCGCACTCGATGAATACGAGTCTACTGCGAGTCTGGCGGTGGAGCTTGGCTTGTCACGTTCCGTAGCCGCTAGGCAAGCTTGGACCAACGTCGCTCAACAGCTTGCGCCCAACAGCGCTGGTACCGTCCAAGCCTGTCACGTGTTCTGCTCCATCCAGTGCGAGGTTGCTCCTTCATGGAATAGGACGACGTCGGAGGCCGTCCCGCGCTCGCGTCGTTGCGAATCTGAGTTGAACCAGGCAGCCTTTCTCGCAATTCAACCAATCACAGCCATCTCTATCAAAATCGGACCAATCAAACGACAGCATGGCATCGCCAAGCTTCATTTCCGATCTTGCGGGATGCACGGCTGGTGGACGCTTGCCGCTCTCCTCGTGGCTTCGGCCCACGCGGCCATCGTCTGGTCCTCTAGCGCCAACATCACAACGATCGTTTATCCCACGTACACGTACCCGGACAACTTGGATCTATCCAAGTCCTTTCCGTTGTCGCTGGCGCGTGGCCAGGATCTGCTACTGCCAATGGGCCCATTGCACCACGCGCTTTTCCCAGAGGCCGAGACCAAGCCGACAGCGCTTGGCTTCTCCATTGCAACGTGCTCGGGCACGGTGCAAGTGTCGCTGCTGCTGGCCGACAACTCGACACAATCGCTCTCGATGCAGGCCTCGCAGTGCTTTACGTTCCTCCAAGAGCCAACGCCGTCGTCGCCGAGCCTCTGCCCGCTCTACTTGGGCGCGGACGAGCTCTATTACAATATCAATCCGCATTCGATCCAAGGCGGTACTGCATTTTTCTTGATTTTTTCAATTTTTCACAAGAGGCTAGTGTTGCTCATGGCCGACGACGACGTCGACGCCATTGCCCACGTCCATATTACGTCATCGCACGTCTTTCCAGGCTACACGTCGTTGCTCGTCGACGACGGCGCGCTCGCCTTTGCACTCCGCATGCAGGACGACAACGTCACGGGTGTTGCCGAGTTTTCGCCGGCCGCGCTCGTCGACCTTGCCGCCGCCACGCACGCGACTTGCGTCAACTGCTCGTACTCGCTGCTTGCTGTGCCGATAGCTGCCAATGCGTCCGTGTCGACCCAAGCATTTGGCTGTCTCGCTTCCACCGCGATCGCATTGCAGCTCGCGCCAAATGGGCCAAGCGACAACAGTCCCAACGTCACCAAGGACGTATCGGCGCTCGGCCGCCTCGTGCCGAGCTCGGGATGGTACACTGTGTACCTTGCGGCGCAGCATGTCGGTCCGTCCCAGACCATGGTATACCCGCCTGTCAAGCTCTACGTTGCACACCCCCCGCTCCATCTTGCAGGTACCGTGGCATATATGCTAACAAGAGAGTGGATGAGGACCATGAATGATGTAGTCTACCTCGGGCTTGGGCTTGGTGTTGCGGGCGTTCTGGCTGCGATCATGCTCGCGCGACGTCGGTACCGCCGTCGCCGTCGCCGTGGCCGGGATGGCACCCACCGCTTGAGCGACGACGAGGTCGACGGGGACCGAGGCGAGTTTGTCGGGCTCCTCTCCAACACCTCGGTCGCCGCTTCCAAACACACGATGCATGCTGCGGACGTTGGCGACGAAGGGTTCGACGACGACGACGACGTACTCGCCCGCTACGACGAGATTGAAGGCCATGTCTAGGGCGTTTGTTGTCGATGCCTTTAGCATGTACTACGTCGTAGCCCTTTCTATCCTGGTTGTACTGCATCGGTTGTTGAACAATTGTACAACTTGTCTATCGAAATATCAACTTAAAACCGTCAAAAATTGAAAAATGAAACCGACGTTGCCTTTCGCGCCTCTTATAGATCTTGTTATTGCGCTGGTCCGTCCGACCGTCGATGAGCAAGACGACCAACGAGACGACGACGGCTGTGAGCCTCGAGGAGAGGGAAGACCAGCACCTCTTTTTCCAGGCGCTTCGGCGCCGGCCCGTCTCCCGCCACCACGACGCGCTTCATGCCCGCGGCGTCGCCCACATCGGCGACGACCGACCGATCCCGACGCCGCCTGCCGTCGACGTGCTCAGTATGAACCGCAATGCGATGATCTGCAAGGCCGTCGTGCTTCTATGGCGCTACCACGTGCGCATGGGCGCGTGGCGGAAATGGACGCTTGTGGCGGCCGCCGAAACCAAGCGTCTGCGCGAACTGCACCTCCGGCAACTGCGCGACGCAGCGATGACACTGCTCCGTCAATCGTCTCTGACGTACGACGTCGACGCGATGGCGACGCTGCTCGAGTGGGTCAAAGAGCTCCATGGCAAGATTTTTCGCGACCTGTCCAGAGACCAGCTGCAAGACATTGTCTCGCACATGAACCTGCGTCCCGTCCTTGCCCACGACTGTTTGTTCCTCGAAGGCGATATTGGCCACGGCTACTACTTGCTGCTCTCGGGCGCAGTGTCGATCTACGTGGGCATGCCGGCAACAACGACCTTGCGCCTCGCCCAATCCCGATTCGAAGCGCTGGAGGCCATCCGCCAGGCCCCGACCTTGCTCGGTACGTACAAATATGACGTTCTTGAGGGCGACGGCTTTGGCGAGGTACTTCCGCCCCTCGAATAGCCGATGTCCCAAGATGGTACTTGTAGGTTGCAATGTTTAGCACCGAGCGCCGCCGCACCGCCTCGGCGTTGGCCAATCGCGCGTGCAATGTTGTCGAGATCCCGAAAGAGGTTAGGTATCAACACATACGACCGCAGTCTCATCGGAAGGCGTGCAGGTGTACGACCGAACGCTTCGAAAAGCGCAGTTGGCAGCCTATCGCAATGCGCAGGCCATGGCCTTTCTGCCGACAGTCGACATGTTCGCCGACTGGGTGCACGCCAAGCTTGTGACGCTGTATGGTCTCCTCGATCGGCGACAAGTGGCCTTTGGCCAGCACCTCTTGACCCAAGACAAGCCGATCCCTGCGATCTACTTCATCTTGTCGGGGCACGTGCACCTCGTGCAGACGTGGATAACACGTGGCAGCGACATCAAGCCCGCAACGACGCTGCCCATCACGGTCGACACGGTCGGCTGCCGCGGTATTCTCGGGATGCAAACGCTGGTCGAGCCGTTGCGAAGACGGAGCAAGTACACCGCGATCGCCGCGTCTGACGCGGTCGAGTGCTTTGCCGTGCCTCTAGTGCACTTGGATGCGTTCCGCGCTCTGCTTCCATCGAGCCACATGGCGCATTTACGAGATTCGTGGCACGCCCTCGACGCCGCACGCGCTGCGCGGTTTGAGCATGCGATCGCTGTCTTGCAAACCAAGACGGCAACGACCCCTATACAACATTTGCCTGCAAAGCCGGAGAGCATCAGGTTGACACCGAAACTACGGTTCGAGCGCGAGAAAGGACCGATGACGCTGCCGACGATGACGTCTCTGGCCGGGAAGAAATTTGTGTTTCACGATTTCGACCTGCTGTCGCATAAAGAGCCGACATACCTCGCATCATCGTCCTTGCCAAAGATGACGCGTGTCGCCAAGCCGCCGCCGCCCAAGGACGAGTGCGCCAAGGTCGCGGCGCTGCATTTGCGCGCGTTGGAAGCGCACGCATGGGACGCGATGCCCATAACGTCGCCGCGAAAAACGGGCGACGTGCGGAGTCCCGAGCGCCCGCCGCTCCCGCCCTTTGAACGCAGCGTGGCGACCACGCGGTTGAAAGCCCGGGCTGTCGCGGCCGAGCACACGTCGTTCACCAAGGCGCGGCGGATCGTCCACGAACCGCTCTTGTCGTTTAAACATGCGTTTTAACGCGCTCAACGAGTGACCGAGCGCGCATTCAAGTTGTGAACGATCTCTCCATTTAACTATTGAACCCGGCTACGGTACTCGAGTCGACCTGAATTCGGACTTGTCGCTCTACAAACCGAGTTGTGTCGCATACGGGGTAGGGTTGGCATGTGGGGTAGGGTTTCACGGCGAACCCGCTTTGGACGTCTTTTTACTCTTAGTATTCTGCCCGCATGGGTCCTTCCGGGCTATATTGAGCCCCACCGAGCGCGTCTCCACTCCGTGGGCTATGCCCTTTTCTAGCAAGCACGCAATGTACTTGGTTAAAAACCAATTCTTGAGCGATGGTTGCTGCCGTTGTTGATACGGCCTCGACGTGGAGTCGGCGTCGCTGAACGAGGCCATGGACGTCGGCATCTGCAAGAGCAGAGACAGACGTTCATTGCTGCTTGGCTACCACTGGTCTTGTCGTCGCAGAAGTATGGTTTTAAAATCTGGTGTGATGATGGAGCCTTGTTGCTAAGTTTAGACGCCTGCATTCTGCGACGAAGCATGCCCGAGTACGTCCGTCGGTGCTGGCGCGGTGCTCACATCTTCTGATGCGCATAGGTCCTGGACACCGACATTCGGGCTCAAGCGCGCCGGTGTCAGCGTGCGCAGGCGCCAGTCGAACGCGATTCCCACACTAGAAACACCCTCCCACGACTGCTCTCTTCTCGGTAGCCACGCGGCGCCTCTCTCGCGCTGCAAGTATCTCGACGTAGATTCAAAAAGCGTGTCGCCTGGTCGGAGGTACCTGCAGCAACAACCACCCAAGCGGTCGCCGAAGCGGCCGCCACCGTTCCTTCCCGGCAGCACTCTCGCACTTAGCGACTGCTTGCGTCCATCGCAATATGAGCGAGTGCATCTCGCCTACAGCGCCAGCATGGTCCTCGCACCGTCGACGCTGCGGCCGTCGACGTCGGCTGTGCATTTGACACCGTCGTCGTCGTCGTCGGCGCTCCGCCCCCAACCGCAACGCATCCTCTCGCGCAAGACGCTCGAGCCCCCCGATTTGCACCCGACGTACTCCGCTCTGTCGTAATTGTGGAGAATATTGTCATGTGTGCGATAGACCGTCCGCGGTGCCGATCGAGGCCAAGCGTCACTTGGCGTTTGGCGGCGGCTACCTCGTCGACAACCAGGTGTTGCCCAGCACGAGTCCGACCAAGCAACGACCGCCGTCGACTGTGCACATGTACTTTATCAGCCCAATCCAAGACGAATTGTAATCGAGCTCAACACCGAGTACACACCCGAGACAATGACAAGTCTTCCACAAAAAATAACCTCAGTCGCTGTCGTCGATGACAATAATGTCGTGCGCGGGCGCAGGGACAGCGGCCAACATTTCTTGTTTGAGAGCGAACTCCGACGGCTCGCTGTGCTGAGACGTGGCAGCCGGCCATTGCGGAGCATACGTCGCCGCCGAATGCGGCTCGAACGCAGGGACTTCGGGCTTGATGAACGGCATCGAACTGTGGACGACGGGCGCCGGCGCGGGGTCTGCCAATGGTGTGGCTTGGACGGCCGGCGCCTCTGCTTGGACGGCCAGTGCCTCTGTCTTGACGACCGCTGTCTCGGCTGGCACGACGGGCGGCTCGGCCGCTATGACCGGTGCCGCACTGTGGTTGGCGTCATCCGTCTCTTCGTCTTCTGTGTCGGCGCCGTCGTCGTGAGTTGCCCCAACGGCGTCCTCGATAGCCTGCGGCTCGTCGACGACCTCGGGTGTGGCTGGCTCCTCGCGCGGCGGCTCGCAGCGACGCATGAGGTCGCGCACGGTGCCAAGGAGCGCAGTCCACTCAGGTAGCGACTCGGTTGCGTGCTGGTGCGCATCGAGCGCCTTCTCAATCGCGCCAAGGGTTCCGAGGGCGTCCTTCTTGTGCGACTCGATGTTGCCGAGGTTCGTGTCCATCTCGAGCACTTGGCGGTCGATGAGCTTGGCGAGCGGCGGGCTCGGCAGCGTCACATCGCGCTTCGTGAGCTTGAGCGCCGGTAGCAGTGCATCGTCGTCGTCGTCGTCATCGTCTCGTTTCCGCTTCAGGCTGTCCTTGCGCGCAAGAAGAACACGCTTCATGTCGGTGTAGTGGGCCCCCATCGACTCCCACTTTTTGATCGACTGCGCGAGGCCTTTGAGCTTGTCGGCTAAGATCGTCACGAGGAGGTAGTCGGCGTTGCCTTGGAGCCCTTGCGTGCACTCGCGGTACGCAGGAATGAAGCGTTTGGACAAGCTGATCGCTCGCAACGTCTAATCAAATGGGTATTTAGCCACACAAAAGAGTGGCGACGAAGGATGTCTACCTTGCGGTGGCGGACTGCATTGTCGATGAGCGCGTTCTTCTGCGCGATTTCGTGCTGGATCGCAGCGACACTGGCTTTGGCCGACGCCATCTTGGCGACCCACTCGTTGTAGATCCGGAGCTCCTTTTGCCACGCGTCGCTCGTCTTGGCTTCGCGAATGTCACACGAGCGCAGTCGCTTCTCCGACAGCGTCTGAAGCGCCGTGACCGTGCGCTGAAAGTGGTACCGGGCCGAGAGAATGCCATGTCGCAGGTTCAAAACGTGCACGAGGCCGTCGACGCCGGGCGAAAAGTGATCGGCGTTCGCATCGTTGTCGCGGGTGCAGGTGGTTGCGACCTTCTTGAGCTAGACACACCACACGGTATACTCCAACATGCCAACTGTCGACAGATAGTTACGTCGTCATCGATGGCGTGCAGCGCCTTGGCCATGTCGAGCGATGCGAGATGCACGAGCACCTCGCCCGTGCTATTGAGCAGCAGCTGCATGCGCTGGTCGTTGGCATTTAGGCGCTTGAGCATCCCGTCGATCTGCGCCAGCAGCGACGTTGCGGTTGCCGGCGGGACGTCGGCGGCAAGGGCGTCGAGGTCGACGACGTCATCGCTGGCGCCGAGCGCCATGAGCGACGAGGACGAGGCCGCGGCTGTCATTTCGATTTCCTTGGTCTCTTCTTCGTCCTTGATGCGCGGGCTGGTCACCGATGACGTCTCAGCGATGGCGGCAGGCTCGGTATCCGCGACCGCCTCGCTGGACACACCACCGTACTGGACAACGACTTGGCGTAGGTCGCGCAGAAGGCTTTGCACCAGCGAGCACTAGGTCGACAGAAAGCAGTGTGAGCGACAGAGGACACGCAGGTGATAGTGTAAGTACGTGGTGGTCGATGCACTTTGTGCAGTAGTACGCTGCTGCTGTCGTCGTCGTCTAGCAAAAGCCACGTCAAAGTACGATCGGAATATGAGAAGAGGAGGGACTGCGTACGTTGTTCTTGTCGACGCACGCCTTGTGGTGGACGGCGGCGCAAGCTTCGCACTTGACGCAGAGGTCGAGCGAGCCGCGGTCGCGCGAGCAGATTGCACACAGCTAAACACATGGTATGAGGCTACGTGCTTATGGCTTGGTTGGATGAAAGGGACCTCGCGTGGGGCCGGCGGCGCCTCGACGACGCGGCTGCGGGCGGGCGGATCGGGCGTGACCTCGGCTGCACGGCTCCGCGCGGCGGACGTCGATGTGGCGGCAGAATGCTTGGGGATGATCTGGTCGCGCAGGTCCTTGAGGCAGTCGCCTGTATCGCTGGCGTAGAGCGAGGCCCAGCCAGGATCGTGCTATGTGCGTGGCCATGCGGTGCCGTCGGACGATCCTAAGACGTACCCGCGTCTTCATGCCCGGGTTGAGCGAGCGCTTCATGGCGACCGCCACCGCCGACGGATTTACAAAGCGCTGGCCTTCAAAGAGCATGCCGCCGTCGGGCAAGAGGTCGGCGTACGCCTTGCTCCGGTAGTAGCTCACGTAGAGCTTCCGCGGCCCTAGACCGGTGCATGAGGTCGGGTCGCCGCTGCGCATGGCGTCTACCTGGCTGGAGTAGCTGGGCGGAGATGAGGGTGCGCATGACGCCCGTGACGTCCGTGCTCTACGCAGAGCGATCGTCGGCGCCAGGTCGTCGTGGCGGCCGTCGTACCATGCTGCCAAGCTGCCGACGCAATTCGAAATGCAATTTCAGAGGTTTTAGCATATGCATTGTGAGAGGCAATCAGAGTTCCGGATATGCTTGGTTTGTATGGCGCCAACTATACTATACCCAAATCGAGTTGAATCACTTTCTTGACGGACGATCGCCATGGTCGTTGCTTCGGACGAGACGACGCATGGGCTCATGCTCTCTGCTGCTGCTTAGGACGACAAGCTGTTGGACGCTGTGCGTCAGAATCAATTGACTACGGCCGAGCAACTGCTTGGCCAAGGCGCCAACATCAACTGCACAGACAAAGTCGGCAACTTCGTTAATGCAAGATGCGATGACTCATGTACTAGTAGGATGGACGGACGCCGCTGTACATTGCGAGTTGGTACGACCACGAGAGCATCGTTCGCAGTCTTGTGGCGAAGAAAGCTTGTGTCGATCATGCAAAGACCGTACGTACTCGACTCGATGAACGATGTGACTCATTTGGTGTGTGCAGGATGGAGCCACACCATTGTTCATCGCATCTCAGAATGGCCATCCCGCCGTCGCCGAGCTTCTGATCGCAAAGGGAGCCAGCATCGATCAAGCAATGACCGTACGTACTCGACTCGATGGACGATGTGACTCATTTGGTGTGTGCAGAGTGGATGGACACCTCTGCACATCGCGTCTGCGAATGGCCACCTCGCCGTCGCCGAGCTGCTCATCGCACAAAGGGCAAGCATCGAACAAGCTGACAACGTACATGCCTATGGCGTCAAAGAATGTGTTGGACGGAGTGCGATGTTTGTATTGTTTGGCGAGACTCCGCTCCACAAAGCCTCGTGTTATGGCCATTCCAGCGTCGTAGCACATCTCCTTGACGCAGGTGCGACGGTAAACGCGTTGACGACACGCAGTTTTGTGCAGGATGGCAAAACCATGCCGGTACCTCGATCGATCTCAGGGGGATGACAATGGGGTCCAAAGTTTGGACCACAAGGAGACAAATTCGTTTTCGTACATTCTTGTCGAATCCGCACTATTGTGGCTTTCAGTCGGTTTGGCTATCCGAGGCACCAAAACCTCGATTTATAGAGCTAAATCGAGGTAGGACTTAGATTAATGTGGAGCCCAACCTCGATTTATTTTTTGAATGAGGCGTGAAATATTTTTAATAAAATGCAACACGTGGTGGAACTAGGATATCAAGTCCTGGACTAACGACTATTTGGCGTCGAATTAGGATCGCGTGTCCTGGATTGACGACTCTATGGCGCGGAAAACCGACTCCAGCGCCATACAAACTTCAAGACTAACCGGTCTGGATTAGCGAATCTCGAAGCGCGGAAGTTGTGTAAACTACCTCGTTTTGGACCCAGTTACTGGGTCCAAAACGAGGTAGTTTACACAACTTCCGCGCTCGGAGACGTAACTTCCGCGATTAGAGACGTAAAACCGACTCCAGCGCCATACAAACTTCAAGACTAACCGGTCTGGATTGGCGACTCTCTAGCCGATGTTGGAACGCGTACGAGGTCAAGCCGTCGAGCGCCGGAGTCTACGAGGTGTGCTTTGTCCACGACGTGAGCGACGGCAAGCTCATGAGCCACGTGACGCACACGCTGCAGTCGCAGCACCCCGTCGAGAGAGGTACGCTCGCATACGCTGTCCATATCCATCTTCCTCCTCCTCCTCTCGAACTCCTCGAACTCGAGTCGGAGCAGCGCTTGCTGCTGCTGCGCACGGACCGGCACATAAAGAGTACGTCCGATCCTAGGCGCCTCGTTCCTTCCTATAAACATGCGGCCATGCTTAGCGGAGCAGAGTACGAACATCGCGTATCGCTCGCCGGGACGCCCGAGTCGCTTGTGTACGTCGCCTGCGTCCTGCTCCAGATCTGCTGCATTAAGCGACACATCCTCCATCATATATCCATCAGCATGATGATGCGTAGTTACATGAATTATCTACAAAGGGCCTCGTGGCGTCGACAAGCGTTTTGAAGTGCGTGACGCCGAGGTTGGCGTCGCCCGACGACACTTGGAGGCGGAGCGTGCCCGTCGCGTACTGCATCTCGATGGCTGCGTGCGCGCAGCGAGGGTCAGCGGTGTGAAAAACTGCTGCAGCTCGTTCGACGCAATCTTGGCTTGGACGAGAGCGCGATAGACGGGTCGGGCGTCACGTGGAAAGGCTGCAGGAGCTCGCCGATCGATGGCGTGAGCACGCCCGTGTACGCGTCGTTGTCCTCGGTGCTGCCCGTAAGGATGCGCACCAGGATAGACGACGGGGACTTCGGGAAAGGACACGAGCGCGCCGTGCGCGTGCGCATCGAGCTCGACACATTTGCGCGCGATCGGCGTCGACGACGGGATGAGGAGGTCGCACTGGACCACAATCATGTTGGGCGCGTACATGGCCGGCGCTTGCATTGTCGGCTTGCGCACCGACGGTAGCGGGGAGCTACCGTCGGTGGGACTCCTTCCGCCATGGTAGCGTACATCGAGGGAGCGGGCAGGCGCCATTATACCGTCATCACGCGCGCCGTCGTGATGGCTATTGCTGGCTCGCACTGGTCGACCTCCAACCTCGATTTAGAATGATTATAAAAGTACATTATTTTATACACAGTATTTTCCATTATACTAGCTCTACGTATGTGGGTGATAATAAATATGATAATTTGTATTTTAATTTCTGAATCCATGCTTTTGATTGGCTTGCTTGTTTGGGCACTAGTCCGATTTACGAGGCCAAGCTCCCGAAAGTATTTTTATTGCACCGTGCAGCTCAGCCTCGATTTATCCGCCACCGACCTCGATCTAGAATAAAACGACCTCGATTAAGCAGCCTAAATCGAGGGGCAATCGGACTGAAATTCACAATACTAGTACTAGTACAAAATACGATGAAATGAGGGAGTTATGGCCAAAACGATTTCACGGCGCTTGATTGGTCAAATATATTTTTCGCATTATGGCCAATCATATCGCGTTTCCGGATAACGGCCCCAACGCGCGCGAACGTATTTGCCAGCAAGGACGACTTCCGGCTCATGCAGCTCTGTCGGAGATCGACCCAGATGACCAACAAATCCATGCGCCCACCCTTGTGGAGCCCGTACAAGCTGCTCCAGCGCATGCATTTCCGACTACAGCTCGTCTTCTCAACCCCCAAGAGGCCCGGGCAGCTGCGCAGATCCTTCCTCGGCCTGCAACGATCGTCCCATGCCACGCAGTGCACGTCATCCCAGTCACGGCTCGTCGAATTGCCCCACAAGTCGCGCAGCCACAAGTCGCACAGGCACAGCAGCTTGAACTCGACGCTCTCGTGGCCCTGCCAGCCCAACGCGACAGTGAGATCCAAGAGCTCGTTGCAACCGCGTCCACCAGTTCCCAAGAGTATGCGCAGCAGCAGAGCCTCCTCGTCGCTGAAAGTGTGCACCTCTGTGCAGCCGTGGCGAGCGAGCGCGAGCATCGAATGCGACTGGAGCAGCAACTGGCTTCCACGGTCTGTGAGCACGAGGCAGCAGTGGTGTGGATCGAGCACAGTCATCGCGAAGCGGTCGACGCGTTGCAGCAACAGATGACCACCGTCGTGGCAGCGCGAGAGATATCCGATCCGACACATGCGAAGACAACGACGGGCCAATAATGTGGTTGTTTGTTTTGTAACGTTGTAAGAGCTACGAGCGCTGTGTATTGGTCATTCTCTCGCTTCGACTGATGGAGCGCAGCTTGGCAGAGATGCATGCACCTTCCTGGCGTCGTGGCCACTTCTTGTCGCCCGTTTGCATGACAATATTCTGCACGTATTTACACGAGGTACAAATATTCTTTTAATGATAAACTAGGGTGGACACTTTTGTTGTTATGCGGCCGAGCTCGACGTGGTCATGCTGTGCACGAGCGTCGCCATCTTCTTCTCGAGCTGCGCCTCGAGCGCCGCGCACGTCTTGTCGGCGAGCGTGCGGTCTTTCTCAAGCACGCTGCGCCACTGCTCCAGCAGCTCTAAATTGCGCGCGACGATCTGCTGCGTCTTGACAATCACATTCTCGGCGCGCTTGAGCCGGCGGTCGGTCTCACCGCCGTCGTTGAGCGTATCGGGCGTCGTGAGGAGCGCGCCGGGCCGCGCGAGGTCCTTGAGCGTCGTCGGAAACTTGGGCAGCTGCAGCGTCGCCAGCAGCGGGGCAAAGTCCGGGTACTTGCGCTTCGACTCGGGCTGGATCTGCAGCGCCGCCGCCTCGACGAGCCGACCAGCCTCGATCGCGAGTGGGTATGGCCCAAGGATAAACTCCTTCATTGTGTGCGAGTACTCGTTGCCGACGATGGTTGCGAGGGCCGCGCGGAGAAGGCCAAAGGCTTGGCGGTACTGCTTGTAGATGTCTTCGAGCTGCTTTTGGATCGCGTCGCCGGCCTTGACTTCGGAGGCAGCGACTGCAATGTGGGCCTTGAGCCGGTGGACATCCGGGACCACGAACGCGTTGAAGACGTTGTTGAGGATGTCGCGCTTCTCCTGCTCGAGCAGCTCTTGCCGCTCCATGAGCTCGATGTCGAGGTCGTCCATGGGCACGGGCAAAAGCGACATGGAGGTGGAGGGCAGCTGGCCGCCTGGTGTCGAGCGCGGCTTGAGCGACTGGATCTGCAGTTCCGTGAGGCTCATGGACCGGCGCTCGAGCTTGTGCAAGGTGTTGTCGGCGGCCTCGGCGTCGCTGAGCTGCTTGCAGAGCTTGAGCCGGAGCTTCTCCATGCGCTTCTCCTTGTTGAAGCCAAAGAAGCGCCGAAGCGCCGAGTTTTCAATCTTCTCCATCTTGGCCAAAAGCTCGGCTTGCGTCGCGCGCTTCTCGATACAGTCCTTCCGGGCCTTCTCCAGCTCCTTGGAGAGCGCGACCCACTCTTCCTCGTACGGCGCAGGGATGTCGATCTTGCCGCCACGCGTCGACGGGAAGAGGCCCGTGCTGCGCTGGCTCGAGAAGAGCGTCCCGCGCGTGGTGCCTGTCGGCGTCGTTGCGCTCGCGCTGGGGCCGCGCAGGCTGGCGTTGAAGCCGCGCGAGCTGCCATAGTTGGAGGGCACGCGCGCGCTAAAGACACCGCGCGACGAGGTCCCGCCGGCCTTGGTCGACTCGAGGTTGTCCCAGCTGTGGTTGCGCTGGCGGCTCCGCTGGAGGCGCGCCATCTGCTCGAGCTCCATGTTGAGGCGCTCGTAGCGCGCGAGGAGGTTCTGGTCGATCTCGTACTCCTCCGAGACGCTCACGGAGCGGCCGAGGGTCGTCGTCGTCGGGGCCATCTTGCGCGGAGGCGATACTTGCTACACTGGATCGTCGGCCGCAAGCAGCGGCTCCTGCCCGCCATCTGCCACCTCGACGCATTTTATTAGCTTGCTCTTTGTATGAAGAGAGGCTGTTTTTAATGTGGCATGTCACTGCGCGTAATGGGCGTGGCTTTTTTTTGCCGCTGCATACAAATTCCAAGTGCAAGTGGCAGGGCGCAAGGCCATTGGCTGCCGCCATAGACAGCGTTACTGCCCATTTGCATACAAACTGCAAGTGCTTTGCACACAGACGACCTTCGAGCAGGAGGTCCTGCGGCGCGACGAGACCGCTGCACCAACTCCGCCACAACGACAACAGGGCCTTGCCCCAAGCACCGCCAAGAGCTAGTAGCAACAGTAGCTAGCTAGCTAGCTACTGTATTAGCCTGGGCGAAGACGCGGAGCGCAATGGACCAGTGAAAGGTTCTTGTTGAGTGGGATGGTACGCTGGGCAGAGGACGGACGACGCGAGTGAGATCGGCCAAGTGTCGCCAAGGAGGACACGACCACGGACCGCTTCTGCACAACACCAGCCAGCGGTCTAGTAGAAGTACTAAGCTCCAAGCTTTGTTGCAAAGGCGCCAAGCCTGTTCTGCAAGGGCAAGCTGCCGCGACCGTTGTGCAGTGGCGATGGTTGGAGGTCGGATGGCGGTGGTGCATGCAAGGCACAGGGTGGAAGAGGCGAGGCGCGGTGGCGTCGACTGCACGTCCAAGCAGCAACACGACTGCTGTTGTGCGATGGACGGAGGAGATGCGTCATTGCTCACACCACGATCTCGCTGCGATCTCACCGGGCATGCACTGGACCGACGCCGACACCCATAGCGCGTTGAAATACCACACGCGTTCCTCTGCGACTTGTTGCTGCTGTCGTTGGGCAGCCAAATGAATTGCTGGCTTGTCCCGGGTGTGTCCCGCAAGACCATCAAAAATCATCCAAGTCCCTCAAAAGGGTCAGGACGTCCTGTAGCATCTCGTCGTCGTCGTCGGTGGCGCCTGTCGGTTAGTGATCCCAAGATGCGCCAGGTGCGCGATGCTGCATCGCCGACGCTCCGTCGTCCATCCAACACGATCGATAGGTGTGGCGTCCTACACTGTAGGCGATCTAGGTGCAACTACGGTATGCCGCGGCTTCAATACCCGTGGCTCGAGCGCGTTCGCGCCAAAAATGCACAATTGTTGCTTTTCATTTTTTCCTTTTTTCATTTTTTGGCTTTCGGCGGCTTTTTTGTCCGGCGCAGCTTTTCATAGAACGAAGCCAGTCCCGTCGCCGGCACCGGCGCCGTGTCGTCTTCCGGGTACGACGGCGCGTCACTTGTCGACGCGCTGTTGTCAGGAAGGATTTTGGCGGACCGCATTTTTTCGAGCATCGACGTTCGCTCCATGCACTCGCGGTGCACAGTCTGCTGCAATAGTGCAATTTCCTAGTAATTGAGATCGTCCATTTCGTTGTTTTACTATACCATCAGGAGCGTGTTGGTCGTATTACCTGGTCTTTCTGGGAGAGGAGCTCGTGGAGTCGTTGGACATCGCCGGACGACTCTTGGTTGGACGCAATCTTCTCTACCCTCGGCGACGGCTTGGCGTGACGGGGCACTGACCGTGCGTCTTGAAGCGCCGCCTCGAGCTGCTCGACAGTGCGCTTGTACTGCTGAATGTCGGCTTGGAGTCGCTGAATGGAGTTTTCTTTTTCATGCAGCGTCGTGGCCGCGGTCTTGTCCAGCGCCATTTGGTTCCGTTCGAGCGTCTGCTGCAGTCCGTCGCGCTCCTGGAGCGCTGCATTCTACAACACAATATTCCGATTCGGCTTGATACGTTGATACGTTGATACAAAAGAATATACCTTTTCGCCTTCAAGATCGCGCAGTTTTCGCTCGAGCGCCGAGAACGACGACTTGATCTGTTGGTGGCCCATCTTGGTGCTCTACCAATTGATACCTTGATACTTTTCAATAATGTTTCGACTCGAATACTTGGAGCTCTTCCATGTAGCTGGCCGCGCGCTGCTTGGCGTCCTTGAGCGCGCGATCGCTATCCTCGGCCTACGATTCGATTGCAGAGACTGCCACGTCATCATCGTATGAGACAGGCGCACCTTTTCTCGGCGATCGACGTGGCCAGTTTGACATGCCGGACGTGGTCGTGGAGCTGCTGCAGCTCCAAAGCGAGTCGGTCCATCGCTTCCTTGGCAGAGGCTGCTGCGTCGTCCAGCTACTTATAGGTATATGACCTGGCAGGATTGACAAGGGCATTTCCTACTGCTATGGCGTGGTTGGTTTTGAGCTCGGCGACGTCTTTGGACCACTCGAGCTTGACCCGATCCATCGCTGCCTTGTGCTCGGCTGCATGACTCGACAACGTCCTGGCTTGCTCATCGATTGTAAGCTGAAGTCCTTTCATGGTTCCCTAGCATTCCATTCACTTTCAGCAACCGCAATCCATCGAATCACCGAGGAGACGGTACCTTGACTTCCTGAAGCCGGTCGTCGGCCGTGGCAACCTCTTGCTTAAGCGTTGCGCGCTCGGCCAACAAAAGCACCTTGTTCTTCTCGAGCGCGGTCGCCTGGTGCTTCCACTTTGCAATCTCCTCGTGCAGTTGTCGGACGTCGGCGCGCTCGACCTCGGCTTCGGCCACGGTTCGTGACGCCGCGGCGTGGGCTTGTGCCAGCTACCACCTCTCGCTATCAGGTCCAGTCATAGAGAAGAGAAGAGACGTACTTGGTCTTGAACCGTGTGCAGCTGTGCTTTGGTCTGTGCCAGCTCGGCTTGCACCGCGACGAGCGACTGGTGTGTCACGGCCTCAACGTGCTGGAGCTCATTTTTGGCCGATGCGGCGGCCGACGCGTAGCTGTCGACGCGGGCTTGTAGCTGCGCGCGTGTTGCCATGACTGCTCGCAGCTCGTCGTCTTGTGTGGCAATAAGACCTTCGAGGCGAGTGATTTCCGCGTCCGCCTTGAGCTTGTGGCTTGCGAGTGTCGACTTGGCCGCGTCGACTTGCGCCACCAGCGTCGCCTTCTCCTGCTGCCACGTCATGCGGCTCGACTCGTGGAGACTCGCCGCATCTCGGAGCGCCTCCACCATCTAGTACCACGAGACACACTAAACTTGAATCCAAGGAATTCGGAGGAAACCTGCTGCTCGAGGCGGGCAATGTCTTGGGTCTTGAGATCGACTTGCTTCTCCGCGTCACCGACCCGCCGGTTGGCTTGGTCCAAAATCAAATCTCGCTGCGTTGTCAACTCCGTCTCAGCAGCGCGAAGGGATGCATGTGCCGATGAGAGCTGCTGCTGCAGGTCCTTCTTCTCTTGGACGTGTGTCTTGTCCAAGGCGACAAACCCTTGCAGCTGCGACGTGATGGCCGTGACCGTCGTCGCATGCTCGAGCTGGAACGCTTTCATTTCGGTCGTCATGGCCCCTTGCTGCGCCTTGGCCGCGCGCATCCATTGCACAATGGCCTACATAGCCTTCGTGAGACTATCAAGTAAGTTAAGAAGAACCGACCTCGAACTGCCGCCGATAGACTTTAGCTTTTTGCTGCAGTTCTTGGACTTCGGCAAACACAAAGTAGCTGACGCCGCAAAAGGTGCAGGCGGTGTCGGCGTCATCCATCTTTTGCACGGCGACCGGCAGCTTCTGCCGCGTCGGGCCATTGTACAGCTCGTCCTTGGTCGGGTCGCGTAGGATCTCATGCGGCTGCAGTCGGAAGCCCGACATGGCCAAGGACTTGTATTTATAGCCAACGGAGAGGCTGGTACCAGGGTTAGGGTTGCGCCTTCCATTCCAAGCAGCCATCGCTTTTGTACAATGTTGTCGCCGCCATCCACGCGATTTATCTCATGCACGAAGCAAGAATCGATCTCATAGATTCATGTATCTCTAGGGAATGCTAGCTAGCGGCCTGTGTGCCGTACGACTGGATGTGCGGCCGGTTCAGGAGCTCTTGGCGCTCGGTCGCATCAAGGGACACTGCCGTCATCGAGGCGAGCGGAGCCATGTCTCGCCCATGGAGGTGGCCACGGTGCTGCGTAAAGTCGACGTAAATGAGCATCGCAGCGAGCATCATGCCGAGCAGCGCCAGGCCCATCAAGAGGACGTTGAGGTACGGCTGGTACACGTGCATGAGACTGTACTCGACGACCACAAACATCGGGACGACCGCCAGCCCGACATTCTAAGGACAACAAGTATGTGCACAACATTGTCAATCGTTTGAACGACAAGAATGACGTACCAGAAACGCCGAGGCAACACCGTATGCCGTCCCCACGTGATGTGGCTCGACACAGCCTACCACGGAATATCAAGAGATGTCGAGATGCGAATTGCAGCTGTACACGAAAGGGCGGGCCACATGGCCGCGGAGAAGATCGAGAGCGCCGCCGCCTGCAGCACAACGGGCAGGTACAGCGAGACGCTGGTAAACCCAAGGAGCGTCTGCGCGAGAAAGCACGCGGCCATGCTGCCGAGCGCAATCCACGTGCGGTGCCCGACCTTGTCGACGAGATAGCCGAAGAGCGGCGCCGACACGGCGATCGCAAACGGTCCGACGCTCAAGGGACCGGCCGCGGCTTGCTCGGCCTTGTACTTGGCCGCGCAATAGGCTCGGGTGGACGGCCCACGCTTCCACACATCGCTGTCGCAGTTGATATCGACGGCCGAGACGTACGGCGGGGTCTGGCGGCAGCTGGCCTCGTCGGCTGCCTCCATGCACGACAGCGAGAGGAGTGGCAGCGGGTGTGCGAAGGGCGGAGACGGCGGACAGGTCGGCGGCAAGCTCGAGCAGTTGACGTCGCCAGCGTACGCGCCGAGGCCGCAGCGCTGGCACGCAGTCGGGAGTGCCTTGTAATAGTCGCGCTCCATAAAGACACTGCTTGCGACGTTGTTGAACGGCCCGACGATGGCGTAGAGCACAAAGAAGAGGAGGACGACGAGCCAGTACGCCATGCTAGCACCGACGCGAGTCGAGAGGGTGAGCGCGGTCGAGATGGGTGTACCTAAAGTCCCGAACGTCGGACGGGCGAAGATGACGCTTGAGCTCGATCTCGGCGGCGCGTTCGTCTGGCGACAAGACCTCGTCGTCGATCTGGGCTTGCGCGGTGGCATCGATCGGCGCTAGAAGCAGCGCAGCGCACAGCGAGAGGCCGCAGAGCATCGCGCCGACCCAGAGCGCGCTCGTCGAGCCATACGTTTCGGCCAGAAGCGGACTCAGCGCATTATTGAGCGTCGACGCCAGCTTGGACATGCATAGGAGCACGCCATTCGTAAACGCTGTAGTATCGACTAGTATGAGATCCTGTCGTGAAGGAGGAGTAGAGAGGGTACCGAGCTCGTTGCTGGGAAACCAAAGCGAGAGCAAAGTGGCCTGCGCCACGGAGATGGTTTCGCCGCCGACGCCAAAGACCACTCGGCCCGCCTACAAGTGCAATCTCGTTGATACGGCAATGTCACGAGGCTAGAGGAAGCTACGAGCATGAGCGGAAAGCTGCGCCATTGGTTGCCGAGAGCAAAGATGATTTGGCCGAGCGTGATGAACGACGTCATGAGCAGGAGCACGCGGCGTGGCCCGAAGCGGTCGGTGAGGTAGCCGCCAAAGAAGGGCAAGAGGATGTTGGGCATCGAGTAGACGCTGTAGAGGAGGTTCTGCCATCATTCTGTCAAGGACCTTTGGCGAATAGGATGCACGACAGGCAGCAGGATGCAGATAAAAGGATACAAAGTACATTTCGTACTCGTGCCAGGGCATCGCATGGAAGCGGTCCTGGAGCTGGTTCTTGAGCGCGGATGGGTTGTCGTAGCAGTACGAGTTGCCCACGTTGAGCGCGCCCGTCAGCAGCAGCACGAGCGTCCGGACCTGCCACGGCTGCATGCTGTTCGACGATCGCCAAATCCAAATCCAAATCCGAAACCTCTTGGCGTCGCTTTAAAAGAAAGGTTCTTTTACGCGTTCTTTTTTCTGAAAAGAGTAAAAGACATAAAAGAACACACGCGCACCGTGTTTAAAACACGTAGGTTGAAGGCAAGGGCACCACCACATGGTGCGCCAGCGACCGCTGCCAAGGGTCGCGTAGGACCATACCATCGCGGCAGCAGCCGACGCCAACACCTCCATGCGGCAATCATCTTGCGATGCGATCGTGCGCAGGCGGCTACCGGGCGATGCACCCATGCCCATGCAGCCATTGCTCGCTGCCAGCGTCCATGCGCATGCTGCGTGGTCCTTGCTGTCCTACCATATATACGCGACGAGCCATGGCATGCGACGCCCATGCCGCACGAGGTCGCCGTCCCTCTCGAGTCTCATGTAGCTAGCTACTCGCGGGACAGGCGCGCTTCGAGCCCTTGGCAGCAACTTGGAGGATTCGTGTCGCATCCATCATGCAGGACGAGGCCAGCACAACATGCACCGATCCTATTGATTACAGCTCGGTTTGGTTGGGGTCGAGCAGCGCCTCCATGTGGTCAGCGTCGAGATGCACGGCCCGCGCGGCCGCCGCCGAGCTGCGGTTGAGCACCGATCCATTCTTGAAGTCGACGACGTTGAGTAGAATGCCAGCGATCGACCCGAGCGCGCCAAAGGCCACAAACAGCATCTCGACGCTGGGCAGGTACTTGTTTTCGACGCTGTAGACCATCGCGACCAGCATTGGGAAGAGCGCGAGGCCCAAGTTCTACCACAAATCCTCTTCATAAAGTGTCCATCATCCTGTAGACTGTAGTACCTGGATCGACGTAATCGCTCCATACGCACTGCCCACGAGGCGCGCATCGACCACGTCTAACACACGCCATGAGCTGCGCACTTCACATCAAGAGAGAGGACGTACAGGGAATCGACGGCCAGAGCGCCGCCGCAAACACGCAGTACGCGACACCTTGCAGCACCAACGGAATCCAGTACGTGACATGCGTCGTGCCAAGCAGCAGGTGCACAACGGTCAGCAAGATGGACGAGACGAGCGCAAGGCCGGCGCGGAAACCGACACGGTCGACGGCGTAGCCCATGACGGGCGAGAGCACAGCCGAGATGAGGTATGGCACACTCATGGGCGTGGCCGCGGCGGCCGCCGCAGCGCTCTTCCGGTTGCAGTAGACAGCCGAGAACGGACCCTTCTTCCACGCATGGTCGTCGCAGTTGATCATGGCTTCGGTCACATACGGCGGCGTGTGCGCGCAGTGCAGCTGGTCCTCGGGCGACTGGATCGAGCAGTTGCGGCTGAGAGCGGGAAGCGGCCAGCTAAACGGTGGCACGGGCGGGCAGTGCGGGGCGATCGCCGAGCAGTTGGTCTCACCGGCATACGCGCCTTGGCCGCACTGCTGGCACTCGAGCGGCGGCTCGCGGAAGAAGTCGCGTTCCATGAGCAGACTGCTCGCGACGTTGTTGAATGGAATGACGCAGCCGTAGACGACCATGCACGCAATCGCCAAGAGCCAAAAGATGGGTCTAGCAGCATGCGATGGAAGAGGAGAGAGAACGAATATGGAGGGTACCGAAAGCTGCGAATGTCGCGGCAGCTAAACCCTTGGTCCTTGGCCACGGGCGCCGACGACGTGAACGACTTGGTGCGAGCGATCGCCGCGTCCGCGCGCTTGTCGATCGGAATCAAGATGAGCGCCGCAAGGAGCGACACGCTGCACATGACGACGCCCATCCAAAGCGCACTCGAGACGTTGTACTCGGACGCAATCACAGGACTGAGTTCGTTGTTGAAGACGCTGCCGAGCCGCGCAATGCTGAGGTTGATGCCAAGCGCCAGCGCTACACAGACCGTCCTAAGAGTGCGCCAGTCGAGGCGTTGAGGTACCGAGCTCCTTGTCTTGAACCACGATGCGACGAGCGTGCTCTGGGCAACGCCCAAGCTTTCGCCGCCAAGGCCAAAGAGGATGCGTCCAAGCTACAATGATGGGATGAATGCGACCGGCCAGTGCACTGCTTGAAGCGTACCAGCATGACGTTGAACTGCGAGATCGAGCAGCCAAAAGCAAATACGATTTGCCCGAGTGTGATGGTCGTGGCAAACTAGTCCATGGCATCATGAGGTCAACGAAGTGAAGACGACGCATCACCATCATGAGGCAGAGGCGCGCGCCGAGCCGATCGACGAGGAAGCCGCCAAAGACGGTAAAATGATGTTCGGGATCGAGTAGAGCGTGTAGAGCATGTTCTATCAAAGGATGCGTGAGCCATGGACCGCTCGCACCGCTGCGCGTACAAAGAGGAACTCGAAGCGGTCGGGCGGAAAGGCGCCATTGAAGCGCTGCTGCAGCTGGCTCTTGAGCGCAGCAGGGTTGTCAAAGCAGTAGTAGTTGCCTATCATAAGCGTACACGAGAGCACGAGCACGAGCCAGCGCATCGGGAGTTGGCTCTTCTCCAGCATCGTGGCCGCACGATCTGCTCGAGAACAAAGAATGCAGGAATCTTTGGTCGCATTTGGTTTTGGCCAATGGCATCGCCGCAAGTGGCAGATCGCCTTTGGATTGGTCAAAAAAGAATCTTGGTCTCATTGCCCTTTGAACGCCAGCTGCTCGCGAGCGCGCGGCAAGAGCTCATAGCTGGTCACCACGGTACCGCGATCGGGGTACAGAGCTCTGGACACCATGTACAATGTGTCGTAGTGCACGTGGACCGACTAGTGTAGCAGTGTAGGCTTACATTCCACACGGCCAATGTCTCGCTTGTCCTCCCATAGAAAGCGACGTCTAGCTAGTGCCAGGCTTGCTTGCGGGCACTACTGCTTGCGGGCACGAGCGCGAACGGACAGTTTAAAGGCTTGAGACGATAGCAGCGAGTCTCGTAGTCTGTTCAACTGGCACAAACTACCGTTTCATCTTGTTTGTCTACCGGTGGGATCTCGCTGGAATGCCACGCATGCTACCCAAGCGGCCTTCGGAGCGATGGAAGCGCGACGAGGCCAGCACCAAGAGCGTACGTCACGACATCGCTAGTGATATCTCACCATACGTTCACGGCGGCAGACGCGCGAGCCGGGGCTTCGGATCGTCTCGATGGCCCACGCGGTCTCCAAATACGGCTCGATCGCATGGGAACACAAGGTGCGCGCACCTCGACGTTGTCTTCCCAACACCCTTTTCACCCACGACGCAGGTGGCCTGGCCGTCCTCGAATCCGTGGCACGATCGTGTGTGGGCGACGAGCCATGCCGACGGTCCAGGCACGTATACGCTCGTCTTGACCGACGATGGCTCGTGTACATTTCATGTCTTCTTACCTGCCTTCTTCATTAAGAATATCGCTAGTGTACGCACAAGGAATGCTTGTACCGGCGTCGACGGTATGGTGATCAGAGTTGTCGCGGGACTGCACTGTGCATCATCGTAGAACCCGTCGTTGCCCGATGTCGACGACCGAGGCCCGCGCTTCAAGCAGCTCTTGACTCCGTTGCACGCTCCGCCGCATGTTCTGACGCCAATGCACCTCAAGCTTCCACTGCCGATCGTTGCCATCGCCTGCGGGGCTGAGCATGCGACCGCAATCGCGTCCAACCGATCGATTTTTGCATGGGGCCACAACTCGTGTGGACAGCTGGGGGTAGGTGATTGCGAGGCGAGAGATGCGCCGACGCCACTCCTTTGCCGGGAGCTCAGCGTCCGCCTGCATCAAGTACAGGCTTTCTCTGCTTGAAAGAGAGAGACCAGTGATATCCAACGGTGTAGGCCACGGGACGGAGCCAGTACCGCCTCGTCACGGGTGCCTTTACGACGGCGATCGTGTTTCCAGATGTGGTGTGGGTGTGGGGCCGTCTCGCGTCCCTGGACCTATCGCCGTCGCCCGACCCAAGAGAAAGTCCGCACGTCGCGCGCATCTTGGCCATCGACGGACCGCTCCTCGATGTTCAGTTTGGAATGGACCAAGCGTTGGCGTTGACGCACAGCGGCTCTCTCTACACATGGTCGACTCGATCGCACGCCGGTGTGCTCCCCGTGCCGATGCCGGAGCGGCCCGTGCTCCAGATGGCGCTTGGCAGCAGACACGCGCTGGCGTTGACGAAAGCGGGTCACCTATACGCCTGGGGTGCGAATGCCTTTGGGCAGTGCGGTGTCGGAAACTTTGCCTCGATGATTCCTTCGCCGCAGCGCGTCCTGGGGGTCCCCATGCTCAGCAAGGCCATTGTGCACTTGACGTGCATGGGCCATGCGTCCTTGCTGCAGATCGACAATGGTCTTTTGAGTTTTGTGTGGGGGGTCATCGGACCGGTGCTGTGCACACACACGCCCGTGGAGCTCCTACCGTTTCGCAAGGCGCCACCACCGACGCCCCCCGTTCGCGTCCTCGGGACCCCGCAGCTACTCGGTTTTGAGCGGTCTCTGCCCAAGAAGACAAGCCTCTTCACGCTTGGTCCCATTGTATGCAAAGGTCGCGATCATGTCGGCGATCTCGTGAAAGTGCACTCGTCCCGCGGCGCGCTGACCATTCATCCCATCTACGAGCACGCGGCACCGGCGCTAGCGGTGATAGCGACGCCACTGAACGCTGCCAAGGCCGTCTTGACCATCTCGCCCGTTGAAACAAGAACCAAAGGACTCTACGCGAGCTGGTTTCACGCACAGCGCAGCGGCGCGTGGCAGCTCTGGCTCGCGTCGAGCCAGGAAACGGCTTCGCTCGTCGTGGGCGGTCCCTGGACGCTCAAGATTCAGCTGTCCGAGACTCTGGCGCCGAGTCGCCAGACAGCCCCCGCCTTCCACCACCCGCGCCTCTCCCACGTGGCGATGCAGACAAGTTGTACGTCACTTTTGTGGCATGCGATTTCGCCCGAGCTGCCGTGTCGCGTGACGATGGACCATCCTGTCTTGCTACGGTTCGACCTCGCGGGGTGCACCGACCTCAGCGACGACGAGTGGGTCGTCGAGACGTCGGGCGCGACGGTCGCGACGACCTCGCATGCCGTCGATCGCGTGGCCGCGACGATGCTGGTCACACTCAAGTACATGAGCGCGGGGACGTCGACGGTGGTGCTTCGCCGCAGCGGCCGCGCGCGACTGCAACGCAAGGCGCCGATGACGGTGGAGGTGCATGTCACGTACAAACTTGTGTCGGTGCTGCGGTGTGTACAGCTGCACCGGCTTGCGATACAGTCGTATCTCTGCAGTGTCGACGGTTCTATACCCAAGCTTTGCGCGTGGATCCATGGCCACAAGGAGCTCTCGGTGTATCTGCAGCACTCGGTGATCCTCGAAGTACGCGCCATCGCGCCACTTGTTTATGTTCACACAAACAACACAGGTGCTCACACAACGCCGCATCACGTATGGCTGGGACGTCTGGCGCGATCTTCAGTACGCTCCAACGCCACTTTGTACCTGTGTCGAGCTTATGCTGTCGATAGGACCGAGCTACAGCAGTGGTGATCGGCGACGTTGATGTCGTCCAAGGAGCTCATGGCAATGAGTAGGGCGATCGTTGCGTGGCTGGATTTCGACGGGCTCCTTAAGAACTCGACGCCACCATCTCAAGTCGCTTGACGTCGCCTCGACACACATCAGCAAGTGCCGAGTGCCCGCTTCTGGCCGACGCAACGTGGTTCCTATCGACGTATCCAGAGCCGCCGACACTGCACGGCGCAGGGCTAAGTGCCCGCCCGCGCCCTTCAACGCCCCTCTCGATGCAGGACCTCGTCGTGCCGAGAAGCACGCAGTCGGAAGCCGCGATCTTGCTCGATGCCCACCCGTCGGTCGTGCTGCCCATTGCGGCCAAGTACACGCTTTCGGGCGATTTTATTTTGGCGACTGCCCACCACGAAGCTATTGAGAGCAGTTGGAGTGGGCTCTCGGGGCCACTGCACGAGCTGCGACAGCTCTTGCTGGAGCGACGTCGATCGGCGCAGCGCTCGCTCCGAGATCTCTACCATCATTTTCATCGAGACCTCACGTCAGCGGGTGAGGGGTTTGACTTGCGAGCGTTTCGTGTCGCTGTCAACGACCTTCGGTACCTACTGTCCAACGCTCTCACGACAATATTGTACATTCCTAAAACGACAATGGAATAGGATGGCGCTGACGCCAGAAGAGAGCTACGATGCGTTCCAGCGCCTCTGCGTCGACGGAACGTCGCATGTGAGCTTCGGCGCCTTTCGCCTCTTCGTCCTCGAGCCAACGTTTCAGAGCTTTTGGCACAGCTACGCGCCACGCGTGGTGGCGGCCATTCGAGCACACGACATCACGCTCATCGATGCATGGACAAAGCACTTTGAGTCGGCCCACGAGCAGTTGCAGACAGGCAGCGGCTATGAGACGGTGCGCACGGCCCCCAGCGGCGACATGGACTGGGAGGTATTTGCCCACGGGCTTCTTCTGCTCGTGCCGTCAACCTCCCCGCGCGACCTCATCCGCCTTGTCTACCGCTTTGATACAAGTGGCGACGGCGTCGTGCATGCGGCGAGTCTCCTGCATGCGCTTCATCAATGGGCCACGACGATGCTGGGTGCACCACGGCCCGAGAGAACATCGTCGAGTGTTGTTTTGGCGAGGGACCGGCCCCAGGTTGACGCCTTTTCGAGCCACAAGGCGGTGCAAAAGCTGTATCGATCCCGTGCCCAAGCGTATGCGCTCGAGACGTCCGACGACGCAGCTCTCTTGCGACAAGGCAACGAACTATTGGTGCGCCCTTTAACCGTAAAGGCTATGAAATACCAATGGCACGCTAGACAAAAACGACCAAGAAGCCCATGCACTGGCTTCTCGAGTACGTTCTACCATGACGATCGTCTTATTCAATGTGCTGTAGACAAGGTCTGAGCTTTCGACCGCAAGCTCGAGGACACGCTCGCGACAAGCCCGATGTGTACGATGCCGCAGAGCTCTCAGTGGACCTACTGAATAATTGATGGACTGGATAGTTGATGGATAACTATCATGCGCTATCCACGTGTGGTATCTTTCGTTGGATCTTGACGGGACTTGCCGTGTTGCAGGAAAGACGCCATCTCGCCTTCGCGAGTGAAACTGTATTTTTGCGTAGTATAGACATATGCAAAAAAGGAGTCTCCCTTTCGTGTCAGAGCACAGGCAGTAATCTAATTTGGATTCATATTAATACAATTCAAGTAGAATTGTTTTGAGGGAGTTTTCATGTTGAATCAATGGCATCGCGATCTTGCGTCGGTGCTTGGATGAACGACGTCCAGCGACGCAAGCCATGGGTCCTCCTCTTGGCGTGCCTCGTGGACATGGGCAACTCGTACTGCTACGACACGCCGTCCGCGCTCAAGTCGCAGCTTCAGGAGCACTTGCATGGCATGCCCACCGCGTCGTTTGAGATGGCCTTTGTATCCTTTTGCCTTTTGCCTTCTTTCATGTTGCTACAGAACTGTCAGTAGCGTCCTTGACGCGACTTAGAACCTGCTCTACACGGTCTACTCGGTGCCCAACATTGTGTTGCCACTGCTCGGCGGCCTTGTGACGGACCGCATTGGCCCGCGCAGCATGCTTGTTGTCGTGACGCTGCTCATTCTCGTCGGCCACGGCATCTTCGCCGCCGGCAACCAGCTGCAGAGCGTGCCCGTCATGCTGGTAGACGCTCCTATCGATAGCACTCGTGACATCGAGACTCGTAGCTCGGGCGGGTCGTCTTTGGCCTCGGTGGTGAGACCATTTCGGTCGCCCAAGCCACCGTCCTCGCCGTCTGGTTTGAGAGCAACGAGCTGGGTATGCCTCGCCTGCGACGAGATTCTGGCGTCATTCGTACATAGCACTCGCCAACGGATTTGCGCTGAGTACGTCCAAGCTCGCGACAACGCTCAACAACGAGCTGAGTCCCGTGCTCGCTGAAGCGTTCGGTCTCTCGAGTGCCATCTGGGCCGGCGTTATTGTGTGTGCGCTCGCCTTCCTCGCGACGCTCGCGCTCTATCAAATTAGCGAGCGCAGCGTGTACGACAAGGATGACGACGTCCGCGTGCAGCTGTCCGACGTCTTTGAATTTAGGTGCGACTGCAACCCGTCGGTAACCCTAACCTCCCCTATCCCTAGCACCACCTTTTGGCTCATGGCCGGCGCGTTCTTCGTGCTGTACGCAGCAACAGGTCCATTCAACAACGTCGCAAGCAGTGTATTTCTGGAGCGCGACTATTACAAGGCACTCCCGACTGCGTGCCAGCGCTGCGGGCTCGGCGCGTACGCTGGCGACGTCACCTGCTCGAGCTTGCCGCTGACCTGTCCGCCGTCTCCGCCCTTCGCACACCCGCTGCCACTCCTCTCGGTCCACTGCGCTCTGAATCAAACGCAGTGCCAGCGCGTACCACCGTATGTGCGCGCGCACCACATCAACTGCGACGCCGAGTTTTGGAAAAAGGGCGAGGTGACCAAGGAGTACTGCAGCGTCAAGTACGCCGCTGAGCAAGCCGCGGCGTTTCCGCTCAGCATCGCACCGCTGCTCGTGGCCGCCACGGCGCCGCTTTCGGGCTACCTTGTCGACCATCTTGGGCATCGCGCGGTTTTGGCCACGGGCGCGATGGTGCTCTTGGGGCTCTCGCACGCGCTGATTGGCTACACGTGGCTCTCTCTGTACGTCCCGCTTGTCCTCCAAGGAATGGGGTTTAGCGTCTTTTTGTCGGCGCTCTGGCCCGCCGTGTCGTGTACGTGGCGTATGGATCCTATGGTGCGAATGTCGTGTGTATGGATGTAGATTGCGTTGCGCCGCACCACGTGGGCACAGCGTATGGCGTCCTCTGCGCTGTTTTGGTATGGCGATATGGTTTCATCCATACTGGATATGGATTGCGGGATGTAGAACTTTGGCCTTGCGCTCGTCCCGATGCTCGTGGTCATCGAACACAACCTTACGGGTGTCTACGTGCCGTATGTAAATGGTATGTTCATGGTCCTCTCGCTCCTTGGTGTCGGCATCTGCGCCACCTTGTGTGTCGTGGACCATGCGAACGGCGGTGCACTGGACGGTATTACAATGACCCAAGTCCAGCCACCGCCAGTGCTTCTCTCGGAGGTGCTCGCGACCGAAGAGACGTGTTTGGTGGCAGTCTCGGCCGTCGGCTACGGGACCTAGCCGCAGCGTTCTCTTTTTACATCAATGTATCAAGTTGATTTGGATGCGGTCTCTGTAACGTATCCAAAAGCATGGAGCATTGGAAAAGGGTAGTCGAGAAGAGTGATCATTAGAAGTGCAATGTCATGTCTGGAATGTCGACACGCTTAATGCGACGGCGATGACTGGCTGCCGTTGGCTGCAACGAGGTTGATGAAAAGACGACGGTTGGCGTCACCTTGAACTTCAAGGACCCCGGGGTACGCAGTTGGCCGTAGACCCAGGCGACATCGCATTCCGACGCATACAAGGTCCAACGATCGGGCTCCGACAAGGTGCATTTATCATCGCATGTTCCACAGTGTAGCCGACCGTCGATTCGGCTTTTCTTTCTTTTGTCGATGAGTACGACTCTTAGTTAGACAGGTTGCAAGTCAGTCCGACCTCTTTGTATACACCGGGGCACTTCAAGTCGGAATGCAGCGTGAACAACGGCAGCCTTTAGCAGCCTCGTCATGCTTTCCTCTGGCCACCACCATCCATCGACGTCTAGTTGGTTCTCTATATACGTCAATGGGCTAGCCCATAGAATGTCGTCCGATCTTGCGGGCGTGGGACCTGGGGTCGTCGGAATGCGCCCTTTCCTCTGGCATCGGATATAGATACACTTCGAGAAGCTGATATCCCGTCACATATGATATTGCACTTGTGCCCCACAACCGCCTTTTTCATTATAATAAAACCTCTCACAATGCATAGTATCAAAGATACCGACATGGCCTTTCTACGGCCAGTTTCCAAACCGCCATGAGCCCGCCACCGTTCACACAGCTCACGTGCCTCTCGACGCGCGGCCGCGTCCTCTTCGCCACGGACGAGTGGTTTGCCGCAGCCGACAACCTCCTCTCGCCGGCGCCGCCTGTCTTTATCGCTGACAAATTCACCAATTACGGCAAGTGGATGGACGGGTGGGAGACGCGCCGGAAGCGCATCGCCGGCCACGACTGGTGCGTCCTCGAGCTCGGCCTGCGCGGCAAGATCGTGGGCATCGAGGTCGACACGGCCTTCTTCACCGGCAACAACGCGCCGCGCGTAGGTCGCTTCATGCGCAGCCGCAACGCTCATGCGTGTCGGTAGGTGTCGATCCAAGCAGCGTGCCTCGAGCCGGGCGTGGGCGCCGACCTTGTCCGCCCACGCGAGATGGGCACATGCGCGTCGGCGACTGAAGAAGCGGCCATTGGTGCGCTTGGCACTGACGCTTGGCGCGAGCTCGTGCCGCGGACGGAGCTGCAGCCGGGGTGCCATGTTATGCGACGCTTCCGGTGCTCATGTGGGCGAACATAGGTATGAAGCGAGCCGGTACCACTACTTTAACGTCAACAGCGACGACGTGTGGACGCATCTCCGCGTCAACATGTTCCCGGACGGAGGTATCGCGCGGCTCAAGGTCTACGGTGTTGTCGCCGTCGACTGGGACAAGGTACTGAGAGCTGGCTTTTACCCTTCTAACCTCCGTCCATGTGTAAAGATTGCCCCGACGGCGTCCGTCGACTTGGTTGCTGCGGCCAACGGGGGCACTGTCGTCGGCTTTAGCGACGCGCACTATGGCCACCCACGCAATTTGCTCCAGCCCGGGCGCGGTGTCAACATGGGCGATGGCTGGGAGACGGCCCGGAAGAAGACGCGCCCGGCGATCCTCACGGTTGACGCCAGAGGTCTGCTCACGGTGCCAGGCGACGACTGGGTCGTCTTGAAGCTCGGGCATGTGGGTATTGTCGAGCGTATTGAGGTCGACACGGCGCACTTCAAGGGAAACTTTCCCGAAAGCTGCTTCATCGAAGGCTGTTTTTATGAAGGCAACAACGTGCTCTCGGCGTCGGTGACGTGGCGCCCCGTGCTGCCGCGAACCAAGCTCAGCGCCGACAAGCAGCACTTTTTCAGCGACGCCGAAAGATCGCTTGAGCCTGGCCGCGACGCAATCAACTACGTTCGCTTCACCATGTACCCGGACGGCGGCATTAGCCGGCTTCGCGTCTGGGGCCGCAAGGCACCGAGTGGGCGCTTGTAAAGGCCAAAGTGATCGAGTGCTACATACTACCTACGCATGCGTTTTCTAGCGCGAATTCGATGCACAACATGTCCAACCATGCATACATTATTGTCTTTTGCAACACCAACGTCATAACGCGTTTGTCGGCGCGACACTTAGGCGGCGTCCGCGTCCTCCTTGGTATCCTTGAGCTCAAGCAGAAGCGAGACGGCCATGTTGAGCTTGACTGCCATGGCCGCCATCGTCTCGGACTGGGCATCCACCGTGGCTTTGAGCGCCTCGATCTCGCCGTGGAGCTGCGTCGTCTCACCCGCTTCGTCGTCGTCGGTCGTCGGCGCAATGGCTTCGGCCACATTGTCCAAAATAGAGTCCGTGACCTTTTGCAGCTGCGCATCGATCGTCGAGCGCTGCGCCATCTGGAAGAGGAGCATGCACTCGGCACGCGCGCTCATGTCCTTGGCGTCAAACTTGGGCGCCCAGATACGCAGTAGCTTGTCCTTGAGCTGCCCGAGCTTCTTCTTTAGGTGCGACTGCAGCGCTGTCAGCACCTTGTCGCGGAACTCGCCCTTGCTCTTGCGCGCGTCGTCGACGATCCCCTTGAGCTGGCTCCGGGTCGTCTCGATGTGCTTGAGGTCGTCGGCAAAGATCGTCGGCACCGTCAGCGAGGTAAAGTGCTGGACATGGAGCAAGCTGTCGCGGAGGAAGTCGAGCTCCTTGTCGATCGTCGCGTCCAACTCGTCGACCAACGTCGACCACGCCGCGCGGTTCGCCGCTTCGGTCTGCAGCTCGGCGGCTTGCTCTTCACCGAGTCCGAGCAGCGCCTTGGGCACGCACTCGGTAAAGATCGGGTTGAGCCACTTGCGCTGCGCCACAAGTGGCGTGCCTTCGTTGACTAACGTTGCGTCGAGTGCCTTGGTCTTGAGGTAGATGAGGTCTTCGGTGCCGGCTTCGTCGAGGTTCATCGATGTCTCGAGGCGCAAAATGCACTGCGCGTAGCTGATCAGCGCTTGCGTCTTGGCCTTTTCGAGGCCGCCGTCGACCGTCTTGTTCATCATGGCCAGCAAGACGTTGAGGAGGATGATGACCATGATGGCCACATGCAGCATCATCAACAGCGCCGTCGCCACGTACATCATTGACGCGTCAGCTTCCTCCGAGGCGCCAAACGCATCGAGCGAGTCGATTGCGAGTTGACCGAACGAGACGTAGTAGGTCGTCATGAACGACTGCCCGAGGCTGCCAAACTTGTGCAAACTGTCGTCCATGCCGCGGAAGAGCTGGTAAAACGTGAGCGTAAAGCCGACTTGGAAGACGCTGAAGAGGATGAAGAAGTTCCAAATGTCTCCGAAAAGGTCCGCCATCATGGGCATCAAGAAGCTGGCCGACGGCACGACCTCCAAAAACTGAAGCGAGAGGACCCAGAGCGCAAGCGTGAGGAAGCCCGAGAGGCCAAACTCAATCTCATCGGCCGCGTTGATCCAATTGAGCTTGATGGGCACGAAGAGAAAGAGGATGATGACGTAGACAAGCAATTGCGCCTTGTTGGTGTGCGATGAAATGTACGCGCGAAAGTCGTGCCGCATCTCGTCACGCTCGGTCACGACAAAGTAGAGAGCCGTGAGCCAGAGCACGACCGTGTTGACGACCGGAAACCAGACCGAGACGTGCATGAGGTGCGCGCAGAGGGCCAGAAGAATGACACAAAAAACGGTGAGCAGGACCGACGAGATGTACAAGATGAACGTCGCAGCTTCCTTCTTGGTGCGGAGGTCCGGAATCGCAACGTCCGGGTCGAGTTCGCGGCTGTTGTCGTACTCGTTCCGCGCGTCGGCCCAGAGCGCACTCGGCTCCAGATCCGAAATCGCGAAAAACGCAGAGAGGACAAAGATCCACGCCGAGATACCAAAGACGCACGCGGCCGTCGACGGCGCTTCGTCACTGCCAATGAACGACGACGTCGTCATCGTGAAGAGGAGAAGCACGTTCATGAGCAGCTGCTGGAGGTACATGCGCTTCCCGAAGAGCTCCCACTTGATGTCGAGGAGCCGGCGAAAGACGATATGTTCCAACATGACCTTCTTGGTCGCAAACGCTTCGTCCTTTGCGTTCAAGTTGAGGACCGCGTAGAGGGCACTCGTCTTGGTTGTCACGCCGTACACCGCGTCCATCTATTTCCATGGATGTCGTTTTTGTATCAAGTTGAAATTTTTTTCGTACGTGCGAGAACGCAGCTTCGTGCCGATGCAGCGTGACGCAGTCGTTGAGAAACTTGAGCCCGAGCTTGGCGCTGACAGCAATCGCTTTTGCAAACCCACCGTTCTCGAAGACGTCGCTGATGGACATGGTCACCATGCTCAAGGCTTGTTTTTCTTGGTACTCGGGCGAGTTCTCGCGGATCTGGAGCTCCTTCTTGATGAGCGAGAGGAGCTGTCCTTGCGGCAGCTTTTCGTCGTCGACTGCACTGCCAGCGCGCCACAGCTCTTGCTCGAGCTGCATAAGCACCGTGTCGTCATTCTACAGAGAGTGGGGTTAGGGCTCGACGGTCGCACTTGACATCACTACCTTGTCGGTGAGGTACACTTCGGCCGAGGCTTCCAGGAGAAGCTCCACGACGGGGATATGGCACCCATTGGCCGCAAGCATGAGAGCTGTCTTGCCGTCCTACCAACGCCGATGCCTTAGGAACGATCGTTACTGTTGTTGTACTATCTTGTTTTGAAGGTCGACGTTGACCGATTTCGACAAGAGAAACGTGACGTAGGCGGTGTGACCGAGACGGGAGGCCACCATGAGCGCGGTTTCTCCGTTCTAGATGCACGCAACTCAGCCCCACTTGATCATTTGATAGTTGCTACCTCGTCTTGCTTGTCGAGGTCAATGTCGGTCGCGCAAATGTTGTTGAGCGTGTCCTCGGAGAACGACCCGCGCATCGCCGCGTGCATGGCCGTCTGCTTGCGCTAGCAAAGACACGTCCTGTGAGCGTGGAGCCGGATGACGAATGATGTTTCGTACAGCATCCAGCTGGCGCGCGGCGGCCACGTTCGGGAGGTTCAAGAGGAAGAAACCAATGTTGAAGTGAGCCAACTCCCAGCGGTCGTAGACAAGGCGCTCGCTCGGTGTCGCATTCGTTCGCAGCTCGGCCAGGGACGCCTACGCGGCAGCCGATTGAATCGGATTCGCAACGATTCGTGTGCGTACAGCGTTCACGTCTTCGTCCACCATCGGATCCGCGCCAGCTGCGAGCAAAAGCCGGACGATCTTGACATGATCGTTGTCGACGGCGTAGTCCAAAGCGCTCTGACCGGTCTACCATAGACACTTCGTTCACATCCTCAACGCCTCGCATACATGCGTCGTACCTCTTCGGAGCGCAGGTTGAGGTCGAGGGAGGTCTGCGTCAAAAGCAGCTTCAGCACCGGAACGTTGCCGCGTTCGCACACGTGGTGCAAGACCGACATACCCTACAGTACAGAAAAGACCACATGACGATCTGTATACGAAATGCATTGACGGAAATACCCCTTCAATCTTGTTGAGGACATCGGCCGAGAGAGGCGCTTGCAGCACTCGGCGCAGCTCGGTCCAGTTGCGCGCCGCCGCTAGACCCGAGAGGCCGTTGTTGGAGGTCGAACTCATCTTGCACTGGCCCGTGCACTCACGCGGCGCGGCGCCCGTCAAGTACGCGGCCCACTGCAGGTACGACGCCGGCTAATGCAGTGTCGTTCAATGACATATTCCTCTTACGAGTTGCACGATACCAAATGGGCAAAGTCGAGGGTGAGTTTGCCCTTGCAGCTCACGGCGTGGATCGCGCGCATCAAGCGCGACGGCACCGTGCCCGTGGGGTTCTCGGCACAGAAAAGGTCGTGGCGCACCAGCATATCGAGCGCCGTCCGTCCTTCCTACGTCCTCGATCTCGTCAAACCAGCCAAGTGGCGCGGCGAGGAGGTATGTACGTTGTCTTTGGCGCTCGCCGCATCGGCCGGAACGTGCGGCAAAATGCAGTACAGCACTTGGTCCGCGTCGCGGAGGTCGTCGAACATGAGTGCTGCGTGCATGAGCGGCGTGCGTCCCGCCTACGTCTCGGAAGGTCAGAGCGTGCCGCGCTGCAGTCGCGCACCTCGTCCGGGGCTGTCAGTGCTGCCGCAATCTCGTCATCGGCGTTCTCTCCGTGCTTGTCACGCATCTCGGTGAGCCACGCCTCGAAGCGGGCGACCTTGTTGGTGCGGACAAGGGCGTGGACGGGAAAGGCTTGGCGAAAGGTGGCTTCGGCCTCGAGAAGGGCTCGAATGCGTGGGTTCTCGGTCAGGTCGGCGGGGCGCTCGCCAGCCTACGAAGTGCAATCATGTGTGTGACTCGATTCAAAGGGGATGTACCTCGTTGACTGCGTCCAGGCTGTAGCCTTCGGCGAGGACACCGTCGAGGGTCTCAACGAAGTCGTCGTCGTCGTCGTCGTCCGGCGCATTATGGATCACATAATGCAACGCCGTGTTTCCATTCTACGCGAGAGACACGGGTCAGACGACAGGATATCAGGAGCACGGAAGGGTACCGTGGCGCGTGCGAAGATGTCGGCGCCGGCGGCCACGAGCACGGCCGCGCATGCATAGTCGGCGTTGGAAATCGCGACCAGAAACGGCGTCTCGCCGTCCTAGCACGTCCTCGGGTTAGGGTACGAGGACGACGAATTGTCTTTTTGTACCTCGTTGGTGACGTCGACATTCGGGAAGCGCGGGAGGAGCCAGCGAAGCACGTTCATGGCACTGTGGTCCGTCGCGTGGTGCAGAAGCGTGTTGCCGTTCTAGAGGCAATGACGATGACCATGACAAGGACGCCAAGACGTACGGTTGGCGACTTGAGGTCCAAAGGGTCTGGGATGAAGTCCCAGAGATACGTTAGGATCGGGAGCTGGTTGTAGGCGACCGCCCGCTGCATGGTCATCCACGCAAACTACTCACATATTGTCACATTTTGAGCATCCTTGTCGTGGCGAGGTAGAGATAGAACGGACGTTGGGAATGGACTCGTACGGCGTCGACTCGATGAGCGCTTGAACGACTGGCAACGAGCCGGAGAGCGCGGCCATCGAGAGCACCGAGTCGCCGTCCTGCAAACTGGATGTCAGCATGTAAAGAGGATAGCACGTTCAACAGACCTCGTCGAGGCTCGTGAGGTCGTCGTCGGTGATGGTGCCGGGCGTGCGCAGGCGCCAGAGCACTTCGCTTTCCTTGCCTTTGGCCAGGAGCTCGAGGAGCGTCAAGCCGTCGAGGCTCGCGTCGTCGTCGCTGCCGAAGTCGGTCGTGTCACCGCGCTGCATACTGGTGCTTGGACGTGTCCTGTTCAAGAATGACCGATTGATCCTTGTCTCCACCACTGCCTGTGCGGGTTGTAGACGCAGAGTGGTACATCCAGCGCGTGCAGCACGGCCTGATCCGTCACGAGGCAAAGTGAGCGCCAGCAGTCTTGGTAGTGCCAAGGCTGTGTACGGCACCACGTTGGTATCATACTAGCATATCGCTGTGGCATCGCTGGTCGACGATGGCGGGGTCCTGTGCACGGCTTTAGGCTGGTGGCATCGGCAGGAAGCGCGTGCAGCGAGGGTGGCCAGTACGAGCTGTCGACCTCGCATTTACAAGAGCACACAATAATGTCTTCACTTGAAACACAACCTTGGATCGACGACACGAGGTACAGCGTCGTCATAAATTGCCACAACGCGCAGATTCCCAACGTCAAAACGTCGGTTGTGAATCTCAGATACGACATGTGAAAGTGCAGTTTTCAGACGGGTTGTGACGTTGTATTGCATCGGGTTGTGGGGACGCGCTATTCGACGTATCAACGGTATTGAGTTTCGTTTAAAAAAAAAACTCTTCCTAATGCGCTCGCGAGGCGTCGCCGGTGCGTCAGCGAGAAGCGTTAGTGGTCATGATTCGAGATTGTGCGAGGGGCCAGGTAGCGTGCACACCAAGGATCGTCGCGGAGAGCGACCAGCGACGCGTCAAGAGATGGCACCACAGCGCGACGGGCCAAGTGCCGGATGTGCAATCGTGCGGTAGTAGCTGCTCGGATCGCGAGCGCGGCAGCGGAAAGTTGCGTCAGCGTCGAGCGGAAGACACGGTTGTTGCGTTCGAGCCAGAGACAATACCAGACGCAAGCACGTAAGATTGGCCAGAGGGCACGAGCGGGCGACTTGTGGACCGAGTACGGCGCGGCGACATCGTCGTGGAGAAAGCCAGCGACCGACGACGGGAGTTGCATCTGCAGAATGTCTCGCATCGGTGCAACGGCGCACCAGAACACTCGGACGTATGGGCAGCGCACGAGAAGATGATCGTACGTTTCACGGGCTTATGCATCGCAGAGAAGGCAGTGTTGGGCAGCGTGGCCGAGAAAGTGCAAGCTGGCTCGGACTGCCACGGCTTTCAGCGCGACCCGGTACACGAAGTCGCCGTATCTTGGAAGGACGTGAACTGGCTGCCGTAGAGATACAAATGAGGCCGCTCGGCCCGGGTGCGCGTAGAAGGTCGCTGGGACGCCGAGGTGTTGCACTGGAAGCACACGCCAGTCAAAGCGCGGTCGCTGTCGGAAGCCGGTCAGTCGGACGTCCATAGTCGCCGCGAGGACGACACGTGGTCCGAACTTGACGAGCCATGGCGGGGCACTGGTTGGGCGCACGACATGATCGGCAGGCGGGATGAGCTGGAAGCATCGAACGAGAGCGGTCGCGAGCAGCCGGATCCAACGGCGGGTTGGCTGCAACGCTGGAAATAGTCTTGATAGATGTTCTTCGAGTTCGGCGACCGTGAGACCAAGAGCTTGGAAGCTGTCTACGTGCGTGTAACCTTGGGCGACGAGCGTCTCTATGTGCGAGTCGTGATCTTTCGCGAGCCACTTGAGCTTGCTTGACGCAGGGAGATGCGCGTTGTGCCAGAGCGGAAGACGATGAAGCACGAGCGGAGCTGGGCGAGGCGAGCCATACATGGTGTGGACGTGCGAGAACCATTCGATGAGAGCTGATGACCATCGTGCTGGGAAGCTGGGCGCTGCGAGGAGAGCCTTAACTTTCGGGTGGTCCTTGCTGGCATGGAGAAGGTCGCCGAAAGACCCCCACGGGTGGTACGCCTCCTCCATGAGCGCGACACCTGCCGTGGTCCACGTGGGCGGGTCTTCTGGTTGGCTCAACCATGCCTTGACAAAACGGAGCGACGTAGAGCGAATGCGCGATTTCCAGAGGTCGAGCGCGTGCGAGAGACCGAGGCCGCCATGGCGCTTGGCTAAGAAGACAAGTTGTTGAGCGAAGTGCCGATGCGTCCGACGTGTGCTGTGCAGTTGCGGCAAACCTCATCCTTTGACAACCATGCGTTTGAGACGGTGCCGCGACCGCCCTGATTGCAATACCCGATGCCATTGGCCAAAAGTAGAGATCTTTTCGGCCAATTAAATGACACGTTTCGATGGACGACAACGCCAACCGAGCATACGGTCCGGCGGCCTCGTGGCAGCGCTCCCGTCGGCCAGGCCAGCAGTCGAGCTTAGTTGAAGACGGCAGCACGAGCGTCCAGCCTTCTGGCGCCAGCCCAACGCGGATATTCCGAGCTCCTCGTCGCAGCGGTTCTTCCGGCGACGGCTGCCTCACAGCGCGTCGACCTCAGCCCGTCGACCTCGGCCCAATGGCCGCCACAACCAGCTCGGTCTCGTTGATCATGGTGACGATGCCACCACGTGTGAGTTGCTGCGCTGGTCGCATCCGCGCACAGTGGGCCTTCATGAACAGCTGGCATTGAGGATGTCTTGTCTGCGGCTGTCGCTTGCCATTTGAGAATCGCTCGTGCGACGGGCCAGTCACGCTCATGGCCCAACAGAACGAGAACGAGGTGCTGCAGCATCTGCAGTCGCCGGACGCTCTACCTGCCGGCGACCTCTTGGCCCTCGACGAGGTAGCCCTTCCCGCGCTCCGTCGCCATTCATATCCTGTGGCGCGTAGAGCGGCGACTCGGTGCTGTCGCTGGCGGCGCTGCGCGGAAACCTGCCGCTCGTCCAAGCCATTGTGCAGTCGGCGTCGCCCGACACACTGGCCGAGGTTTCGACCCTCGTGATGGACCGTCTTTTGGACCGTCTTTTGATGTAGGTGGCGTGGACGACGCTGCAGCGCGCGGTGGCCAACCCCCACCAAAGCGTCGTCGAGTACCTTTGGGACATACTCCCAGACGCCGCGACGCTCAAGTCGCCCAGTGTACGTGCTTCATTGCTGCAGACAGAAAGGTCATGGATGGCGTAGACGGGCAACTCCCTTCTGCACGAAGCAGTCGAGGGCGGCAACCTCCAGCTCCTCCGCTGGCTCGTCCCTCGCTGTACCGACACGCTTGACGTCTCCAATCACGTACGACCATGTACAATACTGTCTTTTGTATCACATATTTGCACTAGGCGGGCGAAACACCCTACTTGACGGCGCTGCGTCATGTCGACTATGCTAGCGCCGACCTGCTCGTCGCCGCGGGGGCCAGTACCCATGTCTGCACGATGGTACGACGATCTTGTCGCTGTGCATCGAGTCGACTCTATCGCACTAGACGGGCGACTCGGCCTTGCACTACGTCCTCCGCTTCCCGCCCAACGAGAACACGCTCGTCACCGCCGTCGAACGGCTCTTGGCCGACGATGTGCGCGTCGATGCTACGAACCACGTACGTCGTGCGAGGCGTGTGCGTGTGTGTGATGGACGATGTAGGCGGGCGAGCGTCCGCTGGACCTCACTTCAAACCCTCGCATCCTCGAGCTACTGCATACGGAGGTGGCCTTTCGTACAGAGTTTCCTCTGCACTGCCTCGTCCGGAGTAAAAATCTCGACCGACTGGATGCGTGGTTTGCAGCCATGCACGGCGAGCATTCCGAGAACGCCGAAGCCGCGATCGCTGCGGCGCTCACAACGCCAAATGCGGTAGAGTCGTTTCGATAGGTAAACACATTTTCCATCCTTTTAAACGACTAGCACGGCCGGACGCCGCTCATGTACGCGGCGCGCATCTTTGACGAGGCGGCCGGTACGAACCAAGCCATCTACCGCATGCTACCGCACGTGCCCAGCGATGCGATTGCCGCCAAAGATCAAGTAACATTCGATGTGTATCAAGTTGATAAATCGATAAATAATTTTTATGTAGGATGGCAAGACCGTGCTGGACATGCTCTTGCGCCGCGTCCTCGTCTGCGCCACCAACGTCCATGGCTCGTCGTCGGCGCCGCTCCTGCGTGTGATCCACGCCGTGTGCCGGAAAGGCCGTGTGACGATGGACTTTGCCCACTTGGTACTCGACTCGCGCTGCGAAACTCGGATGGTAGTCTTCTTGTAGCCGCCCGAGTACCTCCATGCGACGCGATTCCTTACGGGCACGGCGCCGTGCGAGTGCATTGGCGAGTGCAAGGACACTGCGTCTGCGGATGGCCTCCCCGGGCTCGCGGCCCGGCGCAACTGGACCGAGCTGCGCCGACTGCTGCAGGAGCCTCTGGCAGCCGACGTGATCAACCGAACCGATGCGTGGACGCGCGGGGTGCGCTATCAAATTCTTTGTGATGAGAAACTGAGAAATGTCTTATTGTTGTAGGGTTACTCGGTGTTGCACCACGTGTGCAAGCTAGGGCACTGCGCGACGCTCAAGCAGCTGTTAGCGCAGCCGCATCTGGATTTAGACGTGCGCTCCGAGATGGTAGAGTCATCTTTTGAATGACAGAGATGGAACGGGCGGTGGTAGGACGGTCGGACGGCTCTCGAGCTCGCGACCGAGGCCAACCACGTCAAGATCGTGCGCCGGCTTCTCGCAGCCGGGGCCGATCCGCAAGTCAACGAGGATCTGGACGAAGTACCTATAAGATGCCATAGGTTGTGGGAGAGACACACTGTTGTAGGCGACGTTGGCTCTTCTACGTGTCGACGCGAATGAGAGCCAGCAGCTCGTGTACGATCGGTGGGAGCTGGCGTGTTACCACCGCGGTTTTTTTCTTGTCAACCTTCCCAATGTCGGCGCCGCGCGCAAGCTCCTCGCGGTATCTCTCTGCGCTTCTTTTCGTGGGTTTAATTGATACTTTGATAGATGCACCAAACGCCACTGCATGTGGCCATGCGACTTGAGCGCACCGCCACGTCGCTCGACGAACTCTGTGATACGAGCATCGACCTCGACGCTCAAGACTTGGTGCGCTATTCTCTGAATCGTCAACAAAATCTCATGCTAGCACAGCACGGCGAGACGGCACTGATGGTGGCGGCGGCCCTCGGGAAGCGTGGTCACGTCCAGTTCCTGCTCACCAAAGACCCGAATCTGGACCTCCAAAACACGGTAGCGACCACTGCGTCAAGGAGTGTACGAGGCTAGTGGTATGCGTTGCATTAGAACGGCAAGACGGCGCTTATGCTTGCTGCCGAGCAAGGCCATGTCGCTGTTGTGAATGCCCTCCTCGAGCAGTCGGCGGAAATCACACCAAGGGACAAGGTGCGTTCGTAGAAGCGTCTCGGTTTCGTACCCTAACCCCGGTTGTCGTAGGACGGACTCTCGGTGCTATCGCTTCTGGAACGGTGGCTCGCGACGCAGGGCCATAGCCCGGACGACATGAGCGTGCCGCAAGCGCAGTGCCTTGCGCTCATCCAAAAGGAGCTGCAAGTCCGGGAAAACTCGCCCGAGTACTTGGCCAAGCAAGCGTTGGGCATGGTGACCATGTCGGTCGACCACGTCTTTAACCACGGCGGCTTTGCGGAAGCGATTGCGACCAGCGTCGATCTCGGCGTCACATTCCTCAACGACTGCGTCACGCTGCGTCGTCACGAGGCCGAGTTTTACCACGTACATCGTCTTGCTCGTGGTTCCGTGTACTAGGTCTCAGCTGTGTCGATCCTGGATAGATGGAGGCAGTGTACGGCCGAACGTCCAAGGACAGCGCGCTCCACGCTGTGCTGCACCTCGATTTGAGCGACGCGGACGAAACCTTTGCCGCTCGAAAAACGCTCTTGGAACATATCGTCTTTCGCCGGCTCCTCGAGATCAAGTGGGAGCTATTTGGGAAGCGCATGTACCTCCAGCAGCTGCTCATGAACCTCCTCCTGCTCATCACGATGACCACCGCGTCGTTCCTCGGCAGTGACGAGGCTCCGTCGACAACGGCGTGCCTATTCGGCCTCTCGGCGAGTCTCTTTGTGGGCTTTGGCTACTGGATGCTGACCCGCTTGGAGCCCGAGGCTCTGTGGATTGATGCGCGCTACGAATACGACCACAGCTACGAGCTCGATCCAAGCATCGTGATTCCCAACCTCCGCGCTCGCAAGCAAGTGACGATTCTGATTTCGTATCTGGTGCCCGTTGTGCTCACGGTCGTCTGCTCGCTTTTTCTGGTCGTGTTTGCCTCGTACCTGCACGTTACCGTGTGGTTTCCGACGTTCAACGTTGGGATGCTCTGGCTCACGGCCCTCTACTTTGTCTACACCGAGTGGCAAGAGATGAACGTCGGGCTTCTGACGTACTTTCGGTCGCACATGAACAAGGCGCAGCTGCTTGTCTACGTCAGCATCCTCTATCTCTTTGTGCCCATCAAGCTCAATTGGATCAACGCGGCCGATGAGATTGAGTTTGGACTCTCGGGCTTCCTCACGCTCGCGCTCTGGGTCCTCTCGCTTCAGTTTTTGGAGGTCGTGCCGTCGGCCAGCTTCTTGATGCCCATGATGTCGGACCTTTTCAAGGACATTTGGAACTTCTTCATCCTCTTTAGCGTCTTCCAAGTCGGCTTTACGCTCACGTTTTACCAGCTCTTCCGCGGCATGGACGACAGTTTGCACAAGTTTGGCAGCCTCGGGCAGTCGTTCATGACGACCTACTACGTTTCGTTCGGTCAACTCGCAATCGACTCGCTCGATGCGTTTGGCGCCTCGGAGGAAGTTGACGCGCCGATGATGTACGTGGCGACGGCGTTGTTGATGATGCTGCATGTGGCCATCATGGTCATCATCCTCCTCAACGTCTTGCTGGCCATGATGAACAAGACGGTCGACGGCGGTCTCGAGAAGGCCAAGACGCAAGCGCTGATCAGCTACGCGCAGTGCATTTTGCGCCTCGAGACGTCGATGAACCTCGACGCCGATGGCACGCATGATCTCATCTACCTCCATACCCAACCCGACGACGCTGGCGAAGAAGGGACGCCTCTGGTAGCGCCGCGCGAGTGGCTCAACCCGGTTTTTACCGAGCGCGTCAGCAAGGTGTATCTGAGTCTCTCGGAGCTCCAAGCCACCGAGCTGCAGCGCGTTGCGGCGGACCGAGAAGCGTGGACGATGCTAATGGCTCGCTTCGATGCAACGATCGACAAGGAGCTCGACTACCTCCGCGACAGCTTTCTCCACGTCCAGCACTTTACCTCGCTTGCGGTGCTGAACGTCCTTGCCGTCGATCTCAAGCTCATCGAGACGGCGCGGGCCCTACTCCAGGCCATTGTCGACAGCGCGCGCCAGAGCCGGGGGCAGTTCCGAGACAAGGTCCTCGGTAAGCTCGAGATGCAAGTGGGACGAGAGCTTGCCAAGCTCCAGCAGCAGTTGCTTCGGCTCTGGAAGCCCAAGTTTGACAAGGAAGAGATGAACGCGCGCACCGAGTGCATTCTGATTTACCAAATGGCGCAACGCTCGACGATCGAAGCCCAGCTCAAGACGACGGTCGAGGCGATCCAAAGCGACATGGCCCACGCTGTGGCGCCCAAGCACGCTGCGAAGGCGAGTGAGACGGCCGAGCTCCAAGAGGAAGTCGCCGCTCTCAAGGCGCAGGTGCAGATGCTCTCGGAAAAGATGGACGCGATGCTCTCGCTTCTGACCAAGGGCCCAAGCGTCGGTGCCTGACACTTGTGTTACTACTAAACTAGACTTGGTGGAAATATTGTCTCCCTCCCTTTTGTATCGCCATTGCATTTACAGGCAAAGGACACTGCCGTCTGCGAGGTCGTCCTGTCTTGAAAGAGGATGGGTCGTCTGCAGTGGTCGCTCGCATGTTTGAAGAACCTATATTCTCTCGTCCTTGTGCTGTGGCTTTACCTCAAATGCAAGCGAAGCATCGTCAAGACCATGTACTGAGTCGACAGATTTACGTCTCATCACCGTCACCGTCACCGTCTTCATCCTCGTCGTCTCGCTCGAGCGTATCGAGGCGCTCCAGAATCGAGTCGAGTTTTGCATGACCTGCTCGATCTTCTCCATCGGGCTCTCTTCTTCAGAAATCTTCTCGTCCAGAAGCGCTTCAACGCCGGTGAGAATCGCAGTGGCCGCCGTCGTGACCGTATCCAAGACGGTCGTGCCCTGGATCAGCTGGTACAAGACGATACACTCGCCGTGGGCATCGAGCTCCGTCATGTCGGACGAGACGTTGGCGACGCGCTGCACGTGGTTTTCCAGCTTGTGAAGGCGCCGTTTGACGTGCGCGTGCAGCTTCTCAAGCACTTGAGTGCGATAGACGCCGCGGCTCCGGCGCGCTTCGTCGACGATAGCGTGCAGCTGCTGGCGCGTGCTCCCAAGCAGCCCGAGCTCAGCGCGCAAGGCCGTCGTGACGTCCATGGATGTAAAATGCCCCACATGGAGTAGCCCCGTGTGCACATAGTCGAGCTGCTCCGTGATCGTCGCGTCGACCGAGGCCAGCAGCGTCGCCCACGCCGCGCGGTCCGTCGCACTCTGCACGAGCGCTGCGTTTTGCTCGGCGCTGAGGCCAAGCTCGACCTTGGAGATGGGCTCGGAGAACATTGGGTTGAGCCACAGATCGGTAGCTGTTGGCTTGGCGAGCGGTGAAGACTCGTTCACGGGCGTCGCATCACCGAGATGCAAAAGGTTGAACGTCTCGTTCTCGTCAAGGCCGCGCGCCTCTTCGATGCGAAGGATGCACTGCGCATAACTGATCAGCGCCTGCGTCTTGGCCTTCTCGAGGCCGCCGTCGACCGTCTTGTTCATCATCGCAATGAGCGTATTGAGGAGGATGATGACGACGACGGCCGAGTGGAGCATCATGAGGACCGCTGCGCACGTGTACAGCACCTTCTCCGCGTCGCTGAACGCTTCCAGTGCCGATGTCGGGGCTTGGCCAAACGCGACAAAGAAGGTTGTGATGAAGCTGCTCTGCAGCGTAAAGAACTCGTGGTGCTCTGGGTCAAACTCGTGTTTGCTAAAGAGCTGGTAAAACGTGATCGTGAGGCCGAGCTGGAAGACGTTGAAGACAATGAAGAAGTTCCAAATGTCGCCAAAGAGATCGGCCATCATCGGCAGCAGAAAGCTCGCCGAGTGCACGACCTCCAAAAACTGCAGTGAGAGGACCCAGAGCGCAAGCGAGATGAGGCCACCGACCATGACTTCGAGCGCAAACGGCGACGGAAGGTAGTTGAACTTCATCGGGACCATGACGATGAGGATGAGGAGGTAGATGACCAGCTGGACCTTGTTGGTGTGCGACGACAAGTACTTGCGGTACCCCACGCGCATCTCGCGGGCTTCGTTGATTGCAAAGTAGAGCGCTGTCGCCCACAGCACGAGGTTGTTGGACGGAGCAAACCAAGTCGGCAGCGTCTTTTTGTGGCGCGTCGCCAGTATGTACATGGGTGTGATCACCGCCAGCGTCACCGTGATGGTGACGGCGACAAGAAGACGGCGCACGAGCTTCTTCTTGCCAGCGAGGTCCGGGATCTTGACGCTGGCGTCGAGAACGAGCGAGCCATCGTAGAGACAGCGCGCGAGCCGCCAAAAGAGGCGGGGGCGCAGCGCCTGGACGACGACGCAGCCGACGGCCACAAACACAACGGCCGCAATTCCACCGTAAAACACATACCAGCGGTACGCGAAGGACGGCGCCTTGGCATCGTCCACGTTGTCAATCAGCAGCGACGACGTCGTGTTGGTGAAGAGAAGCAGGAGGTGCATGAGCAGCTGCTCAATGTACTTGCGCTGCGCAAATAGTTCCCACTTGATCTGCAAGAGGCGGCGAAAGGCCACGTGTTCGAGGCACGCTTTCTTGGCCATAAACGTGAGCTCGGCGTTGGGCAGATCCAAATTCACGATCGCGTGGAGCGCGCTCTGATTGGCGCGCGCGCCGTACACCGCTTCGAGCTAGGCGCTCGCGTATGTAAGTGAAAAAGAGAGTAATAAAGAGAGTACCTTTGTAAAAGACACTTCGTGGCGGTCGACGCGCACGCAGTCGTTGAGAAAGACTTGGCCAAGGGTGGCGTTGCAAGTGAGCGCTTTCGCAAAGCCGTCCGTCCGAAACGCGTCGTCGGTCGAGAGAATCACGAGGCGGCGGGCGACCTTGTCCCGGTACTCGGGCGAGTTTTCCCGCGTGTGCGCTTCTTTCAGGAGCACGGTGAGGATCTGACCGAGCTGCGTCGACCGGCTGTCGGGCGTCGCGCCGTGGATTGCAATCTCATTCTGCACCAAGGTCACCACGTGCTGGCCGTTCTACGTATCCATATATCGCATGCGCTTCGGTCGGGTACGAGAGTGAATAGTGCAACCTTGTTGAGGATGTCCATATCGGCGAGCTTGGCGAGGAGGACGTGGACGATATGGAGATGCCCAGCCAGGGCCGCGAGCATGAGCGCTGTCTCACCGGCCTACGACCGCGTTCAATGCATATCTCCACGATACGGTTAGTACGTGGTTGCAAAGATCCATATCGACGTCTTGGCGCAAGAGGTACTCGAGGTTGGTCTTGTGCCCGAGCCGCGCGGCCACCATAAGGGCCGTCTCGCCATCCTACTCGACCAAAATGAGTGGGAACGTTCCCAGAAACTCATACGAGAACGACGCACCACGTCTTGCTTGTCGAGGTCGATCGCGTCGTTGCAGAGTTCGTCGAGGACTTTGAGTGGCTGCGGCTTTAGCATCGCGACATGCATCGCCGTCTGCTTGTGCTAACGATCGTTATAAGTTCTTATTCAATCCCAACGGACGTCGTACGTGAAGATGCTTCAAGACGGTATCCACGTTGGGCACATGGACAAGGTGAAAGTGCGGGTACTCTTGAGCCACTTGCCACACGTCGTAGATAAGCTTGTAGCTGGCCGACGCGGTCGCATGGCGGGCCGCTAGCGCTGCCTAGTACGCTGGACGTCAGCTCTCGACGCCTCGCGATCGCACGTACTCCGTTTAGAGCGTAGTTGACGTTGGGGTTGGCACCGGCGTGGAGGAGCGCGCGGACGATCCGGTGGAAGCCGTTGTCGGCGGCCAGAACCAGCGCCGTCTTGCTCTCCTAATGCTCCACACGTCGACGACCGAGCTCCTTCTTCCTCGTACCTTGGAAGTTGGCAAGTCCAGGTCCAAGTGCGTTTGCTGGAGCAGTAGCTTGAACGTCTTCTTGTCGCCAAGCGCACACACGTGGTGCAACACCGAGTAGCCCTATCCACCACATTTCTGCATGATGGACAGGACGATCGAGAACGCACGTACCTTGACATCGACCTCGTTGATGCCGGGAAAATCGGAGGTCGCGCCGAGTCGCTGCTGCAGCTCGTCCCAGCGCCCGTCGGCCGCCAGTTTGGTGAGACTCGTGCTTTTCGACGAGTGATGAAACCACTTGCAGAGCGCGGGGCACTGCGTCGGCGTCGTGCCCGACTGGAGTCCTTGCGTCTAAGGCCGGATACGAGTCATTCAATCGACCTTCATATCCGATCGCTACCAAGCGCATCGGGTATGGTAGCTGCCCACGGTGGCACACCGCATGGACGAGTTGCACGAGCTTGGTGTTGGACCAATTTTCGGCATTTTCAATGCACGTGACGCCCGAGGCCACGAGGTAGTCGACGACGTTCTTGTCTTCCTACGACCAAGCCATCGTGAGCTCTAGATTGGCTCCACCCAACGATATATTACGTGGTCCCGGAGCTGGAGCGACGCCGGGTCACTCAGCGGCAATAGGAGTTCCAAAAGCTGCGCTTGGCCGTCCCGCGCGTTAAAGTCCATGGCGGCGTACATGAGCATCGTGCGGCCATCCTATACAAGCTAAGTGTCCGCCAGCGCCACCATCCATGAGGTTCTTACCATGTCGGTGGCGCTAAGGGCATTGGCGATCGCTTGTCCGTACGAGTCGGGCTCGGGCCACTTGGTGTGCATCTCGACAAGCCAGCCAGTGACGTAATTGACATTGCCGTTGCGGACCATGCAGTGCAGTGCGAAGTCGCGGCGAAAGACTGGCTCCGAGCGCAGGAGGCGGCTAATACGGGCACTGCGCGACGCCAAATCGATGGGCCGCACGCCGGCCTACGCAAGGTGTGTCATCCAGCGCCCACGAACGTCGTCGTACGTGATTGGGGACGTGGACCGACGCATTTTGCGACAGTAAGAGCTGCAGCATCGACGCCAAACTGTCTTCGTTCTCAATATGCTGGATAGCGATGTGCAGTGCAGTGCTGCCATCCTGTCCTCGGGTGATAAGCGATGAAGCAGGCGAATAGGCACGTACCGCTGTCTGCGCGTCGACCTGCCACTCGCTCGCATCGAGCCAATTCAAGGCCGCGCCATTGTTGAGCCGCACAGCGGCATGAAGTAGCGTCTCGCCGTGCTATACCGACACATGAGTCCGAGAGCGCAGTAGAATCAAAGGTGTACCAAGTTGACCATGGTCTTGGTCGGGCAAGAGTCCAAGAGCCAGCGTAAAACGTCATGGGAAAAGTGCTGAATCGCAATGTGCAGAAGCGAGTCGCCTGTCTAGAAAGGGCCATCTCACGACACGAGCACGAGGCTCGCACACGCACCGAGGGTGACGTTGCGTCCTTGGCGCCAGGAACGCTGGCAAACAGGTACTGGACCACGGGCAGGCGGTCATGCTCGACGGCCGCCGCGATCGGCGCCCACACATACTGTAGGTTCATGACGTCATCATTTTGTCCTGGTAAAAGGTAGAATGACGTACGTTGGGAATGACCGAGAAGCGCGTGTTCTCAACGACGAGGCGCACGAGGTCGAGGCGGCCAAACTTGGCGGCCAGCGACAGGATCGTATGGCCCTCCTATGTCGCCGGCGGTGTACAATGGCAGCACGCTATGAGGTTGGTACCTTGTTGGTGGCGGCGAGGTCGTCGTCGTCGACGCCGTCGTCATTGACGCGGTGGCGAATGGCGCCAAACCGGTTGCGCCCAAAGAGCATCACCAAAGTCGCGAGGTCGTCCATGCCCCCTGGAAAGGCCGTCTCGGCAAGCATGTCGTTGACCGAGTCCGAGTGCTCGAGCTCCATGCGTCCGAGCTCCCGTTTGCTCATGTCGGAATCTTCAAAAATGGATCACGGACAATTCCACCGCGAGGCCACAAGCAATCAATGTCGGTGTTGCCGCAGGGTTGTGGCAGCTGGTGTGCCCTATCACCGAGGCGACCGTGGTCCTCGGACGCCAGCTGGTTTTGAGGAATCCGACATTGCCGTGGTTTTGTATCCAAATGAACAGGACTCGGCCAGCTCTTTGAGCTTACTGGGGCTGATACCGCTCGTAGTACATGATCCTTGACCGCGCAGGCCAGTCTTTTGCAGCTTAGCGCTGGTACCCTGGAGCTCTGACTGGAACGACCACCAAGAACTTGGTGGGGTGGCTTTAATCTGATAGGAGCAATACCGACGACGCCTTGGAATCGCCCCGCAAAAAAGTGCGATCCCCCGCAATTTCGTGCTCAACTCCGACGGAGTTTGTCCCTCGCAGCGAAATACGCAGCGACCCCCTCTCGGCGTCTGGCTACACCAAGGGAATAAATTATTCCCTTGGGCTACATACACCAACGTCGGTGTGAGGCAAGAAGACACAAATTGAAGTCATCTCCTTCACTACAGTACTAGTGGCATTATAGCAAAAGTACATACACCAAACACGTACACAGTAATGAAGTTATAATTCAGGCTCGTGTACAGTTTTGTCCCCTAGAAAACGCTGTCGATCATTTTTAAATAATGTCGAGATGCAGCACGTCTTTGGCCGCGACGATGGAGAGGCTCCCAGTGGGAGCCTGTCTCGGCCAATGACGCCGTCGCGTTGGCAGAGTACAGAGGCGTCCAAGCTTTGAATCGAATCCGTGAAGAGTCAAATCAATGACGCGCTCGAGGTATTTGAAGACACGTTTGCGCGCGTCAAAAAATTTCGATGCTGGAGGTCAAGAGCGTGTTTCGCACCGAGCTTACGCTGCTGGCGGCGACGCGGGCTGGAACCGCCGACCTTTCTGCCCATGCCACGGATGGGCCCACAACGTGCGTTCGTGTCCAGCGGGAGGCTGTCAAGCTCCGTGATATGCCATTATCGACTTGTGGCAGCCCGATGTGCTGTCGCCCACGGCCAATGCGTTCTTTCGTATCTGCTCTCGCATCAAGCGACGTTGAACGAGATGACAAAGCGGCCGTTGTTGATATCTTTGCAGCGCTGCAAGGGAGCGAAGACGTACCGTTGCCAGCGTCGGTGACGGCAGATGACGAAAGCTCCCCAAACTCAATACTTACAGAGAAAATCCGCGTCGTGCGACGACGATGTCCTGTTCTGACAGTAGGAATTCCCGAGGCATAGCAAGTAGTAGTCCATTGAAGCAACCTCTCGGTGGCAGCAGCCAAAACCTTCGAAACAACGGCGACGTTCGATCTTTAGTAAAGAATTTTACTTCTTTTCTACTCTTCAACCTACAGAAACGAAGCCACCGATCATGGAGCACGCGACGTACTCCAAGCCCAGGTTTCAGACCGCGTCGTCGTCCATGGAGACGCTGCTCGATGTTGTCGACGACGACGTTGGCGGCAACGAGGCTGAGACCGACAACTCCAGCAGGACCATGGCCGAGCTTCTCCTTGACGACCAAGTATCGGCTGTGGTGCAGCGTCTGACCTTGAAAAGAGTCACCGACGACGACCTCGTAGCTTTGTACGAGGTGTGTCTCCGATATATTCTCAGCGTCACGCCCACGAATTGCATAGGGGTGGACCATCTTGTCGCTTGCGGCTGCCGAGGGCCACGAGCGCATTGTGCAGCTGATCTTGGAGACGACGCCGTACCGAAAAATCCCTGAGGTACAAAAAACATCAGTGTTATGCGCTTGTTTAGTAAAGAGCCTAAAGTATGCAACCGACCCGATGATTCAAGCTGTGAGTCGGGATCAAGTGAGCATCGTTCAACTGCTGTGGACAGCGATACCTGGTCAAGTTGACGTCAAGGACGGCGAGGTGCGAATTTTCGTTGCATTCCCATTGGTTGCAATTCGGTCGTAGGCTTCGCTCCTGCACATTGCAGCTCGTGAGTACGCCCACACTGTGCTGCAATGGCTTTTGCCGCGCTTCCCGACTGTCGATCCGATTGACGGAGTACGAACAACGCGCGAGAAGTATTGATTCATCTGACCTCGCTTGGGTATACTAGGAAGGCCAGACCCCGCTGCATCTAAGTGTCCAAACCAACAACGACCGCGGCACGAATCTTCTCTTGCGCGCGGGCGCCAGCGTCAACCTTGCGAATGCGGTATACAATCAATCGATGGAGCACGATTCAAAAATCCAACCGATTTATGCATGACATTCGTAGCTGGGTAACACAGCACTGCACATGGCGATCGCGTCCGTCGGCGACGAAGACGACTGTCGCGAGTATGTCCAGCTGTTCTTAACGGCCAACGCCGACGTCAACATCAAGAACGGGGTACTCAGAACTGATGTACAGGCGGCGATTTTTTTTGTTGGTGGCGTAGGACGGAATGCGCGCGGCCGAGCTCACTGAGGTTGCCGCTATCCAACATCTCTTGGCGAACGAAGCAGTGTTCCGCGCGCAATTCCCGTTGCATTGCATGGCCCGCGCCAACGACGTCGTCGCCTTCGATGCGTGGCTGGCCAAACAGCCTGTCGATGAAGCCCAGCGCAAGGCCAACGTGGCCACTGCACTCTCTGTCCAGGACATGGTCGTTAAACGACTCTCGGCACTTGCTCATAGAACCCTTAGGATGGATTGACAGTGGTCATGCACGCCACCAAGGCCATCAACAACACCAAGCCGAATCAAGTCCTTAACCAGCTCCTCCCCTACTGCTCTCCCGACACCTTGCAGATTCCAGCGCCGGTTTGTTGTCGATTAGCCTTACACGAAACGATGTTCTATAGTAGAATGGAGAGACTGTCCTAGATCTGCTCTTGCAAGCCAAAGTCACGTGCTTGGCCAACCCGACCACGCCTCCAACGACGCGCTCCTCAAGGCACTGGAGGGTGTCATGGTCTGTCTCGACCACGAGCTCGACCCAACGACTCTTGTATCTCATATTGACATTGGTGGGCGCAGTGGTCTAATACGCTTTGAGTAGCCTGACGCGCTGCTCTACGCCAAGCCTCCTCTTGCATGCTTTGGCGCTTGCCGAGAGACGCGCCGGTCGGGGGCCATCAACTACATCCAATCGGCGGAATCCAAAAACTGGAACGAGCTTCAGAGCCTTTTGAAGAGCAACGGTAGCGCCGCGACGATCAACGATTGCGACGACAAGGTAAATCAAACCATATTTTCCTTGAATTTATTTTGTTTTTAATGGGTTAGGGCTATGCCGTGCTGCACCACGTCTGCAAGGAAGGAAGCGTCTCCACGCTGCAAGTGCTGCTCCAACAAACTCGTCTCGACATTAACCTCGAAACCGAGAATGACGTAAGCGTCTATGGAACCATATACGGCGTCCTAATCAATCAGTTATAGGAGACGATGTCGGCGCTTGCGCTCGCGGCTGCCAACCAACGCATCAAGTGCGTGCGCCTGCTATTGCTCGCTGGCGCCGACCTCAATGTCGATGAGGACGTGGACGATGTACAAATGTGTCAACATATCAAACCACTGACTTGTTGCTCTGCGTAGACTCAAATGAAAGAGCTACGCACAGTCGCAAATCCGAGCCAACTACTCGTCTACGACAGCTGGGCACTGGCAAAGACCCACCCGACTATTACCTCGCACGACTGCCCAACATCGACGCCGCCAAGAAATGCATTCAAGTAGCCAGATAGATATTTCGGATGGGATTCATGAATGACGTAGTCCAAACAAACCGCCCTGCACGCCGCGATGCGGGTTCAGCTGCCTGAAGACGTGTTGGACGATATCGCCGACAACGTCGATCTGGACGCGCCCGACGACGTAACCATTACGAAGGCGCCATGTCACGTAATCAATTATTGTGATAGGCGGGTGAGACGGCGCTCATGGTCGCGTCCAAGCTCGGTCACCTCCAGAATGTTCGATTTCTAATCGAGAAGGAGGTCGACATCGATTGCTGCGATAAGGTGCGTGGTTTCAGACAATCGTATTGTTGAAAAGAGTAGCATACGCCACCTTAGACAGGACGCTCGGCCTTGATGCTCGCGGCGGTCGCTGGTCATGGAGATGTGGCCGAGTATCTCGTCAACCATTTGGCTGATATTGTCCTCATCGACAAGGTATGAAATGCGACAAGTGAGCGTGTTCAACGCTACCTCGTAGAACGGGGCCACTGTGCTGGACCAGCTTGCGACGTTCTGTCGTGGCCAACCACCTAGCAAGGACGGGTGTCGCGACTCGCCCCAAGCACAGATCCTCGAGATGCTGCTCAAGGAGGCACAGACACGAGCGACGTCGCAAGCGTACCGTGACAAGGTCGCTTTGAGCATGGTCACTCAAACGACCGACGAGGTCTTTGGTGGGGACGGTGCCAAGTTTGGGAACGCTATTCAGTGCAGCAGCAAACTCGGCCAAACGTTCCTCGACGACTTCATTACGCTGAGCCGCCACGAAGCAACGTTTTCCAAGGTACTGACAAACGATGTGTATCTTGGAAAAATGCCCACTTGACGATGGATAGCTGGATGTCCTGTATGGCTCGTGCGCTGAGAAAGGCGCGCTCGACACCGTTCTCAGCATGACATCGACGGACGCCGACGCGGTTTTTGAGACCAAAAAAACATGCCTCGAGCACATCGCCTTTCGTCGGCTCCTCGAGATCAAGTGGGAGCTGTTTGCCCAGCGCAAGTACATTGAGCAACTGCTGATGAACGTGCTCCTCCTGTTGACAATGACCACGTCGTCCGTGCTCTTCACCGACGAGCGGCCCCCGCTTCTCGTGTTGATCTTTGGTATCTCGGCCGTGACGCTGGTCGCCGTGGCGTATGCTGTCGTCCAAGGTCTTCGTCCGACCGTGCTATGGCGGCTGGCACGCTTCTGCTATGACGGCAGATTGACTCTAGACGTCTCGCTTGTCATTCCTGACTTGCCTCGGAAAAAAGCGATGGTCCGACACAGTTTAATGCTGCTCACGACGGGGCTCACGCTCGCGTGTGTGCTGCCATTGCTTATGTTTGCCGATGCGCTCGGCATGGATACGTGGTTCGCGTGCTTCAACAACGGCGTCTTGGGGCTCACGGCCCTGTACTTTGTCGTGAACGAAGCGCAAGAGATGAAGGCCGACCTCCGCGGGTACTTGGCGTCGACCATGAACAAGGCGCAGCTGCTCATTTACCTCCTCATTGTGACGGTCTTTGTCCCGATGAAAATGGAGTGGGTCGCCGTCTCGTTTCAAGTTCAAGTCGGTGTCGGCGGCTTTCTCACGCTTGCGCTTTGGGTCTTATCCTTGCAGTTTTTGGAGGTCGTGCCGTCAGCGAGCTTTCTCTTGCCGATGATGGCCGATATTCTCGCCGACATTTGGAACTTTTCATCCTCTTTGGCGTCTTTCAAGTCGGTTTAACGCTCACGTTTTACCAGCTCTTTCGCCGCAAGTCGGACGAAGCATTTGGGAGCTTGGCGCAGTCGTTCATGACGACGTACTTTGTCGCATTTGGCCAAGTCCCCTTGAGCTCCCTCGACGCGTTTAATGACGCGTCCGATGTGTACAGCGACATCATGTACACGGCAACGGCACTTCTCATGATGCTCCACTCGGCGATTGTGGTTGTCGTCCTTCTCAACGTCCTCCTCGCTATGATGAACAAGACAGTCGACGGCGGTCTCAACAAGGCCAAGACGCAAGCGTTGATCAGCTACGCGCAGTGCATCTTTCGGATCGAAGGAGCCATGGCCCTCGATGAAAATGAAACCAAAGCCGTCATTCACCTCGGAACAAACAAGCGTGGCGACTTGGTTCTCAACCCAATCTTTGCCGAGCGCATTTCAAAGGCGCAGCTGGAGCTTTCGGTCGAACAAGCGGACGCATTGATGGCGACAGCGAGCCTCCGTGCGGCGTGGTACCAACAGATGCAGACCCTCGACGCCGTCGTAGACAAAAAGATGGACTTGGTCCGTGACGGGCTGTTGCACATTGATCATTTTGTCGCGCTCAACATCAGAGCGGCGTTCGGAGACGAGCTCAAGGCTCTCGAGTCGTCGCGCAAGCAGATCAAGGACGCGATCGAGACGGCGCGCCGCAGTCGTGGCGAGTACAAGAACGACATCCTCGCGCGGCTCCGACGCCGCACGAAGAAGGAGCTTGAGAAGCTCAAGAGGAACATGACTGGTCTCTGGAAACCCAAAGCGACGGGAAAAGGCTGGGACGACCACGCCAAAGGTGTGCTGCTGTATGAGCTCACACAACGCTCGTCCATTGCGGCGCAGTTGGAAGTGACATCAGACAGTATCCAAACGGCAGTGAACGACCCAGCCAAGGTCCAGATCGAGGAGGACGACGATGACAACGATGGAGACGACTACTCGGAGGCCGAAGACGACGACGATGCTCCAGAGAACGGCATGGCGCAGCTCAAGCGCGAGACGGCGGCGCTCAAGGTCGCCAACGAAGCCCAAGCCAAGCAGCTCGAGACCATGACGTCCAAACTGGATGCGGTGACGACCAAGCTCGACGTGATCGTAGCGCTCTTGGGGCATCGCGCCGACGCGACCGAGTCAATGCGTCGTCAGAATCGTTTTGATGTCGATCTTGGATTCCGTTGTATACAACTGTATTTTCTTCGTGGTCTATATGTTGGTGAAAATGACAAGAAACGTAAGATGTTGAACGGAGTCATGGACAGAATGCCCGGACGCGGTTGGATACCGGAAATGGGGTGATGCTATCAATCGAAGCTATTACCTAGTGTGTACGAAGGTATAAATTATGGCTTTTGAAGTGCTGTAGACATTAACCACATGAACGAGTACAATCAGAGATTATGATCAAGGGTCTACTACTACTGCCGTGTTAAGCGTGTTTCGTGCCAGAATCTTTAGAACCGTGTCCAGCTTGGCCGCAATCGCTTGGTTGTCGGCCCTTAGCTCGGCCATTTCCTTGTCCTTGGCGGCCGCGAGTGCTGTCATCATCATCTCCTCGCGTGTCTTGAGCTCTGCGAATTTCTTCTCCGTGGTGTCCTTGAGCGCCGTCAATTCTTGCTGTAGTCGCACCACCTCCTTTGTCAAAGGTTCGGGGGCTGGCGGCGTCGATGCTGAACTTGCTGACGTAGCCTTAGCGTCATCATCGGCTTGTGGTGTGAGCTCAAGCTTGGCCACATGTGCGATTGCACGCATGATGGCTTCCGCCATGGTCGTCAGATGCACGTCGATTGACACGCGTTGGTTGAGCTGGAAAAGAAGAACGCAGTGGCCATGGTCGTCCATTGGCTCGGTCTCGTCAACGCGCCGCCAGAGATCGGCGATCTGCGCCTTGCACAAACGAAGCTCCTTGAACACGCGATCGCTGAGCTTGTGGAGCACGCAATCTTTGAACTGTCCGCGGCTACGACGCGCCAACTCAATCGCCTCCTTGATAGCCTTCTGCTTGGACGTAAGGACAGTCAGCTCGACGGCAAAAACCGTGGGCGCGTCCAAATCGGTAAAGTGACCGACATGCAGCAAGCTGTTGCAGGCAAAGGTCATCTGATGCTCGACGATCTTGTCCAGAGCGTCCATGTGCTCGCTCCAGGAAACTCGGCGACTTGTCATTTCCAGCAGGGCATCCGCTTGCTCCGATGATATTCCCAGCGCCGCCTTTGGAACACTCTTTGTGAAAATCGGGTGCAGCACAAGCGTTCCATCTGCGTCGACGAGGTGCGTGAGCTCAATCGTGTCTTTCTCGCTGAGGTTCATGGCGCCTTCGAGTCGCAGGATCGATTGCGCGTAGCTGATCAACGCTTGCGCTTTGGCGTTTGCGAGGCTGCCTTCGACTGTCTGGTTCATCATCGCCAACAAGACGTTGAGCAGGACAACGACCATGATGGCCGAGTGCGCCATCATGAGGATCGCCGTGCCGATGTACAATGTGTCGTAGGATTCCGAGACGTCCGTGGTGTTGGTAAACGTGTCGAGGGAGCTCAGAGGGACTTGGCCAAATGTGACAAAGTACGTCGACATGAACGACTGACCAAGCGAACTGAACGCGGCGTCCGGTGAGAGCACAAACAGCTGGTAAAAGATGAGCGTCAAGCCAATTTGGAAAATACCGAAAATGAGGAAAAAGTTTGAAATGTCGCCAAAGAGGTGCGTCATCATGGGAAGGAGGTAGCTGGCGGACGAGACGACCTCCAAGAACTGCAGCGAAAAGACCCAGAGCACCAAATTGAGCAGCGCACCAAAACCAACTTGAACTTGAGTCGAGACCGGTAGCCATTCGAGTTTCATCGGCACGAAGAGACCGAAAATGAGACCGTAGCAAACCAGCTGCACGACGTTCATGGGCGAGGAAATGTACTTGCTGGTACCGATGGCTTTGATCTCGTGCACCTCGTTGATGATAAAGTACACGGTCGTAGCTGCCAGCACGGCGTTGTTGAATAGAGAGAACCATGCTTCGATGTGGAGCTCGTCTGCTAAGTGTAAAAGTACAACCGCCAGTGTCGCTGTAAGAACGACGGTGCACACTACCAGGCACCATCGCACGTGCCGTTCGGACGGCATCTTGGCCGCGAGGCGAGCAAACTGTCGCGGCCGGAGACCTTGTGCAGCAATAAATCCGAGAGCAACCAAAAGAGCTGCCGTGAGCCCGAGACCGTAGCTCGTGGACGACGACGGCGCGTCACCAAAGAGAATGGACGATATCGTCATCGTCACCAGCAACAAGAGGTGCATCAGCAGTCGCTCGACATACATGCGCCGGCCAAAGAGTTCCCACTTGATCTCGAGGAGCCGGCGAAAAACGACATGCTCCAAGCATGCTTTTTGGGCCGCAAACGTCTCGTCGGGGTCCTTGAGATTCAGATTCAGGATCGTGTGAAGGGCGCTGGATCGGCATTCAAGACCGTACACGAGGTCGAGCTACCGCATTTGCATGAGTAAAAGGCTGATTCAAACCATTGCACACAATAAGACCTTGGTGAACGTCGCGTCGTGGCGACTCATGCAAACGCAGTCGTCAAGAAACAAGGTGGCGATTGCCGGGCTGCACTCGATGGGTTCTGAAAACCCATGCTTTGAAAAGACCTCGTGCGTCGTCTTGGTCACGAGACGTCGCGCGAGATGCTCACGATACGCCGGCGAGTTGTCGCGCAGCTCGATTTCCTTCACCAAGAGCGCGTGGATGTCGTCGCCAAAATACGCACGGTGCTCCTACGATTCGGTGTCAAGCCATTCGCTACGACGCCAAACGTACTTTGACAACGGGCATGTCTGCAAAGAGCTCCAAGAGGCGTTCGACTACAGCACGATGGCCTTTGTGACCTGCGCGTACTATCGCTGTGCGGTGTCTCTAGGCAACTGTGAGTGCGGTGGATCGTGGGCGAGAAGTACTTGCCAAGTCGGCGAGATCAATGTTGGCCCCATGGTCGATCAGCAGCTCCACGTGGTCGAGTTGTCCATTGTCGGCCACGATCATCAGTGCGGTCTCGCCTTCCTACCGCCACAATCCAGGTCTTCTCTTCCATTCTCAATGACTTGCAGGTACCGTTGTGACACCGTTGATATCAATGTCGTCTCGGGCAAGGAGCGTCTTAAAGACGGCGATGGGCAGTGCTTTTTTTGCCGCGACGTGCAGCGGCGTATCATTGTACTAGACAAACAGGTTGCGATATCAATGTACCATGACAGGGTTTTGCCAACCCGCAAGTGCTTCTTCATGTCGTCCACGCTAAGGACCCGTGCGAGGTAGAAGGCGGGGTAGCATGCGGCCATTTCCCAGCTGTTGCAACGGAGATATTCGCATTCGCTTCCGCGCTTCTCAATTTCATCGGCGCGTTTCTATAAATTGGATATAAGGGATGTATAGCGCTTCATCTTTTGTACCGCTGAGTATGGCTCGCGATAGCCGTGGTGGGCACCGGCTTGGAGCAAAAGTTGGACATAGTTGTCCTCATTTTGCGCTTCGGCCATCGCCAAGGCCGTCTTGCTACCCTAGAAACGCGAGTGCTTCCAAGTAGACACCGTCTCGTGGACGTACGTCGCGCGTGGTGCGGTCGACATGCAATCCCGGTAGTTTGAGCAAGAGCTTTAGAATCGGGAGGTTTCGTTTGGCACAACAATGATGCAGGACCGTGTAGCCCTACATAGTGTCATCTGCAGGGTAAAAATGACTGGGAACGAACCTTGGTATCATAGTCGTTGATGTCGTCTAGGTTCGTGCCGGCTTCTAAACGACTCTCGAGCTCAGCCCACTTCTCGTCGGCAGCGAGCTGTGCCAAGGTGGAGGTGGAATGGGTGGACTGGCGCCCCCCGTACAGGCACCGCAGCACACGAAGGGCGGAACCCCATACTGAAGCCGCTTGATCTACAACGTTATAACGATTGTGGTTCGTAAGCTTGTGGAGCTACCGTACATTTCTGCCAAAATCCAGCGCACGTTTTGTCTTGCGGCACACGACGTCGAGCGATGCGATCAGCGCCGCGTTCGTGACTTCGCCCTTGCAAATGACATCTTTCTCCAAGAGGTACTCTTGTGCACTTCGCCCCGACTAGACATTGAATGTCAGTGTCGGCGTATGCAATCGAGCCACATCGACATGCCTTGTCTTGCAGCAGCAAGCATTCCAAAGTGCAGTAGGGCAAGAGTCGTGGTAGGACTTGGACAGCGGCATAGGGATCGAGGGCTTCAATAGCGTGCAGCACGACAGTCTTGCCGTCCTATTGGAGGCTAAGCAACAGTAGTCGGGCAGGACGAGCGACCGACCATGTCGACGGACGAGATCTCTTTCTCGATCTGAGCCCTCGAATCCGAATCCGACGTTGCACAAGCCAACATGTCGCTTAGCCACGCGTTCATGGCCGGCACGTCATTGGCACGGGCGATGCGATGCAGAGGGAATTGCATTCGAAAGTCGGCTTCTTTTGCCAGGCGTTCAAGCGCCATTGGGTCGTCCGTGAGGTCGGCCGGTCGCTGTCCCATCTACGTACAACGTTCGTCAGCCCGACGACTGCTTTGTGAAGCAGTACGTTGTTTTTGTATCCAAGGCCACGTTTAGAATGAGGAGGCGCTCCAGCACCAGGGCTCGGTCGCCTCCTCGATGTAGCGCCTTGAGGACGATATGCAGCGCCGAGTCGCCGTTCTACCAACCGGGTTAGATACCATGCGCCTCTTGCAGCCTACGTCGCTGGTAGCGTGAACGTCTGCACCGGCGCGCAAGAGCATAGCCAATCCTCGGACATTGCCGACCCGGCTGGCCGTATGCAATGGCGTCTCGCCGCGCTAGAATGGACATACTAGCTATCCGCAAAGAGTCTCTAGTAGTACGTCGTTGCGGCTGCCGACCGAGACGGACTGTGTCAGAAGCCACGGCATCACGGAATGGGCACTCGACTCGGCAGCGTAGTGCAAGAGAGAGCTGGGTTGAAGTGCATTCGATTCTTCCTATGGAAATCCAAAGGTTCTTTCCAGTTGCACAATGTACAATATGCCATACGGCGTCGCCCAACGCTGGAATTAGCGACGGGGCGTGCGCTGTGAGACGCTCTAGAACGGCCGGTCGATCTTGCGTCGTGGCAACGACAAGAGCGTCCATGAAGTCCTAGCCACTAAAGTGTACACACGGATAATGACAGATTGTGCATACTGTTGTCCGTAGCTCCAAACACGCCAGAAACAGCGCGTTCTTTTGATCGACACCCGCATTGCGACCAGCGGTAGCACCAACCTACACGACACGTTTCATCGTGCTACAAAGTAACCTCTGGTAGACCTTCTTGGCGTCAATGGGGACCACGGATCGCTGTGGCGCCCCGGCGAACTTCTGGTGTGCGAATGACGATGCTTCCGCATCGTAGAGGTCCGCAGCATTCGAAGACTTGTCACTAGACTCTGATTCTGGTGAGCATGGAGCAACGATGAGTCGCTTGATGGGAGTCCGGCGTCGCCACACCCAGAGCGATGGCATCGCCCGTCAGCAAAACTCGGGACGGTTATGTGACCGGATTTGGCATTTCGCTAGTAAATGTGGCACTTGCCACATCAGTAAGCGTTGCGGGTCGCTCCAATACATGGGATCTAAGCGAACTCTCGGCAGTGCACGTGGACCGGTGTAAGTGCATATTGGTCTACGACAAAATTGTAGTATGCATCGCTATACTATTAAATGATGTTTTTTGCTTTGAGCTTTAGGATCCGTGCGCGTGATCCAGGTGCTGGCCGACGCGCTTTAACATAAAATCGGTGAGCGCGGCCTTGCTACACCCACAGAATCGTCCTTGCGCAGGCAGACTGGGCTCAAGTTAAGGTCGAGTCTGGTCAAGTCATACTATTTCAGAAAAAATCGGCGCTCATGCCGACAAGACCTGCACAGCGTCGTTAAATTGCCGCAAGCTTTCTAGGGCCTGCACGTAGCGATTCAGTTAACGCCAGCAGTCATAAGCTGCGTGTGGCAGCGAGCTGCACGAGCACCACGTCCAATGCACCTGCTGGGACGAGCGACCAGTCGATGAATTTCACCCGCGTCATGTAGCGCAGCGCTCCCGAGAAGCAATTGCTGCGTCCTGGGACCAGCTGTGCGTGGCCAAGATAAAGTCAAATGCGGCATTTTTCGCAGTGCCATGCAGCAGAGCGTCCTGCCGTCGGCTGTGGAGGACGTTGCGGCAAGGGCCCACCATGGCGATGGGCATGACTGCAGCGCGCGATGCAAGAAGAGCCGCACGCAAGCTCGGTACCATCGCTGCCGAGACGAGAGTCGCACGACCGAGATGCTCGTAGAGGTTCTAAGGACCGTTGAGGCAGCGACTTGAGCGTGCGATTCGTAGATGATGAGCGGGCGTAGAAGCACATGCGTCCATTGCTGCACGCGCGCTCGCCGATGACATCGCTCGTAGCCTGGTCGCAGATCTCGCGAGCGAGCAGGAGCGCATCATCTCGCGGCCAGTCGCGTGCCCAACGTGCCGGCAAGGCCGTCGATAACATTGGCCAGGGCTCCACCTTTGCGCCGACGCGGTCGTTGGCCATGCTCACCGACACGTCGCGGAAGCACCTCATCAGGGCACGGCAATAGGACATCGGGAAATGTGCAAGGTGGTTGAAAGGCTGATTCCAGAATGCGTACTGATGATTAGCTGAAATCAGTCGGTTAATTCAGCCATTTCGATTTGCTAAAATGCCGACTCGGCGGTTTTCGATCCGCGCCGCCGCGCCGCTGAGGTCGATCGGCCGCCCAACTCGAGTTTTAATGAAGTCGCCCATACTTGACTAAGTTATAGAGGACACTCTTGAGAGCTCAAAACTCCATTTCGCGTCGACGTTGCCGCTGTCTAGCGCTCCCTGCCGGCTTTGCAATGCATTGTGGCATATGCCATATCAAGACACTGAATGCCACCTTTAGTGCCACACCACGCACAGTTCGATCAAAACGTCCCACCAAGATAGCCTTCCCTTGATTCAACGCGCGCTCACTGCGATAACAAAGCCACAAGTCGTATCGACGGCGAGAAGGATTCTATACACGCCTGCACCGTCCCCACACGCACACTCTGGAGTGAGACTGTCCGTGCCCATGAGGACCGCGAAAATGACGTGGCAGGCGGGCGTGAGGCGCAGCATAAGCAATATCAATCCATGGTAGAGCCGCGTCCAAGCTACGTAGGCGTACGTGGCATGCAGCGTTGATTCCGCCGTGTGTTAGATAACAGACCACCGGTTAAAAAGCAAAGCAAGCGCTGGCTCCGAATGTAATATCCGGGTATGGTGCCATTTTGGCCAATCCGAGACGCGTATTTTTCATTTGATCGGAAGCGGGCGATGGAGACGACGACGCTCGCGCGGGCGACGGCCGAGGTCGCGGCCGACCTGCGGACGAAGGAGGAAGCGCTCCACGCGCTCGAAGGTACATGGACGCGCTTCCTGCCTCGTCGTGGAGGTCAAGGCGATCCAAGACGATGCGAATGATACCACATACGTATGGCAGAGCAACTGGTCCGACTGCAGCTGCGGGTCCTCCGGCTCAAGCCCCCGCTTGTGCATCTTCAGTGCCAGCTCTCGAGTAGCACTGCCGCTCCATGAAGAGGACCTAGCATCAAGACGGCTGCGCTACCACCATCGGAGCGATCGATGGCTGCGGGTAGCGTCGAGGTACGGCGCGTCGAGTTGCATATGCACTGGCGTGATGATGACCTTTTCCGTAGATGTCGTTCAGCATGCGTGGAGTGGACTACTCGCCTGTGATATCGAGGGTGTAGTACACGAACGATTGACGACGTTCGTCTCTGTAAGCGCTCGGAAGGCGAGGAAGGGCGGGAGACAGCGTCGTGCTGTCCCCACTTGGGCACGGACGATGGTCTCGCGGACTCGTACTGCACCTGCGACGCATGTCTATCTGCCGACTACCAGTGCATTGAAATCCCATGGCCGATGAATCGGCTGCATTGCTATGTCTTCCGGTGCCTCCGCTGACGTAGGTTGATTTGGATGTGCCAATACGCGAAGAGCGTATCGCCTAGCGCCTCGAAGGGGCTGCGTCCCGATTTCTCTCGATGTATAAAAGCGGGGAATGGGTAGACGGATGAAGATGACGTAAGCCTTACTTGAAGTGGTGCATTTGGTCAGCGATTTACAATGTTTTCATTGATACCTGTTGGGAATTGCACCAGACGCCGCGTTCAGCTCTCGTGGTCAGTCGTTCCTGTCGACGTACTTTGTCACATTTGGCCAAGTCCCTCTGAACTTCCTCGACACGTTTACCAACACCACGGACGTCTCTGAATCCTACGACACCTTGTACATCGGCACGGCGATCCTCGTGATGGCGCACTCGGCCATCATGGTCGTCGTCCTGCTCAACGTCTTGTTGGCGATGATGAACCAGACGGTCGAAGGCAGCCTCGCAAACGCCAAAGCGCAAGCGTTGATCAGCTACGCGCAATCGCTCCTGCGAGAAAGACGCGATTGAGCTCACGCACCTCGTGCACGCAGATGGAACGCTTGTGCTGCACCCGATTTTCACAAAGTCATACAGACCCAGCTCGTAATATCCACGGAGCCGATCCATGTTTTGGTGGAAGCAGGCCACCACCGAGCGCCGTGGAGGCATCAGATGGATGCTCTTGCCAAGACCGTCGACGACCAAATGAATTTTGTGCGCGATGCGTTGCTCCATGGCGATCACTTTATGCAACGTCCTTTGGATGTGATGGAGGTCTGTGACGACGAGATGAACGAGCTCGTTTTCTGAAAACATCACATCCAGGCGGTAATCCAGATGGCGTCTCGTAGCCGCGGGCGCGCTAAAGAGGCTCGCAAAAACGGTTTTGGAGGAAAACGGATGATGCGGTTCCTGGGGCTGCGCAAGGCGCCGATGCGAACGATTCCCATCGCTCCTTTGCGCCATACTCGAGCCCTGGTCGCCCCGACCTCATTCGAGTCAGAGCCAATCGTCGACGACGAGGCGCAGGTGCTTCTCGATACGAACGATGTAAACAAGTCGATGGCGGAGCTGCTGCACGAAGGCAAGAAGCAGGCCGTGCTCCACCGCCTCGAGCAGCCCGAAATTTCGGAAGACGACTTGACAGAAGAATACATGGTGCACAATTATCGCTCCCACTGTCCTCTTATCCATTGCTTCCTTCATGTTAGGGATTGAATGTGCTCTCGACAGCGGTCGATAGCGGGTACAAGGACGTCGCACAGCGTATCTTGGCCCGGCCCGAACTGGCAGCGATGCCTGAGGTTGGATAGTACATCAACTGCTGGTATAGGTCAATATGATGTCGTAGTACATCATGCGCCCTCTCATGATTGCTACCAAGCGTGATCGACTCGGTTTCGTCGAAATGCTCACCGCGCACAGCCCGGCTCTCATCACAACCTTTGGGTCGACCGTATGTACATACCTTGATACTTGAGACAGCCCATTGTGATGTCCAACCTATAGGCGTACGGCGTCAATATGTTGCAAGGCAACTCGTTGCTGCATTTTGCAGCCGGAAGCAACGCCCGCACTGTGCTCCCGTGGCTCTTGCAGCATCGGGTGCCGGCCAATTCGCGCGATAATGTCCTCTCAACACATTTCGTGTCTCTCTCCTCATGGAAATGCATGTAGTATGGCAACACGCCACTGCATTCCGCAAGTCGACGGCGCCACGAGCGCGCCTTGGTGCTCCTTTTGCGGGCAGGTGCTGATGTGAATGCCATCAACCAAGTAGGTGCCGGACCTAGGACATGGAGACGACTTGCAAATGCTAGGATGGCGAGACGGTGCTGCATACGATCATGAAGGTGTTGCACCAAGCCTCGCAGCGAAGGACGCTCGACTATTTGCAACGACTGTTTGTCGCGAACGTCGGTATCCATGCCACCAATAAGGTATACAAGCACCATAAGAAACAGACGAATTTGTATTGAATACCTAGGACGGGAAAACGGCGGCCGAGCTCGCCACCGATATTGCCGTCGTCGAAGTTCTCGCGAAAGAAGCTGCGTTTCGGTCGGAATTTCCACTGCACTGCATCGCCCGATGCAACAACGTGGCGGCGATGGATGCGTGGCTGGCCGAGATGAGCGCCAGTGCCGCCAAGGATGTGACGCGCCGCATGAAAATTGAACGCGCTCTCTCGGCCACGGACAAGGTAGTGACGGCGCCTCGATATTGTTGACTTCTAAAAGGCCTCTGTAGGACGGACGCAGTGTCTTGATGTACGCGGTCCATGCCATCGACATTTTGCAAACCGACCAAGTCCTCTACCATCTCTTACCCCACTGTTCGATCGATGTCCATAAGTTGCAAGACAAGGTACGATAATTCGTGACTGGAGAGAGAGCTAACGTGCAGAGTAGTACGGGAAAAGTACGCTGGACTACCTCTTGGAGAAGGACGTTGTGTGCATGACCAACATTGACGGCGCTTCCAACGCCCCGCTTGTCAAGGCGCTTGACGCCTTGTCGCATCATTCGACGCTAGCACTCCGCTTTACACCCAGAGTATCCATCTACCACCAGAATAGCCTCAAGTTCGTTGACGAGAGTCGTAGGCTACCCTTCCACGCGGGGGCGCGCCACCGCGGACCTGCTCCGGCGCGTGCATGGAGGCTGGGCGGTCCCGAACGGTGCATTTTGCAGAGCTAGCGGCCGAAGGTAATTGGACCGAGCTCGCAACCGCTCTCCAGGTCCCCGCGGACGAGGACGCGATCAACATTCGCGATAGCTCGGTACCGCTATCTTATTTCTCCGGTTTTGGACGCGTTGCGGGTAGGGCTACACGGCGCTGCATCACGTTTGCATCAAGAGCAACGCCCGCATGCTGCAGCTGCTTGTGCAGCAGCCCAAGCTCCAATTGAGTTTGGCGACGCACGATGTACGCTACGTCGTCATACCGGCATTTGAACGAAAATTACTGTAGAAATACGAAGCGGTCGCCATTCAGCTGGCCCTCCACCATGACTTTGAGGAAGGTGTGCGCATTCTTCTTGCCGCTGGCGCGCACCACTGTATCTTTGCCGACTACTCTGCGGTACAACGATATCGTACGCGGACCGACGCGATGGGTGGGAGCGTAGGCACGCAACCGCAAGAAGCGCAAGCACGCTACTAGAAGCGAGAGTCTCGCTTTGGACAGCTGGGAGCTTGAGCATCGCCACCCTGCGTACTACCTTGCGCGTCTCCCGAACGTCGCCGAGGCGAAGAGTTGCATCGAGGCAGGCCTAAAGTTGTCTATTTTCATTGTAATATATTCCTATCCTGCTAGGCCAAAGACACACCACTGCACGTTGCTGTTCGAAAAGGCTTACCCATCTCGATTGTGGACAAGCTACTGGAGACTGACGACGTCGATATGGATGCTAGCAACGATGTACATTCTTTTGAACAAAGATCCGTTCAATTGAGTTGACCACGTAGGACGGTGAGACGGCACTCCTTGTCGCAGTGAAGAAGGGCTTGATGGACCACGCCAAGTGTCTCCTCGCCAAGGGCGCCGATGTCGAACGATGTGACAAGGTATTTCCCATCGAATGTCTAGGATGGAGATTGATCATATTGAGTAGAACGATCGGTCGCCACTCATGTGTGCGGCCGAGCAGGGCGAGCTGGAGCTATTCGAGCTTTTGATGGAGCACCTTGACGACTTGCCGGCGCGAGAGGTTGTCTCCTTGCGATTTAGGCGATACCGAACGAGGATCGTAGGTCATTTTCCGGGGCGGCCAATTCGTCTATGGCATCAAAGTCTGGTCTCTCTACGTAAGGGAAGAGGCCGTGCGCAACGATTCGAAAACATTTCTGCATCGTCGGGCGCTGCGCATGGTCACGCTAAGGGTCAACGACGCTTTTCAAAAGAGCACATTTCTCAAGGCCGTTTCGTGCAGTGCAGCGCTGGTCCAGACGTATCTCAACGACTGCGTCTACATGAATCGCCACGACATTTCGTTTTACAATGTACAAAGCGTCTTCAAAATGGAAGCGGTTCTGACATTATTATTATATGTAGCTAAACGTGGTCTATGGCACAAACGCCAAGGAAAGTCCACTCTACGCGATCCTGAATCTGAATCTCAAGGACGCGGACGAGACGTTTGCGGCCCAAAAAGCATGCTTGGAGCATGCCGTTTTTCGCCGGCTCCTCGAGATCAAGTGGGAGCTCTTTGGCCGGCGCATGTATGTCGAGCGACTGCTGATGCACCTCTTGTTGCTGGTGACGATGACGATATCGTCCATTCTCTTTGGTGACGCGCCGTCGTCGTCCACGAGCTACGGTCTCGGGCTCACGACGGTTTGTTTCACCGCTGTTGGCTACGCGACTGCACAGGGTCTCCGGCCACGAACCGCGTTCGCTCGGATCGAGTACTACCGTTCCCGTCCATCTCATCTGCGCATGCACTTGGTGCTGCTGGTGATGCTTGGCACGGTCGTGACCGCTGTCCCATTCCTGCACGCTGCTGGCACCCTTGATATTGAATCCTGGTATGCAACGTTCAACCACGCGCTCCTGGGGCTCACGGCCTCGTACTTTATCGTCAACGAGGTTCAAGAGATGCATGGCGACCGACGTCAGTACTTTGCGGCCACCATCAACGTCGTGCAACTCGTCAACTATGGTCTCATCCTCGGCCTCTTTGTACCCATGAAACTACGCTGGATTCCTGCGGCGGACATTGTGCAAGTCGGCGTCGGCGCCATCTTCAATTTGGTGCTCTGGGTCTTGTCGCTGCAGTTCTTGGAGGTCGTCTCGTCGGCCAGCTACCTCCTTCCGATGATGGCGCGCCTTTTTGGCGACATTTGGAACTTTTTCCTGATTTTCGGTATTTTCCAATGTGGCTTGACGCTCATCTTTTACCAGCTGTTTGTGCTCACGTCGGACGCCGCGTTCAGTTCGCTTGGTCAATCGTTCCTCTCGACGTACTTTGTCATGTTTGGCCAAGTTCCACTCGACGCGCTGCGAGCCTACGACGACGTCAGTGACAGCTACGCAGCCACCATGTACACGGGGCTGGCGATTCTCATGATGCTGCACTCGGCCATCGTCGTCGTCATCCTCCTCAACGTCTTGCTGGCCCTGATGAACCAGACGGTGACGAGCGGCCTGGAGAAGGCGAGAACGCAAGCGCTTATCAGCTACGCGCGGTGCATTTTGCGCTTGGAGATCACCATGAACCTGGGTGAGAACGACGTCCGGCACCTCACGCACGATGTCGACAGCGACGGCAAGCTCGTGCTTCATCGCATCTTTACCGAGCGCGTGCGTAAGACAGAGCTGGGCCTCACGACGGACCAAGTCGACGCCTTGCTCGTGACGACCAACGACTGCGTGGCGTGGATGGAGCAAATGGACGATCTCGACAAGGTCGTGAACGATCAGTTCGACTTTATCCGGGATGGATTGGCGCACGTGGCTCATTTTACCAAGATCGAGGTGCTTCCAGTGTTCAGGGACGAAATCTGTGTTCTCGAAGAGGCCCGCGCCAAGATGCAGGAGGTTATTGATATGGCGCGCCGTAGCCGCGGTCAGTTTCGGGACGAAGTTCTCTACAAGTTGAGGGAGCGGTCGGCCAAGGTGCTTCGACTGTACACGGCGAAGCTGCGGTCTGTCTGGCGACGCAGCGACGACACAGACGACATGGACAGCCACGACCAGTGCATGCTTCTCTTCCAGCTCAACCAGCACGCGACACTCGACGATCTACTCGCGACGATGACAAAGACCATCATGGCCGCCGTCTCCAAGGAAGTCACAACAACGACCGAATGCGTCAAGAATGACAAGACGACCGGCAACGAGCGCGAGACGGGGTGTGTACCTCTGCGTGAGACAGCGACGAGCCAGACCCAGCAGATCGCCAGCTTGGCGGCGCAGCTGGAAGCCGTGACGAGCAAGTTAGAATCTGCGACGAGCCAGAACACGGCAATGGCAGCCGAGTTGCAGTCCGTGACGAGCCAACTGACAACGATGGCGACTCAGCAGACAGCAATACTTTCGCTTCTTAGTACGATATGTAGTGGCGAACGCTCATCCCCAGCCATTATTTCCCAACCCAATACTTGACAAGTTCTACTGGTTGGTTTAAATGCAATAGAATGTTTTTAGCCTTGTCGAGCCCAACTCGCCACGCCACTCACAATGGCTAGCCGCCAATCGAGTCGTCTATTGCCCCCAAGGGAATAAACAAGTTTATATTCCCTTGCTTGCCCCATTCCAGCGTCGTATGCATGCTCATGTTATAAGTGAGACAAATCCAGAAAAATCAAGTTGAATACCAAACTGTCATCGCCACAAGTCCTCTTTACAAATCGCCGACACCCCAGTTCTTGACCGAGAACGTAAGACGTTTGGCAGGACCCGGCTTGTACGCAGTCGCGATGCCCTTCATCATGGGCGGCACGGCGCTCTCGCTGTGCCCGACGAACGCACCGCTGTTGACAAACGCATCGGGCACGCAGTCGCGACCCAGCGCGGCCTTGCAGCTGCCCTTGTTGGCGTTGTTGGCCGACATGACCGAGCCTTTCTTCTCAGGCAAGTTGGGTTGCTTGGTCGACGCCCAAAAGTTGCCTTCCGAGAGCACGTACGCGTCGTCAACTTCGAGCGAGTGGCCCGCGTTGTCGTACCAGTAGTTGTTGGCCATGTGGACCTGGAGCTTGTACTTGCCGTTGGACGAGCTAAACTTGGGTGCGCGTCCGGACGTGTGATGGACGATGTTGTTGAGGAAGCTCATCTTGAGGTTGCTCACAAAGATGTTGGTCCAATAATGGTGGCCATCGCACGACGCGGACCACGATGTGTGCCCGTCAAAGTCGCAGTTGCTGACGGTAATACTGTTGGAGCCAGCACCGTCCGTCGTGAGCATCTGCCGACCCACAAGCGACACCTTGACGTGGTCGATCCAAACCTTTTGCAGCGGTTGGCTACCTTCCTTGCCGTTGAGGTAGATAGCGTCGCCGCCCCAGACCAAGTGCGGGTTGAGATTCGTGATATGGATGTTTTGAAGAATGATGTTGTCGCCGCCGAGGCGGAGACCCTTGCCGATGATGACGCCCTTCTTGCCCTCACCACGGATCGTCTTGGAGCCACGGACCATGAGCGGGTTCTTTGTACCCGCAATGTCGTACGAGATCGGGGTCGGCTGGCCGTTGGAGCAGCCGCCCGTGTTGGCCATGCCCCCGCTCTGCAAAATTACGTCCGGACTCTTGAAGCCGTTCTTCTTGTCAATGCAGGCGCGAGTGTAGTCGGGGCGGCACCCCGTCTCGGACTTTTTGCCCTCGGAGTTGCGAAAGTCGAACGTCTTGTTGAGGACAATGACCCGGGGCACCGCGTCTTGGAGGTACGCCTTGAGTTCGTTGATGTTCTTGGGGTACACTGGGGTCGCGTTGCCGCCGCCCGTGACGCCGGCAGCCAAGCCAGGCGCGTTGGCACCAAAGACGAGGTCCGAGGCGATAGCGAGGAGCGCAAGCGGAAGGTACGAGAGCTTCATGAGGATATATGCTGCAGAAGAGGACGATTGAAAAGTGCGTTAGGATCTTGAGCGGCAACTGGGATTGCAGCTAGGCCACGACAGCACGTAGCAGCTGGTTGCGGTGAAGCCAGCTTGTACAGAGATCTGCCATATGTTGTTGTACATCAGGCGTATGTAATGTTTGGTGGGCGAATCCACACTGCAATGCCAGCACAGCTACAACTATTCAAGGTCCGAGCAATGGTCCTTTGCAAGTGCGAAGTGATTCTACGGTGTTTGTGTGTACCTATGGAAGTATCGTTTGGTTCTCTCAAGAGGCTCTCTACACCATGGTGAGTTGAATTTCCTATCCGCATGGTCGGTACGCGTTTCAGCGACGCCTGGACACAGCTTCCTAGCGAGTAATCGTACTGTACAGTGTCCCAGATACGTCAAAGTGTCAAGACGCCTGACGCGTGTACAGACGTACTGTCCAGACTCGTGGTTACGTCTTTGTTCGACGTGGTCAGTCAGCTGTACGTGGCAGTACAGAAGCATCACACGTCCATGGCACCGAGCCACCGAGCCGACGTGCCGGTAGAGAGATATACCGGCTGCTGAATCAGGAGCCATGCATACCTTCTGATCGTCTGAGATATATCAGGTGCCACTCGATTCCCATTATGTTTTTATAGTGCTTCGTGTGGCACCGCGACCAGATGTTGTTAATAACGAACCAGATGGCATTCGCTACGTCAAAGTGTACGGTCGACGCTGCGAGAACGCAGAGCGAGTGCAGAGATTCAAGCTCGATCCAATTGAATATGGCAGCACTGCAAACTGCCGGGATCTTGGAATACGTCGAGAGCCGGCGTCGATGGAGCTGTCACATTACACACGCGAGTTTTGTACTGCATGTGTCATGCATTCTAGAAACACCTATCGTTGTCATCCGCCATTGTTGGTGGTGGCGGTGTCACGGCGTCGTCAGGGTTAAAACGCCTCTTCCTTGCATCTCCTCGTCCAGAGTACAGCACTACTTGGTCGCAGCGTCTTGGTGTTGAGGTCAATCTCGATGTACGTCCCGCGACTTAAGGACGCACTGCGAGTAGAAAGCGTTGCACTTGTCGGAGTTGCGGCACGTCTTACCCTTGACCTTGACGGTGTACCGCACGGGTCCCGCGTTCCAATCTCGTTGGCACTTGGCGGCGTCGGCGAGTACGCGTCGTTGAGCTTGAGGCACGAACTGGCCGTAGACGCAGCGCTCCACACGCAAGAAACAAGTATTCCCAGGCAAGATGTGTATATTCAAAATCGTTTGGTGCAGTGTCTAGCCCGCCGACGGCTTGATCGCAGCCATCATCACCATGAGCTCCTCGAGCTTGCGGCGCATCTCGTCGATTTGATCGGCGGCGGCGCCACCCTTGGCGTCCACTTGGCTCAAACACGCGAGGAGGTCACTGGCCTTGGGCTCCTCCTGCTTGTCCGCGGTCGCTTCACGAATGGCGTCGTCAAAGATGGTCGCGATCGCCGTGCTCGTCGCCATAATGTCGTCGTGCAAGTCAGCTTGGTGCGCGAGCTGGTACGCCAGCACGCAGCGGAGGTGCGTGGGCTCGTCCACATCGGGCGTCCAGACGTCGTGGAGCGCCTTGTCCATGTCCGACAAGGTCTTGCGCACGATCTTTTGGTACTTGTGCAGTAGCGCGACACGGTCTTGCTGGCCGCGGCACTTGGCCGCCTCTTCAAAGTGGCGTACGAGCTTGGCCCGGGCGATCCCCGCATGCTGGAGCTCGTTCGCCAAGATCGTCTTGGCCGGCAGCTTTGTAAAGTGCTCGACGTGCGCAATGCCGTGCAAGAAGACGTCGAACGCTGTGAGCACGGCCGTCTCCAGCTCGTTGGCCTTGGCCTTCCACGACTCGGTCGCGTCAATGTGGTTCTGGATCATCTCTTCTTGCTCCAAAGTGACCTTGAGGAGCGCCTTCTGGACGGGCTCGGTAAAGATCGGGTTGAGCGCGTTGGGTGCAAGGTGCATGAGCACGACGTTTTCTTCCGTGCTGTAGTTCATGCTGAGCTCCAGGCGCAAAATGGCCTGCGCATAGCTTGCGAGCGCCTCCGTGTGCGCGCGCTCGAGGCCGCCGTCGACCGTCTTGTTCATCGAGGCCATGAGGAGGTTCATGAGGATGATCGCGACCGCGGCCGCGTGGAACATCATCAAAAAGACCGTGAAGAGGTACAGAAAGTGCTCGCCGCTCTTCTCAAAGCTCGTAAACGACCCGAGCGAGTCGGTCGGCAGGTTCCCAAAGAGAATAAAGTACGTCGTGTAGAACGACTGCGCGAGGCTCCCGAACGCATCGTCGTCGCGGCCGGTGAAGATCTGGTAGTACGTGATCGTGATGCCGACTTGGAAGACCGCGAGGAGGATGAAGAAGTTCCAAATGTCGCCCATGAGGTTCGAGATCATCGGCAAGAGGTAGCTGGCGGTCGGGACGACCTCGAGGAACTGGATCGAGAGCAGCCAGAGGAAGATCGTGAGGAAGCCGCCAAAGCCGATCGGGATCGGGAGTGCCATCGCGCCAAAGATACCAAGCTTCATCGGGACGTAGAACGCGACAATGGTGAGGTATACAAAGAGCTGCGCGCAGTTGGTCAAGTCGCCAAAGTACGCGACGCCCGACGCCTTGAACTCTTGGGCTTCGGTCAAGATAAAGTAGAGCGACGACGCGGCGAGCACGCAGTTGTTGAAGAATGGAAAGAACGACTTGAGATCGAGCACGAGAACCGTCGCCAACGCCAGCATCGAAAAGCCTCCCGTGAGCACAAGCGTCATGGCGAAAAGACGCTTCTTGGCCGTCTCCTTGTAGCTCGGCAGGTCCGGAATCGCAAGCGTCGGTTCGAACGCGAGGCTGCCGTCGTACATGAAGCGCGCTAGCCGCCAGAGTGCGCGCGGGCGGAGCCACTGCACCATGACAAAGGCGGTCGCAGCAAACACGACGGCGACGACGCCAACGACGAGGCACAAGTCGACCGGGTTGACGATCGTTTTTTCTGCTTTGATCGAGTCTTTGTCGAAGAGGATCGACGAGATCGTCATCGTGAGGAGGAGGAGCCCGTACATGATGAGGTTCTCGAGGTACTTGCGCTGCGCAACGAGCTCCCACTTGATTTGAAGCACGCGACGCATGACCACGTGCTCGAGGCACTCGGTTTTCGCTTCGTAAATCAGATCCTCGTCGTCCGTCTTCATGTTGAGGACCGAGTAGAGCGCACTGCTCCGGACCTTCTCGCCATAGACCTCGCCCATCTACAGTCCATTGCACGTTGTAGACACCAAATGGATCGAGACACTTACGTTAGTGAAATGCACCGAGTGACGGTCCATCGTCACGCAGTCATTGAGAAACGTGCGTCCCAGCACGGGCGAACAGTTGATCGCCTTGGCAAACCCGTTGCCATTGAACGCGTCAACCACATTGAGGTCCACGAGCGAGCTCGCGAGCTTCTCGCGGTACTGCACGGACGTCTCGCGCTCGTGGTCTTCCTTGAGAATGAGCGTCTTGATCTTGGCTTGCGCCGACGCGCTCTGCTCCTTCTTCGTCACGCCCTTGCCCTTGGGCACATTCTTTGTGAGCCACAGGTCGAGCAGCTTGAGGACTGTCATGCCGTCCTAGAAGCACACATAAGAGTTGGATCTCGACAGAACGAGTGCGAACGTACGTCGTCTTCGACGTCAATGTCGGCAAGGCCGTTGAGGAGGAGCTGTACGATCTTGGCGTGGCCCGCGACCGCCGCCACCATGAGCGGCGTCTGCCCCGCGTGGTTCATCGTGTCGACGTCGGCGTCGTTCTGGAGGAGGCAATCCACGTGGTCTTCCAAGCCCATCCGCGCCGCGAGAAAGAGTGGCGACTCCTTGTTCTAGAGGCATACTATTTGTTGATATCGATGGCAAGGTCTGGTACCTTGTCCATGGCATGGACGACATGGAGGTCTTCGTCGATGAGCTCCTGCACAATGAGCACCGGCAGCTTGTGCAACACGGCCACGTGCATCGCGGACCGCTCGGCCTAGGAGGCAATTGGTGTCGTTTGCTTTGCACCTGTCGCATCGTACCGCCTTGTGCTCTTCGGCCTCGGCCAAGGTCTTGACGCGCGCAATGTAATAGAGCGGGTATTTCTTCTTGAGGTCCGCCTTGGCGCGCAAATACGTCAAGCACTTGCCTTCGCCGACGAGTCCAAGCTGGTTCTTGCGGAAATTCTACCCAGAATCGTGCCGACATGGTCACCAGGGATTCGTTCAAGGTACCTGGTAATCGGTGTGGGCGGGCGTCACCATCTTGGTCGGGTCCGCGCCAGCGTCCAGGAGCAACTTGACCATCTTCAAGTTGGACTTGTTGGCTGCAAGTAAAAGCGGAAACTCGCCGTCCATCGTGCAGAGGTCCCGGTCAAAGTGCGGCTGGCGCTGCAGCAGCGCAAAGAGCTCGGCCTTGCCGTTCTCGCAAATGTGGTGCAGAATCGACTTGCCCTAATCCCGACATGTCTCATAGCCCGACACACGGTGCCAGCGACGTACGTGTTCGTCGCGCTTGTGCAGAAGGCTCGGCGTGAGCGGCTCCTTTAAATACACTTCAATGTCGTCCCAGCTGCTGTTTTGGGCGAGCGCCGGCAAGCTCACTTCCTCGACCGTCTTTTCACAGTCGCCAAAGCACTTTTGGTGCTTCTTCTCAAAGGCCATGCGCTTGGGCTAAGTAGCACACACGCATGTGAGCTCTTGTACAAGAGCTGAATCGTACGATCGAGCGCGGGTCCACAACGAGGCCGCCGATGCTGCAGAGCACCTCAATGCATTCGAACGTGTCGTCGTTGGTCTTCTTCTCCACGTTGCGCTTGCACACGAGCTTGCGGCTCAGCGCGTGGTCGAGCGCCGTCTTCCCTTCCTACATCGCATGTTATATGCACATTCTCTTCGCCAAAAGCAGTCGTACGTGGTCCGTCTTGGATAGCCAGGCGCGCTTGTAGTACGGCAAGAGAATATGGAGCATCTTGGGGTGGCCTTCCTTGGCCGCGCACATGATGGCAGTTCGGCCATCTTCGTCTTCCTTGTTGATCTCGTCCGCGATGCGCTCAAGGGACTCTTCAAGCTCGAGCCGCTTGTCTTCGATCCAGTCGTCATTGATCTCTTCATGGAGCGACACGTCCGCACACTCGACGCATTCGGCATTCTCGACTGGCATCAGCACCTTGCACTGCTTGCATGGCCAAAGCGGCGGTTGAAACTCGACCGGGCCTTCCGAGTTGCCGGCCTCATACGTCCCCGTGAAGAGCCGCGTGTCCGGGTCAAAGCTGCCGTTGTACTCGACGCGCTGGCTGTAGTACGCCTTGACCATCTCGATGCCGTCGTCGTCGCGCCATGACCCCGAGATCGTGTACGGGCCATTCGCATCTGTGCCGGCGCCGACAAAGCGGTACTTGACGTACTCCTTCTCGGCCGGCACGACAAAGCATGTGACCGTAAAGCTCGCATCCGACCAGACGCCGCCTTGGCTGTACCGGCCCTTCCACTCGGACCCGGCTGCGAGCGCATCGGCGTTGATGTGCTCGAGCCACGACCGCAGCGTCACCTCGTCGCCGTTGCGGACCATGCAGTGGATCGGAAAGTTGGCGCGGAAGGCAATTCCTTTTCAATCTGCTTGCGCAGCGCATTAGTGGCACACACGTCCAAGATGCTGTGGCCATCCTACACACACGCATGCGATCAGGATCGTCAGTAAGATGGGACGTACGTTGTCCTTGATGTCGAGGTTGGCGCACGCCATCGCCAGCGCGTCGACGACCTGCCGCGCGTTCTCGGGCTCCTCGCACGACGAGACGACTGCGTGCATGGGCGTTGCACCGCCTACCCATCGGTGCAAGCTCAGGACAGGACGTGGGAAACTACGTTCGTACCGCCGTGAGCTTGTTGACGAACGCGCCATTCCGCAGCAAGATCGAGACGCCAAGCACGTTGCCGTGGGCCGCGGCCTTGTGCAGCGGCGTCTCGCCATGCTCGTTGGCGAAGTCGACGCGCGCGCCGCGGTCCAGAAGCATCTGGAGCACCTCGTTGTGCTCATAGGCGGCCGCAATGTGCAGCGTCGTCGAGCCATACTACGAGCCATTTGCATAAGAATACGTGGATGCGAGCGTGGCTACCTCGTCCGTGGCCGAGAGGTCGATCCCGTGTATGTGGTCGAGAAGCACCTTGACCGTCCGCTTGAAGTTGTTGTACACGGCGTAGTAGATGGGTGTGTACGCATACTACACACCTCTGCATGGGCACGACGATCGAGAATGAGGCCAAGTGTCTACGACGTACGTCTGGCAGCAGCTTGTAGTTGGTCTTCTGCAAGACAAGGCCGACGACCTTGTGATTGCCGTAGAGAGCAGCCGCCGAGAGGATGTTGAGGTCCATCTAGCAAGATCGCCTAAGATTCCGAGCGCATATGGGGGCGCTAGCGTACCGTGACGGCCAGCAAGTCGTCTTCCGAGATCGTCTCGGTCTGGAGGCGCTTCAAGAGGGGCACCATGTTGCCTTCGATGAGGAGGTCGACCATGTACGTCTCGCTATAGTCCATCTCCTCTTCGTCATCATCTTCGTCGTCGTCCTCATCATCGTCCTTGGCCTTGCTCTGGAGCTGCGCCATGAGGTCCTTCGGGCTCATGACCTTGAACGAGCTGCGGGTATCCCCTGCGAGGCTCTGCATCGTCGACATGCGTCGCAGCCGCCAAAATGGAAATGCGAAATTTTGCATCTACCTCGAGCTCTGCGATGAATCGGCATTTTTATCGCGTTCCGTACACTTGTCATTTGTATAGAAAAGCTGCGCCAATTCTACAAGGCCATTACCTTAGGGTTACGCTATCGCAAAAGTATGCATATTCACGACGAACCTTGGTGTTCTAACGTTCGATTGGCGCAAATCCGAAGCTCGAAGCTGCGTCAAAGGGCATTTGGACCAATCAGAGCGCTTGATTTAAAAAGTGCAAACTTTCATAGTACACGACGTTGAAGTTTACTGTGGCGACCGTCGGTCCGCCACCCACCGCGACACGTGCAAGCTCCTTGGAGCTGCCTACTACAGTAGCCACCACGGTACAAGAGTAGCCAACCCTTCGGGAATGCAATGCAAAAGCGCCGAATGCCTACCTACCGCTGGCAAACATCGGCGTTGAAGTTGCCGTCGCGCCACATGGCGGGCGACTTCGAAGCACCGCCTGCACCACGTGATATCACTTCCGAGGTGATCGTCTCCATGATACTCCTGTACGACAGCTGCTACCGGCGGTCGTGGTTGCACCGGTAGACTGCACATGTAGGTCCACGACAGCAACGCCTTTGCTCGACGGGACGATGGCCATATATTGACGCTGCAGTGACACAAATGATGTTACAGATCGAGGTCCGTGGCGTCCAATAGGCGCTCGGTACTGGCGCTGTCCTCGGCCAACTCGCGCCGGCTCAAGACGCGACCCAAGACAGCGGCGTCCGCGACCAACAAGCAGAGGCCGAGGACGACGCCGCAGGCACTGAGCACCACAAACACGTTGGCCACCGACGGAAGGTAGTGCTGATGGCGGCTATAGACCTGCGCCACAATCAACGGCACGGTCGCAAGGCCCACATTCTAACGCAAAATGTCAAACGTTGTATGAAAAACAACCGTCGCCAGGATACCGAGAGGGACGTGATAGCACCAAATGCAGTGCTCACGTAGCGCGGCGCCACAACCACTACCTCTTCATAATAAGCCCTCTTCTTCCTGCCACGATCGGAAAATCGTACATGGAATGCCCGACCACATGGCGGCGGCAAACAAACTCTGCCCGATCCCTGAGAGAATCAAGGCGAGAGCGACGTCGCTGGTCGTGTAGCGCACCAGCAAATGGCTCGCTGCGATTGCTACGTCGGCGGCGAGGCCCAAGCCCGCGCGCGCCCCGAGGCTATCGACGAGGCTGCCGCTGAGCGGCGAAAAGACAGCCGACACGAGCGGCGTGATGGCCATCATGGCCGTCGCTTTGGCGGTCGCGTCGATCTTCTTGCTGCAGTAGGTGTGCGTAAGGGGCCCATGGCGCCACGCCGTCGCATCGCAGTTGATCTGATCGTCTTGGAGGTAGGGTGGGCCTTTCTTGCACTTGAATTGGTCGAACGCCGAGACGATCGAGCAGTTGGATGCGAGCTGCGGCAGCGGCCACGCACACGGCGGCGACTGTGGGCACGATGGCGCGAGCGTCTCGCAGGTGCGGTTCGTGTACGCGCCGAGGCCACAGCGACGGCAGTGCATCGGCGGCTCGACAAAGTAGTTGCGCTCGAGGAGGACACTGCCTGCCACGTTCGTGAATGGCCCCGTGCACGCATACACCACAATGTAAAGCGCCGCAATGAGCCAAAAACCAAGGCTACACATTTGCCTCCAAAGCCGAACAAGAAATGAGAGTATGTACCTAAAGTGCCGCAGGTCCCAGAGACGCACGGATGCAGCTGGTGGTGCTTTTCTAGATGGCACCCTTGCCTCGAGTCGCACCAAGAGAATCGTTGCAACGAGCGAGAAGACGCACACAAAGCTGCCGGTCCAGAGGGCAAAGGTCACGTCAAAGGCGGCTGCGATCCACGGACTCAACACGTCGTTGAGAAGCGTTCCAAGCGTCGCGACGCAGTTGTTGATGCCAATTGCAAAGCCTACGCCACACTTTCGATCGTCAACTTGTCTTTAATAGTCAACGCACCGAGCTCCATGGGGCTGAACCAGTGGGTCACAAATGTGGTCTGCGCCACCCACATGGTTTCGCCGCCAAGGCCAAAGAGGACACGACCAGCCTAGACTCGCATCAGACACACGTCGCATTGATGCATTGACGCAGGTGTACGAGCAGGAGGTAGATGTTTTCAAACGAACTCCCGAGCGCCGTCACGACTTGACCGGCGAGGATGAGCGACGCCAGCAATAGCGCCATGATCGAGACGCCGTACGTATCGATGAGGACGCCGCCAAAGAAAGGCAAGAGGACGTTGGGCACCGAGTAGAGACTGTAGCTGAGGTTCTACGTGGCTTTGTGGACATACTATGAAAACTGGAGGTGGCCGCGTACGAAATAGAATTCAAACTCGGCACGCGGGATGCGGCCAAAGTGCTGCTGCAGCTGCGTCTTGAGCGCGCCAGGGTTGTCATAGCAGTACGTGCTCCCGAGTACGAAGAGGCTCGAGAGCGCTAGGACGCTTCGCCGCTGCCACGCCGACCCACGCATCGGGCCTTTCTTCCGGTATCTTGACGCAAACTTCGAATGGATGGCTTCGAACTTCGGTAGCACGCCTGATGCCGCCGTGGGCGATCCGCTCGGCGGCACGTGTTGAAAAATGAAATCGCTGAAACTCCGTCCATAGATATAAGACACTTGGGGGAGCATGATAGACAAGGTTGCGCCGCTGGAAACGGCCTACAACGAGAGATATGTGTATTACGGTCGGATGAAATACGCCATTTGGATTGGTGGATATATATTTCTTTTTAGCCAATCGATTTTTGCGCCTCGCACGGATAGTCTTGTACCAAACAAACTTGACGGGAACGCCCATCCCGAAGCGTTCAGCCATCGTGTCTGGCATGCGTGAGTACGGCGCACAGTCTTGCATGCGTTTAAAACGCACGGCTCGGTCGAGCAGCCACGACAATTGGATCGTCTGGAGCTGCTTGAGCTGCGCTTTGGTCGTCTTGGGTAGCTGAAGACACACGCACGTCTTGGAGCGCAAGCGCGGCTAGTAATAATGACGATAGGGACTGCCATGTCGCGGTTTCTACCAAGGAGACTGGAAGCATCGTCATCGCAGCGGCTTGAGCGAGAGCGCAATCAATTCCCTGGGACCGTAACTACCCGCTGAGATGCGCTCGGGCAGCGGCGCAATCGAGTCTTTCGTCTCGTTGAGCTTGTAGCCGTAAATTGCAAACACATCGCGGGCCAAAAGCGCGTTGAGCCAGAGTTTCGGCACATCTTCAATGAATAGAAGGACGTCGTCGGCAAGAAGCACGAAGCCAAGCAGCCAAACGAGCGAGCGCGACGCGTGAACGACGTCGTCGATGATGACGTGATCAGTCAGCGGCGCGACCAGCCCAAACGTTGTCATCTGGTCCCGCCGCACGTGGCGCTCGAATATGGTGGCTTCGGTCGCTTTGACATTCATCTTGAAGACGCGGTTTGCGTCAAAGGCGGCCTTGAAACTACTTTTGATGAGCGTGAATGAGAGGTGGCGGCTCGACGGTCCAGAAATCGACGACAGACCGTCGATGGAGCCGCTGTCAGAGACAACGTTGGCACGTCGGCGGCGCGTGTACCCTGTCTGCACCACCGCGAGCACAACATACGAGGTGGCAATCGCGAGCGCCAGAAGAAACCAGACGAGTTGGGCGGCCATGACAGCCCAGGACGTCTCGTAGTTCTCGTGGTAGGCCCACATGTCCATGCCGCCGTTGGCCACAAGGGTGTTGAGGAGGTAGTTGTGGTAGAGCCAAGCGGATGCGGCCTCGGCTTGCAGAGGCCAGGCGGTAATGATCGCGTCGCACGACGTGTAGCAGCCAAAGTAGATGGCCAGGAGGAGGGCGACGTGAAGGCGGAGTCCCAGAAGACTCGCGATCAGCTGGAAGAGAGCGAGAAAAAGCACTTGGAGATCGGAGCGGACGACGGCGTCCAGGACAAACTCGGTGTAGCCCCATGACTGTCGCGCCGTGTACTTGACCATGCAGTACTCGAAGAGGTGCCACCAGTCGGTCGTGACGCAGATCGCAACGAGAAGAAGACTCCGGAGCATGATTTCGGCCTGGATGCCCGGGTAGACGTCGGGAATCCAAACAATGCGCTGGGTGCGGTAGATATTGAACGACGCAATGACACCGACGACGGTATCGGTGGTGAGGATGAGGCTGATGCCCATGTCCAAGATGTATCGAACCCACGCCCATGAGTCGACCGTATAGACAACGTTAACCCACTGGATGTTGCTCAGATACGATATCGGGTTCGTTGGGAGCTGCCACACAAAGTAACTGTATCGACCTTGAGTGCGCGGCGAGTACCGGTACGTGCCAGTGCTGCCCGAGATCGTCACGGGCTCACCCGTGGCTACGATCACGGCCTCCCACGCCCCGGACCGGCTCGCGGGGTTGAGCAGCCGTACATAGTCGAATGGGTAGTCGACATAGGGAAACTCTGTGCCGACCATGACATCGTACGTGGCCTCCTGCGACGAAGTCAGCGCACCGTCTTGCCAGCGCACGGTGGACAGGTCCATCGTTGAGATGGTTGCAGTGCCACAGGCCGCACTCCACTGCTGTAAGGGGTGCCCGATCATCATCGTTTGCAGGAAAATGGACGTGAGCCGCGAGAACTGACGGTCCACAACATGAACTTTGAATGCCGTCGTATCTCCGAGCGTCCGCCCCTGGAAGCTGCAGTCGACGAGAACCCAGTCGGCCGTGAGGTTGATTGAATGCCAGCTCTGGCCGTCAAGCATGAGCGGAAGCACCCTTGCGACGTACGATGACGTGTAAATGTGGTCACTGCTCAGCGGTTGGAGGCATCCATCACGGTTGAAGCCGAGTGTTGAATGGTTGCTTGGATCGGTTGCGTCCAAGTAGAGAAGGCTCGCAGCTCCTGGCGGCAGCACCGTCGTTGCGTTCATTGGCAGCGGGTTGTTTGTGACGAGCGCCTGAACAAACGAGAGGATGTACGACTGCGAGTAGCGGTTGCTCGGGTTGAACATCTCTTCCGAGACGCCCTTGATGCTGTCTTTGGTCGCAAACGACCCTGTGATGTCGACGAACAAGATGTAAAAGATGGCAGCGAACGCAGCAAATCGGCTCATCGAGGTGTAGAAGGACATCACCGCACCGTGCATTCTTAGCGCCGAAAACGCACTTTCGGTTTTGTCTATAACGCTCAGGAATTGGTTGCCACTCAGCTGACACCCGGGCCGTGTCATTTGGTATAGCCTAGAGAACTCATATTCTTTCTGCAGGCCTCATACACCAAGGCTCTTCTGCGCGCGATAATTGATGTGTCAGATCCAGGAAATATTCATTTCTGCAAATGACATGACGCGCCGGCAAGGCCCAAGCAGCGCCAAAAGCGGCAACATCTATAATCTCGATGGAAAGAACGGCCATTTTTCCAGAGGCCCATCGTACGCCGTGGCACCTCCTCTTGGATCTCATTGGTGGAGGTCACGCGCACGAATTCGTGGCAGAGTGGGTGCGGCCGCAAGAAGGCCTCAATGCCATACGCAACGGTCGTCATCGTGAGGAATGTTTCGAGCTTGGCGTGTTCGTCGTCGAGGCCGTAGAAGAAGAAGTCGTCATGAGCACCCTGGATCGCATCGTCGAGATCAAAATGATACAGGCGCGCGACTGTAGGCCAAAAAATGACACGCTTGGCATGTGTGTGTCCTCCATGTCCGGACGATCGAGCGGAAACGATGGCAGACGCGTCTCAAACGTCTTGGCAATGAAGAGCGGCGTCCGCGAGCATGGTACACCGTTCGAGACCTCTTGCATCCCGTTCTTGTGGTCGCGCAGGCCAGCGAGGACGACATCGTAGGCGTCGATGGCCTGCGGCGCGAGGAGCTGCGTCACGTCGGAATCCTCTAGGTGGCCCACCTCCATGCTATAACATAGGTGAGCGCGAAGACCGAGCAGCGGAGACTTGGTCGTCGCCAAGGGCGAGAGCGCGTTGATGCCAGCGACGGCGCCATCATCGGCTTCGACACGTGTTTGATGACATAGTTGAAACAAGACCGACGACGCGACCAGAGCGAATTGGCGTTGTGTGCATCGTAGTCGCGTTGTAAAAGGCCGCAAAGAGCAGTGCTGACCGCGGCGCGTGCCACTACTCGACGCGATCTTCGTACGCAAACGAAATATCGCCGCCCTCGGCACACGACGGCAGCAAGATGATGACTGAGCCAAAAGTGCCCGGCGGCGGCTGCTGCGAGCGCTAGAGACTCACGTCGCCCGTCGTGTCAATGACCAAGTGCGAGAGCTCAATGGGTAGCAGTGGTATGCGAGACCAAAATGGTGCTCAATACACGGGGCGAAACGCTCAAATGACGTAGATGTGCTGCGCAATACACACACGTCTTCCCGTGCCGAGTGGTCGAACGTGATAGCGTCGCTTGGAACGATACCCGCCGGGTACTTGGCCTGAACGGCGGTCGCCTGTTGCGATGTCAGCGACAGGCCCAGCCATTCGGACACGCCCGCAACGCGCAGGTACGGCAGAGGCCCTGTTCTACTTGGTCCATGTACACATGTCTTCCGCTGGACTCGAGTGGCACGCCAGCTTGTACGCCTTGAACGACTGCTTGGACGCGCCGCAATCGATGGCACAAGCCCGCTTAACCCATGTAATCCTTTCTTTTGTTTGAGCTTGTGCAACGCTACAACAAGATGTGTGCAATCGCTCGTGTATGACGTGGCAACGCCATCGACAGCTGGTAAAGTTGCGTGCGCGCAGCCACGTTGCCTTTTTATCCGGACGTTTCCGGATCGCGTGTGACCCTTCGTGCTCTAGTGTTATTCTTGTGCCACGATGAACCCGAAGGCGCATGCGATCTCGGGGCTCATGCAGCAGCTCAAGTCGGGTGAGATCTCGAAGGCTGAGCTCTTCCAGCAGCTCTCCAAGCTGCAGCCATCGACGCCCGAGGTACCGGCCGAGGCGCCGCCCCGCCAAACGCTGCAAGTGCTCGAGCCCGACCGCGCCGGCGTCTCACACGACCAGGCCAAGATCATCAGCGTGCACCAGCTGCTCGCGAGCCGCCTTGCGGCCGAGCGCAGTCCCATCGTCACCGTTGATGACGCGCCCAAGTCGATCGACTCGATTGGCCGGTCGTTCTACGTGCCCGCGACGTACCAAGAGTCGTCCTCGGGCGCCAGCAGCCTCAGCGACGACGCGAACCCGGCCTGCAACGAAGCGTACGAAGCCGCTTCACCGCAGCGCTATGTACAGTACCTCGACGAAGACTCGTTCCATGTCCGCGTCTCTCGCTGGAAGCAGCAAAAGGAGAGTCTCAAGGAGCGGGTACGCACCTGCCTTGCTCACTGATTGTGCTCACGTTGCGTAGCTCAAGCAAGAGCAGCTCGAGTCCGAGCTCGTCGAATGCACCTTCTCGCCCGCCATCAATCCGGTATATCGACCCTCATCTTCCACGATGCATGACGTGGCCTGTCTAGAAATCCAAAAAAGTGGCGTCGCGCCTCCGAAGCCGGAGCACCGACACGGTCTCGGACCGCCTGTACAAGGTGCCTCGACTTTAGTCCCAGCATTGGTATCATTTTTGATGTGTTCAGGATGTCGTCAACTATAAACTGCGGGACGAGTTAGCCGTGCGCGCAAGGGAGCAAGAGGTAACCGAGGAGATGACATATTGTACTATCGCACTGGTAGGACGAGGACCGGCAGCGCGAGTGTACGTTTCGGCCGCACGTGACCAAGAGTGCGTACTCGTCGATCGCGCGCTCCAAGTACAAGGAGAAGGCGTACAAGAAATTTGCACCCGACGTGCCCACCTTGGGTACTCTTTTTTGTATCCAAGATGGCCGTTGGATAGTATACATGCGGATACATGGATAGAGATGGAGCAGTGTACGTTTAGCCCCAAGATCAACCCGATTCCCAAAGACATGGTGTCGGCCCAGCTCTATACGCAGCAAAATATCTTTGACCGGCTCAGGTCCATCGACAATATTGTCATGTACCGTGCAGACGGCAATATCACTTGCTGTCTAGCCGCCCGCTCACGGGCTACGACGGCGTTGACGAACACCCTTCGATGCTCAGCGGCAATAGCTCTAGCGGCGGCTCACTCCGGTCCGAGTCGGTGCACAGTCAAGACGACATTCGTATCAACCGCGGTCACCACGTACGACATTAAAGAATTCGATCAACCGATATTTAGCTGCGGCAACTAACTAGGCGGGCCGCGGCAAGCAGCGACCGAGCTCGGCGGGCTCAGCGCGCACCGACGACAGCGCCGAGGTCGCGGCACGCCAGCAACGCTTTGAAGCCTTTGTTCACCGCCAAGAGGCCAAGCAGCGTGAGCGCCACGCCAAGTTGGAGTCGGTACGCGTGGCGTCTTTTTAGTCCCAACAATGACACGGTGGACACAGGCGCGGCAGCGAACCGAGTTTGACTTCAAGCCCGAAATCAACAAAAAGTCGGTCGAGATCATGCAGCAAGGGCGGAAAGGCGACTTTATTGAACGCGTCGCCAAGTACGCGCTGCGCAAGGAGCACGAGAAGCTTAAAAAAAAGAGTATCAAGCTCCAGGTTGATACATTGTCGTCGTCTCCATCCCTCTCTCGACGATGCGTGATGGATGTAGGACCCTCAGTGTACCTTTCACCCCCAAATCAACGAAGCCAGCACGAAACGTGCGGGGCGGTCGGTCACGGAGCTCAGTCGCGGCGACCTCCTCAAGCGAGAAACCTCCCAGCGCCTCATGAAGCTCAAGGTCACCTCTTCTTATGTCGAGAGTAATGCTGGACATTGGGATCTAGATGGAGCAAGGCGAGATGGCGCAGCTAACCTTTCGGCCGCAGGTCAACGACCACCGTGGTGAAGGCAAGCTCAAGGTGCTCTCGAGCCCCGAGACCTACGTTCAAGTACGCACCGATCGCTCTACGTGCACGCACGACTCTTATCTGGTTGTAGCGCCTCCAAGAACAAACGCTCAAGCTCTACGAGAAGCAGCGCAAAGCGCTGCAGCAACAAGAAATTCAAGAATTCCGCGAGTGCACGTTCAAACCCCGCACAAAAGAAGTCCCAGGGTACATTTCGGTGCGTTCTCTTCTCTGACAGAGCGTCAGCTCAGATCTATGATGCACTAGCGCATTGCCAAGAGCATGGAAATCGCCAAAGCCATGCAAAACAAAAACGCCAAGCCCCGAGTGGCGCGGCCCGATTGGAAATAACACTCATCGTCGTCGTCGCATTGTAACCACTAGAGAGTCATCTACACATCCTCGTCTTCCTCGTCCTCGTCCTCGTCCATGAGCAGGGTGTCGAGAAGCGATGACGACGACGCGTCGCCAAGCGAGTGCTGCTTCTCGAGCATCGGCGACAAGGATTTGCGTGTGAGCCGGTAGCCGTTGGCGACGTCCATGATCGCCAGCAGCAATCCAAAGGCAACCGTGAGGCTCGCAAACCCCAAAAACACATGGACCACGTCGGGAATGTACTTGCCCGACGCGTTGTACACGGACGCGACAAGCAGCGGCACGACCGCGAGGCCCATGTTCTACATATCACTGGTCATTCGGGTTAGGGCAGGGTTCGGTGGTACCGAAAACGACGTCATGGCCCCGAACGCCGTGCCTACAAAGCGCGGCTCGACGACATCTACGTTCTTACACCCATGAGAACGTCCATGGAACTTGGCAGTGAAGAGCAGACATGGTACGCAGGGCCACATGGAAGAGGAGAAGAAGCAGGCACCGACACCGATTAGCACGAGCGGCCAGACCACGGGTATCTCGGGCATAAAACCAATGATGCAGTGGGCCACGACGAGCGCCATCTCGGCGCCAAGGGCCAAGAACGGTCGCAGGCCGATCGCATCGATGAGGCTGCCGCAGAGCGGCGCCAGGAACGCGATGATGAGAGGCGCGATGCTCATCGTCGACGCCGCGGTCTCGGCGGCCGCGCTCTTCTTGGCGCAGTACATGGCCGTGAACTTGCCGTTGCGCCATGCACTGTCGTCGCAGTTGATGCCTTCGTCTTGAATGTAGGGTGGTACGTTGCTGCAGCGGTACTGGTCGGCGGCCGTCTCGATCGAGCAGTTGGCCGAAAGCTGTGGCAGCGGCCAGCTAAACGGCGGCACGGGCGGGCACGACGGCGCAATCGCATCGCAGTAGAGTTCGTAGGCGCCGAGACCGCAGCGCTGGCAGTCGGGCGACGTCGGTGTCTTGAAATACTCGCGCTCCATGAAGAGCGAGCTCGCTACGTTGTTGAAAGGCCCAATGCACGCGTAAAAGACCACGTATTTGACCGCAATCACCCAGAACGACCAGCTACGAGATAGGACGGCGATGACGAGTGGTCTTATGGGCCCAGCGAGGCTACCTGAAGCGGCGAATGTCGCGAAGGCGAGGCGGCGCCGTGTCGACGTCATCGAGCTTGGCAACGAGCGACCCATGGACGACTTCGGCTCGCCGGTCGATGTGGGCGAGAAGGACGTTGCAGAGGAGCGATGCGACGCAGAGAACGACACCGACCCAGAGCGCGGCCGAGACGCTGTACTCGTCAGCGATGATCGGGCTGAGCTTGTCGTTGAGGACCGTGCCCATGCGGGCAATGCACGTGTTGACGCCGAAGGCGAACGCTAGAGACGCCACGTCATTGCAAGTCGTACAGACGTCGTACCGAGCTCCGTGCTGTCAAACCATTGGGTCATAAAGGTGCTTTGGGCGACCCACATGGTCTCGCCGCCAAGGCCAAAGATGACGCGGCCCGCCTACGCCCACGACGTGCATGAGCGAGCGCATGCCATGAGCGCCTACGAGGATGATGTAAAAGTTCTTGAAGGTGCAGCCAAGCGCCACGACGACTTGGCCGAGGAGCACGATGGCCGAGAGCCCGAGCGTCATGGCGCGCACGCCATACTTGTCGACGAGCAGGCCGCCAAAAAAGGGCAAGATGACGTTGGGCACCGAGTAGAGACTGTACGAGAGGTTCTGCCGGCGATGATGTAAGGCCATGTCGTGCCATCGATCATCGAGGTAGATGGGAAAAAGGATACAAAGAGGACCTCGTACTGGGCCTTGGGAATCGCGTGGAAGCGCTGCTGCAGCTGGCTCTTGAGCGCGCCCGGGTTGTCGTAGCAGTACGTGCTGCCAAAGACGAGGAGGCTCAGCAGCAGGAGCACGTGGCGCTTGAGCTTCCGCGGGCGGCCCATTCCGAGATTGCGATCTTGCACCGCTCTTTTTTTTCATCATCTTTTTGGCCAATGGCATCGACGAAGCGTTTGGATTGGCCACATTGTGTCTCCAATCCGCCAATGGATCGGCGTGCACGAAGAACAAGGCACAATACACTATTGCATCCCGACGCAACATGATATGCAATGAAATAGTGTGTGTAAAAGTCGTTTCGAGCTTTGGAGCCCGACCCCGACGTCTCCAGTCCCCAGGATGTCAGACAAATCCACATTAGTCGTACAAGCAGCACTTTTGATCAGTGCTTTTTGACGAGCTCATAGAGCCGCTTAGCACAGCACGACGTAACACTGCTGCACCGAGCACATCTCCCTCGCAACTGCTTCATTCTCGACGAGCATGTCGTGACCCTTCCCCACAGCTTGATACCGGGACAAGATCGGCGCGACCTTGCTGCGTGGGGTCCATGCATCAAATGCATGTCGCAAGGCGCACTGCATGTGCGAAAGGGGTCCTATCGTGTTGCTGGCGAGACACGAGCGATCGTTGGTCTACGATCACGCCACCCAAGATGGTGGTTTCAAGAAAGGCGCCTGAAATAGTTGGCGCGTCGGTTGGCGCCATTGTAGCATTCGCCGTCCGTGGAGCGTCGATCTAGCTGATGGCGACGGGGAAGCGCCCGATGCCCAAGGTGACGCCGAACGCTGAAGACATGGAGACATCGCCGCTCAAGATGCCGTCGCTGAGTCCGTCCAAGACGGTCGGCAAGTTCTTCCGCAACAGCAACGCCAAGCGGTCGACCGAGGAGTTTGAAATGTCGTTCATCTCGCTGCAGTTTTCCGACGTCGAGCTCGAGGCGCGCTTCCGCAAGTCGCGTCAGCGCAAGTACCGGCGCCGGCTGCGGTTCGGTGCCAACATTACCGCCTTCTTCATCCCGCTCTTGGTCATCATGCAAGTGCTTCTGAAGAAGAACGACACCAACCAGTGGGAGGAGTTTCCGAGGGTCGTCATCTTCCCGTGCATCGTCGGCTGCTGCGGCTTCTCGGTCTCGATCTTCTTTCAGCAGTTCCAGGACCACCCGCTCATGCTCATGCTCATTTGCCTCGTCGCCCAAATCTGCGCGCTCCTCGATACGACGGCCGCGGGCACGAACGTGAGCGAGAAGAACGTGTGGGTTCAATTCCTCTTTTCGCTCGGCATTACGTCGTCGACTGGCATGAGCTTTCTCGAAACCATGTTCATCATGACCGCGAGCGGCATCACGTTCCTCCTCCTCGCGTGGGTCCGGTACGCCCTCGACATCAATGACGCAGCGCTCGTCGACGTCACTACCATGAGCACCCCGGGCACATGCAACGTTGCGATCGTGCTCTACTCGATTCTCCTCGCATTTCTTTCGTGGAACTGGGAGTACGAAGAGCGGCGGGACTTTGTCTTGACCGAGCGCCTCGCCAAAGAGAACGTCCAGATCCAAATGACGATGGAGATGACCGGGTGGTTCAGCGGCGGCGTCGCAGTCTCAAACGAAGGCCAGCACCAAGGCATCCTCAACTCCAACTGCCACATTGACCCGAAAGACGTCGTCATTGGCGCCGAGCTCGGGTCGGGAACGTTTGGCACCGTGTACGCGGCGCGCTGGAAGGAGACAAACGTCGCGGTCAAGAAGATCACGCTGCGGGGCGACACGCAGACGATCGTCACCAACTTTGGCGCCGAAGCGAGCGTCATGGCCCAGCTGCGCCACCCGAACGTGGTCATGTTTATGGGTGTCATGCTGCACCCAGAGTACGTCGGGTTGGTCATGGAGCTCTGCCCGAAAGGGAGTGTCTACGGTGTTCTTCACTCGGACGAGCTCAAGATCGACTGGTCGCTTTTGCTGCGGATGCTGTTAGACTCGGCGCGCGGCATGAACTTTCTGCACTCGTCGTCGCCACCGCTCATCCATCGGGACCTCAAGTCGATCAACCTCCTGATTGACGCCGACTGGCGCTGCAAGGTCTCGGACTTTGGCCTGAGCAAGCTCAAGGAGATGCGCGACGAGAGCTTCACAGCGTCGTCAATGACCCGATCGTACGTCGGCACGTCCATGTGGATCGCGCCCGAGGTCTTCAACGGCGAAGAGCACACCGAAATGAGCGACGTCTACAGCTTCGGCATCATCTTGTACGAGGCGATGAGCGGGGCCAGTCCGTTTGAGAGCGTCTCGCCTGACGCCGTGCCCTTCATTGTGCAGTCCGGGAAGCGCCCGACTGACTTTGCGCCGCTTTCGCCGCTTGACCACGTCGCGCTGCAGACCATGGCGCCGCTCATGACCAAGTGCTGGGACACGAACCCGAGCCACCGCCCGACGTTTACGACCATCATTGGCGTTCTCCAGCAAGTGCTCACCGGGTATATTGGCGAAGAGGTGTGGGAAGACCACATCATCTTTCCCGATCGCAAGCTGGTCGCGGCCAACGTGCCGGAGCCCGAAGATGGGTTTTTGATCACAGAGAAAGATGTGATTCTCGGTGATGCGATCGGCAAAGGCGTCTTTGGCGTCGTTTACTCAGGCACGTACTTTGGGACACCCGTGGCCATCAAGAAGCTCCCGATCGGCGCCGTGCCCAAGAACACGCTCGCCGAGTTTCATAAAGAGTGCTCGATCATGAAGGGGCTCCACCACCCGAATATCGTTCTCTTTATGGGGTCGTGCTCCAACCCGCCCAACTTGCTCCTCGTGACCGAGCTCCTCATCAACGGCAGCTTCTTCGACTACTACCACAAGCACGACACGCCGCCGGCCGATATGCTCCGGCATCTCAGCTACAACATTGCGCTCGACATGGCGCGCGGTCTTGCGTACTTGCACAACCACAACCCCGTCGTCATCCATCGGTTGGCTCCTTATTATGGGGGTTTTCAATGCGAAAATAATGCGCTGATTTTAGGGACCTCAAGTCGCAAAACATCCTTTTGGACGAGAAAATGCGCACTAAAATTGCCGACTTTGGCTTGTCGAAATTTCGCGAAGTTGGCAAAACCATGTCCATCTGCGGCAGCCCGCTCTGGGTCGCGCCCGAAGTCCTCCGCGGCGAAAAGTACGGCACGCCCTGCGACGTGTACAGCTTCTCGATCATCGTCTGGGAGGTCCTCGCGTGGTCTGAGCCGTACCCAGCCATGGGTTCGAGCGAGGTCATGAAAGGTGCGATTGTCTTCAGCCATTGTGGACAATGTGTCTTGACTGCTGCGGACCAGGCGTTGCGTGTGGCAACCTGCGCCCGATTCCACCCGAGGGTGCACCGACGTGCCTCGTAAACCTTCTGCGCGACTGCTGGAATCGCAAGCAGGACGCCCGACCTGCGTTCAACCAGATTGTACCGCTCCTCGAAAGCATGCGCGACGAGGTGCTGGGGCAGCGCGCGTCGTCCCCCACCGGTGGGCACCGCTGATACATTGCCTATCTTGAGCGTCGACTGCTCATGTTTTATCTCTCCTGCGTATATGCAACCAACTAACAACTCTGATTCACACTCTGATGTTGTTTTGGTCAAAAATTATCGCACGATCTCGCTCGGGAGCTATATGACGATATTGTGCACGCAAATCGCGACACTCGCATCTGCTCCAATCATTTCTTATTGATCATGACTGCACGAAGACGCTAACTAAATACAACTACGGGCTTGGTTGGCACGCGTGAAAGACGCGGTACCGGTGGTTCAGCGACCGCTTTGTGTGCAGGTAGTAGTTGGAGCCAAGCGCGCCGCTGCCTGCGTTTTTCTTGAAGTAGATGACGCGTCGGACACGGCTGTGGACGAGCGCCATTGCGCACATAACGCACGGCTCGACGGCCACGTAGACGTCGTAGCCCGTGCACAGGTACGACTCGGTCGCCGCTTGGCTCTGGTCGCGGGCAACGTCCTGTATCGAGACGACCTCGAGCGCTTGCATCGGTGCGTGCTGCATGAGCGGGTTGCAGCCCACGGGCGTCCAGTCGGCTGCGGACGCCACAATCGTGTTGGTCAACGGGTTCACGACGAGGCAGTGCTGGCGGCCGCAACCATTGGCGAGTGTTGATGGCGCGTCCGTGGCTTCCTCATACAGACGCGATACAAATGCTTGCATGTGACGCACTTCGTCGTCCGTGAGCGGTACCGAGGTGGCGTCGACGTTGGGGTGGAAAACCATGGGCCACTCGGCGTTGCCGGCCGCGAACTCGTCCTTGGTCGTCGCCGCGTACTTTGGGACGTCGACGCAGACTGTCACGAGGTCGTTGACGGTCGGTAGCGCCTCAATGACCGTGGCAACGACGGCGGCGTCGGGCGCCACGAGCGCAAGCAGCCGGCCAGGCGCCGCGGCCTTCTTCATGCGCTTGAGGTGCCCGTAGCCCATGTCCTTGAGGTTCATCGCTGCCTTGGCGAGAAGCTTCATGACCGTGCTGCCATGCTGCGCCGGGAACTCGATCGCATGGAACGTTGCCTTCTCGTCGAACGAGTGCACGTTCGTTGGGTCCTCGACCTCGGCGATCGTCCACGCCACCATAGTGGTCTCTGCCATTGGCGGTCGCCGCTTTTCATTGGCTCTCACATTGCACTTTGGTGATTGGCCACGTTTGCACCAATCAGCCAGAAGCCATGCCGGCACCGGCAAACTCGCACTCAGATCTTAGATCGCACGGATCTTATAGCCTCGTATATGTAGGGGACGTGTACATGGTTCTATATTCATTACGCTCTACAGTCTTTACAGCGTCGTGTGGCCTTGCTGCTGGCGGTGCCACATCTCTGCGTACTTGCCTTCCTTGGCGAGGAGCTCGACGTGGGTGCCCCGCTCGACGACGCGGCCGGCGTCCATGACGAGAATCTCGTCCGAGTCTTGGATTGTCGAGAGGCGATGCGCGATGATGACCGTCGTCTTGTTGAGGCCAATGGCCTTGAACTCGCGCACGATCTCGTACTCGGTCTCCGAGTCGAGCGCGCTCGTGGCTTCGTCAAACAGAAGAATCGGCGCGTTCTTGAGCATCGCCCGCGCGATCGCAACGCGCTGCTTCTCGCCGCCGCTGAGCTTCAAGCCGCGCTCGCCGACCTTGGTCTCGTAGCCTTCGGGAAATCGCTCGATCGCGTCGTGGATCTGCGCGACCTTGGCCGCTTGGATCACTTGCTCTTCGTGGCCTTCAAGTTGCCGTAGTGGATGTTGTAGAAGATGCTCTCATTGAAGAGCACCGTGTCCTGGGGCACAACGGCGATCGCGCGCCGGAGGCCGTCCATGTCCATCTCGCGGATATCGTGGCCGTCGATGCGGATCGTGCCGCTCTGCACATCGTAGAAACGGTACAAGAGGCGCAGGATCGTCGACTTGCCCGAGCCGCTCGAGCCGACGATCGCAGTCGTCTTGCCGGCAACGACGCCAAACGACGTGCCGTTGAGGATCGGCCGGTCCTCGCGGTAGGCAAAGTGGACGTTTTCGAATGTAATCTCCTTGGGCGACGTGAGATTCTCAAACATCGAGGCGCCCGGAAGGATCTTGGGCTGGACCGCGCGGAGGGCGAACATGGCCTCCATGTCAATGACCGCCTGGCGCACTTCGCGGTACACGGAGCCGATAAAGTTGAGCGGGATCGAGAGCTGGAAGAGGAGGCCGTTCACGAGCACGAGGTCGCCGACCGTGAGCGTGCCGTCAACGATGCCTTGCGCCGCCATGTACATGATCGCAGTGAGGCCCGCCGAGAAGATAGCGTTCTGGCCCGCGTTCAGGAACGACAGCGACGTCTGCGTCTTGAGCGACGCGTCCTGGTAGTTGCGCAAAACGACGTCGTACCGGTCGGCTTCGTGCTTTTCGTTGTTGAAGTACTTGACCGTCTCGTAGTTCATGAGCGAGTCAATGACCTTCCCGCCGGCCTCGTTCTCGAGCTTGTTCATGCGCCGGCGGATCTCGGTGCGCCACTGCGTCACGCCGACGGTGAAGCCCGTGTACGCCGTGAGCGTTCCAAGCGTCACGGCCGCGTACTCCCAGCCAAACTGGTACGCCATGATGCTGCTCACAAGACCAATCTCAAGCGCGGTCGGCGCGACGTTGAAGAGCATCGAGCGCAAGACAAAGTCGATCGAGCGCGACCCGCGGTCAATCGTCCGCGACAAGGCGCCGGTCTGGCGATCGAGGTGGAACTTGAGGTCGAGGCCGTGGAGGTGCTCGAAGACGTTGCGCGCGACTTGGCGGATCGTGCCTTGGGCGACCTTGGCAAAGATCGCATTGCGCAGCTCCTGGAACGCGTTGGCCGAGAAGCGGCCAAGGCCGTAGCCGAGCACGAGACTCACGGGCAGCGCCGCGGCGACCTCGGGCGACGTCGTGCCCATGACATCCACGAGCTCCTTGAAGAGGAACGGCACCTGGATGTTGATGAGCTTGGCCGACACGAGCATGCCCAGCGAGAGCGCGACGCGGCCCTTGACGGCGCGCGCCTCGGCGCCGTTGCCTTCCGGCCAGAGGTACCCCGCGAGCGACGTGACAATCTCTTTGGACGTCACGGGGACCGGCGTCTGCTCCTTGGACTTGGCGTCTGTCGCGAGGCCGGCAGCGTGGGCCCACGCGCCATGGAGGCGCGGGCGAAGGACGAGGCGTCGGCCCGTCAGCGCTCGGTGCGCGGCCCGCTGGTACTGCAGCAGCATTGGTCAATCTCAAAGTGGCGTCGATCCAGATTGCCTGCCAGACTTTTGGCCAATCACGGGCGAGGCGTTCCCGAAACCGGGTCTCGCCGTGGTGATTGGCCAAAATCCAGCCAATCCGACGACGGCAAGGTGGACAATCACGAGGTTGCCGCGCCAAATACTCGGCCTTTCTCAGCACTTGACGCCGCCGGGATTCGAACCCTCGACGTCCGCTGCGCCCGTAGCAGCTCCATGATGGAATGCGCTATTTGCCAGCGCCGTAGCAGCTAAGCAGGCCCCTCTACGTTCGCTGGAGTGCACACAACGGCCCGCCGAACATGGGTGAAGCATCGTCGCTGGCAGCTGGATTCCAATACCGGCTTTCGCCACCGATGGATACCAGTAGTGCTGCGGTGCACGCTCGTGGCTCGTGAGAGAGTCCACTCGAACTGCGATCGTAGGCGAGAGTACTAGCAAGTGGTTTTACAACGCTTAGATCGGGTCCAGTGTGAACGTGCCAAACGCGCCTCGCCGAAACTCCTTGAGCAAGTAGGCAGCGGCGAGCTGGCGCTGGGTGTCTTCGGGCTTGCCGACGCCGCCGCTCGCACGGACGACCGCTGTAAACACTTCTTCGATATCATCGGTGGCCGCGGGCAGCCCGAGCGCTTTGACGTACTGCGTCGAGCCCATGCGGTTGAGCGTAAAGAGCATGTAGTCTGCGATGAGCTCGGCGCCGACAATCTCGTCCTTGATCGCACCCGTGAGCGCAAGCTTGAGGCCGACGTCGGGGCTCGGGATGTTGGGCAGCATGACGCCTGGTGTGTCCATGACGTAGATGGCCGGCGCCTCGTTGACCTTGAAGATGTCGGTGCGCACCGTCACGCCCGGCGTCGCGCCGACCGTCGCCTTCTTCTTGCCTTTCGAGAGCTTGAGCGACGACGAGATGCTGCGGAAGGCGTTGATCATCGAGGACTTGCCAACGTTGGGGACACCGACGATCATGACGACGGTGCCAGCCGTGCTCTGGAACTGCGACTTGCCGTGCGTGTTGCACCACTTGAGGATATGCTGGATGTGCTTGCCCTTGATGACGGACGTGAAGAGACAGTCCATGTCGGCTTCCTGGAAGCGCGCTTCCACACGCGCCTTCATGTTCGAGTTGGCCAAGTCCGACTTGTTGAGCACGACAAGGCGCGGCTTGTGGTTGCCAATGCCATCCAGCAGCGGGTTGGCCGACGAGAACGGGATGCGTGCGTCGCGGACCTCGATGATGACGTCGATGCTGCCCAGCTGCGCCTTCATGCTGTCTTGGCCGAGTTCATGTGGCCCGGGAACCAGTTGATGGCCGACGTCGTCTTGAAGACGCTGCGGAAGCCTCGCGCCGCCATGCTAAGAATGTATCACTGGCGCAGCTGCTTCCGATTTGGCTACACGCACGCAACTTGAAACTCAATTGCGCCCAGTTTGCACTTGAAAACTCAAAACGCACCTCTGCAACGCACGAATTGAGTTGAGTCTTGGACCACCAACACTCTGTCTGTGGCACAATCCGCACGCGAAACGACCTGGCAGCATGCGCATGGAGCTCCTCGTCGCGCTGCTGACGGTCGCCGCCACCGCTGTCGCTGCCACCGACACTGCGTGCGTCGCTGCGTGCGTCGCCGGCTGCAGCTGTCCACTCGGGCGCAACAAGCTCGTGTGCAGCAACCACGGCTACTGCGCCGACGGCGTCTGCGTCTGCGCCGACGGCTGGGCCAGCTCGGCTGGTGTCAATGGCACGTGTGACATTGGTGCGCTCCTCGGTTCACGCTCAATGGCTGATGTGAGTGCTGCGCCTAGGGCTCATATCGCTCAACCCGAGCGTCCACCTCTTTGTCATGCTGGCCGCGTGCGTCGTTGCCGTCGTCGCGTACACGAGCTCGCTCGTGTACCTCTACTACAGCAACGAGGCGTTCATGACGCACGCATGGCAAGGCCATGTCATGAACGTTGGGTCGGTCCTTGGCGCCGCGTCGGTCGCGGTGGCCGTGAGCCTCGACAAGAGCACGCATGCGTGCACGGTGCTCTGGTGCTGCATGGACCTCGCCTTCGTCCTCGTATTTGGCATGCTCGCGCTGCGCTTGTACCGCAACGTCCGCCTCTACCTCGCCTCGACGACGGGACCTGGCGTCAAGCTCACGGACGCCTGGATTGTCGGCATGCTGCTGCTGTTGCTGCTCGTCGACGGTGGGATCCTCGCGGCCATCGGCTTCCTTGACGGCTTCAATCCAACGCTCGGTTTGTGGGACTACCCTGGCGACGTCGACTACCGCTTCCAAGGCTGCTATTTGAGCTCGACGCACGCTGTCATTGCGATCGTCTCGCCCAAAGTGCTCTGTTTGCTGCTCGTTCTGGCGTTTGCCCTCCGCTTGCGCCGCAACGTTCAGGAAGAGAAAGACATGACCAAGCTCGCCTTTGTTATGCTTGTGACCACGGTGCTCTGGGCCATTGGCATGGCGGTCTTTGCGACCTCGACCCGCGCGTTTGGGGAGTGCTGTACCTCTGCCTCGTCTTCCTCTTCCTCCTGCCCTCGGCCATGGTCACCTTTGTTCTCGCGTTTCCTAAGATCGTCGCCATCCACCGCCTCCGTCGACAGCGCCGCCAGCATCCCTTCATGTACCTTGGCGACGACGAGACTGGCATCAACGCCCGTCTCCTGCGTGTCGCCTGGGGCGACGTCGCGCAGGTCGAAGCCGCCGAAGTGCTGCTTGACCAGCATGATCCAGATGTTAATGGCGCGCTGGAGATGGGGACGATTCTCTGGCTGTTGACCGACCGCGTCTGCCACCGCAAGATCCGGCGGCATGCGGCCATGGCCTTGGCGTCCCACGACCCCGCAGTGCTCCGACTCTACCTTCCGCAGCTGCTGCAAGCACTCAAGCACGACGTCGATCTCTCAGAAGGCGCCGACCTCTGCGACTTGCTCAATATCCTCTTGAGCATGGCAAGGGACCACGTCGAGATCGCGCTGGACTGCTACTGGCACGTGCGCATCGAGCTCGAGAACCGAGTGAGCGTCGTCGTTGCCAACCAGGAAATCGCGATTCAGGACCGGGCGACCAAGCCGCTGTACGAAAGCATCTTCCAGCATCTCAACGCCATGCTTGAGGAATCGCCCGACCATCGTACGGACGCGACCGCTGCCTTTCGATCGTTTATGTCGACTTGTAGGCGCGATTGTCTTTGGGCAGGTCGCTTGCACCCAGCACATATCTGCTTTGTACGCTGCGCTTGTAGCACTGCCAACGTCCGACGTCAAGGGTCTCTCGACGGCGCTTCAAGCGTACCTTGCGTCGCCAACGACGTCAACGCTGCAGGGACTACCTCCTCTCATCTTTCCGTGCCCCCACCCTCTCTTTCCGCTGGCCACTGTGCACATGGTAGATAGTACCCAAAGCTTTCTCTTCCGGAGCTCGGCCAAGCCCATGAAGCTGCAGTTCGCCCTCGCGACATCGTCGTCGCAGCGGTCGCTCGTTGAGCGGTCCACGTCCCGCTTACCCAACCAGCTGCACACGTACACCGTGGATGTCTTTGTCTTCGCCGTCATTGGCTTTGATTCCAATGACCTCACCTTGCGCGTCGACGTCCATGGCAAGCGCAAGCACGTCGAAATCTCGGCGGCGGTGGCGCGGCTCGACTTTCAGGTCGGCGTGCCACCGCAGCTCGTCGACTGCCAAGTGTTCCGGCGCGGCGCCTATGTCGGGGCGGTCGAACTCGAGCTCTCCTCCCGCGGCTTGGACCGCAGTGTTGTCCATGTGGACGGCCACGGCAGCCTCGATGTCGCTGTCGTCGTCGAGGTTCACAACGTGACGTCGCCACCGCCGACCGGCGCTTTGCACCCGACCGACGTTCTCGTCGACGAAGCGCCTCGGCGGCCCGGTGTCGTCTCACCCAGTGTCATTTACAAGGTCGGTCCTGGACGTTTTTCTGCACTTGGTACATGGTCTCTAGCTCGGCGACGACTTGCGGCAAGACCAGCTCGCACTGCAGCTGCTCGCGATCATGGACGCCCTTCTGAAGCGCGACGGCCTCGACCTCTGCTTTACGCTCTACCGCGTTCTACCGACAAGTACTCGGGATGTACGCAGTCGCTGCTTTAGCCACGGGTGCAACAGTGGTCCACGTAGGGCTTGGCCGAGTTCGTGCCGCGGTCGCAGCCGCTCTCGGCGGTCCTGAGCCAGCACAACCACAACATTTTGACGTTCTTCAAACGACACAACTACAATCCCGACGGCGGGGTCTCGCCAAGCGCGATCGACACGTTCGTGCGCAGCGTCGCCGGCTACTGCGTCGCGACGTACGTCCTCGGCGTCGGCGACCGGCACCTCGACAACCTCATGCTCAAAGAGTCGGGCCATTTTTTTCACATTGATTTTGGGTTTATGTTTGGGCGCGACCCGAAGCCGCTGCCGCCGCCCTTCCGCCTCACCCCCGAAATGGTCCACGCCATGGGCGGTCTCCGCGGCCACGTACATGCCTCTTGTTGAATTCGACTGATCGTCGCGTAGGAGTTCCAGCAGTGCCTGCGCTACGCCGCCACGGGCTTCAACCTCTTGCGCGCCAACGCCCACGTACTTCTCGGAGTGCTCGAGCTCTCCAAGGACGCGGGGATTCCCGACATGATGACGCACATGAGCATGCACGCCGAGTCGGCGATCGATGAGGTCGAGCGCTCGGCCTCCATCCGGCGCACTAACTCGCATGGACGACTAGGTGGAGAAGCGGCTGATTTTGGGCGCGACGCCGGACCGCGCCGCCGCCTTCTTCCGCGACCTCATGCTCGAGACGCAAAACACGCAGACAAAGACCCGTCTCTCGCTCATGGAGCGCATCCACCGACTCGCCGTTGCGATAAAGTAACAACACATTTTCTGGTCTGCAAGGACATGACGTTATTGACTTATTGACCATGCGCTGTCGAGGCTCTATCCGGCCATTCCCCTTTAACTTTAAAGTTAACGATAAAAGTTTTCTCATAGTCTTCAATCGTTTAGCTATCTATGCGTTCAACCGAATGGAGAGAGAGGACAGACAGTATTGTCGACCGGGCAGCTACGAGCGGATCTTCGATTTGGACTTCGAAGTTCGACTCATTTTCGGGAAGCAGCTTTGGGCCAGCGATGCGCGGGCCGAGCGCACGTGCCCACCGTCCGCCGGCGCCCATGACGTGTGAAGTCATTGAGATCCTCTCGTCGGACGACGACGAGGACGAGAGGCTCGCAACGCCAGCGCGCGTGGACACACAGCGGGCGAGCTCGCCGCCGCAACGACAGACTGCAAGGCCGCTAACCATGACGCCGCTGGCGACAACGCGGCCAATGCGAAAGCCTGCAGCTGTGGCAGTCGTCTCAGCCAAGCCGCGCTTCGCTGCCATCCTGACGACGGCAGCGACTACGAAGCGGGCGATCTCGGTTCCCGTCGTGAGTCGCCCCATTCGATTCGCCATGCAGCGCAGGCATGCGCTGTCAACGCAAGCTACCACGCCGCCACCGACCTCGCCACCGACGACGCCAGGGCTGCCCCTACGCTCGTCAAGTCCAGTCATGACGCTCAACTCGGTGCCGCCAACCGACACAGCCGTGATGGCGGCAGAGCCTCGCGTTGCTGTCGCTCCATTGCCATCGCCCGTGCTTACCACCTCGCCGTGCCCGACGTCGACGCCCGAAGATGTCGTTGCACCGGTGCAGTCGCTTGTCGCGACGCCGCCGTCCGACGACGTCGAAATGTTTGCAGCGATTCCGCCGCCACTGGACCTTGACGAGGCCGCGCCGATCCCGTTTTATATGTGTCTACCAGAGCCATTGCCGCAAGACGACGTGTCCAACGACTCGGAGCCGACCACCGACGTCGCGGCAACGGCAGCCGGCGCGCAAGACGACGATCCCATGCTCGATGTTGCGCCGACGCTCTTGCTGAACGACGACAACGACGCCTACGATCTCGACGACTTTGCCGTGCCGCAGATCTTCCAGGACGACGTTGAACTGGCGCATGCCGCGGCGGTCGATGCCGAAGCGATGCCCGATGTCGACGTCGAGCCGCCGCTGCCCGAGCTCGGCGATGACATTGCGTCGGTGATCTCCATCCTTGCTCGGCAAGAGGCGCTCGAAGCCGCCATCGGGCACGTCCCGATTGAGGCGACGCTGCAGGCTGCCTCGCACATTCAAGACCTCGACTTCAACCTGAACGATCTCCTCTCTTCGCCCGAGGTTGTGGCGCCGCGACAGCGCCCGACACCGACGCCCCATACCTACACCCGCGTCTTCGACCGCAACCAAAACAACCAACCCGTTCCTCGGGGTGAGCAGTCGGCGTCGTCCGAGGAAGAGTACCGGTCGTCTACGGTTCGGCGCAGTCGCCGTCGACCACGGGCGGCGCAGAGCGCTCGCAGTCGGTCTTCGTCGCCCGTTGTGCGACAAGAGCGGCGTCCGTCGACGGCCGCACGAAGCAACCGCAGTCGGTCGCCGCCGGTCGTTGTCCGACGACACGCACGCCGTCGCTCGTCGTCGTCGCCCGAGCCCGACGTCCAATCGTCGCCCGTGTCAGCTCGTCGACGGAAGCGTAGGCGGGAGGTCGCCGTGATCCACACGCGCACGCCGCGAGCATCATGTGCGATGCCAGCATACGACGTCATCGATCTCATCTCGTCGTCCGAAGAAGAGTTTGATGGGCACGTGCAGGCACGTATCTACAGCCAGCCCCGTTCCATGTCGCTCCGCGGCTTTGTCGTCGATCAAGTCAGTGACGCGTCGACGTCGACGTCCTCTTTCACAAGCAGTCGCCGCCATCGCCGCAAACGCCTTCGAAAGCCAGGTGATCGGCCTCAGGCTCGGTCACCGCCGCGCAAGGCCCCGTCGCCACTGCGTCCGGTCTGCGTGTCGGTCCCACGACCAAGATCTCCGTCGCCGCCGCCACAGATCCGATCTCCACGGCCGACACCGCGCCCCAAGAGCACGCGGCACGTCGAGAGAGAGCTTCGCTTCATCGAGCAAGAACGGCGTCTTGCCCAGCGAGAGAAGGACAAGCGCCAAAGCGAGCGCAAGCGAGTCGACACGCCCTTCCCGCTCGCGCGGTTTAACATTTCTCGTCCCGAGCAGCCGCCGCCGTCGACGCTGTCGCAGCCTCGCGCCGCGACGGGCGCCGAGCGGCAGCAGATCTTTGTCGGCCTCGTCGTGCTTGCGACTAACGAGCAGCACCGGGACTCGGACCACACAACTCTGCCCAGTGCGTTTACCGTGCCGTCGCACGCGCCGTGGCCGCCGCCGTTTTGGGGCATGCTCGTCGACGTCGACGCCTTCCGGCACGCGCACCGCACCGGACGCTTGCTTGCGTCGACCGTGGCGTCCTTGGATGCGCTGCGCTTTGTATGGGACACGGCCACGCACGAGTGGCAGCTGCGCCTCATGGCGCTGCAGCGGTACAAGGAACTGTACGGCGACGTGTCGATCCCGTACGGATTTCAAGTGCCAGCCGACGATCCGATGTGGCCCAAGGACCTGCACAAGGTCGCGCTTGGTCGCGTTGCCCACGAGCTGCGCGTCAACGCAGCGTCCTTGTCGGTCGTGCGGCGAAGCCAGTTGAGCGCGCTGGGTTTTATCTGGGACGTCGAAGAGCTCCAGTGGCGCATCTGGCACAAGGCCCTTCGCACCTTTTACCGCTTGTACGACCACGTCGAAGTCCCGTTCGAGTTTAACGTGCCAGACAAAAACCCGGCGTGGACGCCCGACTGCTGGACCGAGAAGCTCGGCGCTGTTGTCGCCGCGCTGCGTCAAGAGTCCCACGTGCTCACGGACGAGCGCAAGGCGCAGCTCGACGCCCTCGGCTTTGTGTGGGGCCCCGGGGCACGCACCAAGCCACCGCCTCGCGCGACACTTAACGCGAAGAAGAAACGTGTGTCTCGCCGCGAGTCGATGGCGATGCTGCCCCGGGTCACGGTGGTGCCGCCACCCAGCGCCCCGCCCGTCCTTCCTGCGTTCAACGCCACTCAGGTAGACGCTGCTTTCTGTCGACTTGTCTCATGCGTGGCCGTACTCTGCAGAGAGATATCGAGAGGCAGCGTGCGGTCGAGTGGCCGCGCTGCCTTCCCATGGAGGTTCTCCACCCCTTGGACGACGCGGTCGATATTTAGGTTCCTTAGCGATGCCCCTAACCACGCGAATAGTTTGTCAGGGAAAACCCATGTGGCAATAAGATGTTCCAGAGTCGCCTTCGCGTGAGCATGACGCCGCCCTCGCAAGGCTTGTCCCTGTTGGAGCTGCTGGCGAACGGTCGATCTCTGCTTTCCGGCTGCACACGTATGGCATGTGATCTTTGACGATGGGGCGTCCTCCTCAAAGACGATTGGACCCACGTGGCACGCTGTCGTTTCAAGACAACGACGAGAATTCGATACGAATTTGGAACACGCATGTTGGTGGTCCTGGCATAGCGCTACTTTGCCTCGCTATCTCATGCACGATCAAATCAAGTGCGAGGTATCCTTCACCGCGGTAGCCTTCGACAAGACGACCCTCTTGCTCTCTACTCTACTTCATTCCTCAACAAACCTCGTGCCGCAATAGCAACGCCATGCGCACCATCGCCTTCCTTGCCGCACTTGCGATGCCCATCGCCGCCGTCTCCTTGGCCGCGACCCCGCCGTGCTCGGAGAACTGGAGTCAGTGCAACGGACAAAACTGGCCCTTTGGCGTTTGCTGCAAGGACCCCAGCTTTGTCTGCAACAAGAAGAACGAGTACCTCTCCTTGTGCTCAAGAAGAAGGCAGAAATGGCCGCCGACGCCGCGGAAATCAACGTCTGGGGCCAGTGCGGCGGCAGCGGCAACTATCGATGCGCAGACGGCAGCACGTGCGTCAAGGTCAACGACGCGTACTCGCAGTGCCAGCCGACGCCGCCAAGTGCCAACGAGATTGCGACGTGGGGCCAGTGCGGCGGCAGCAACAACAACTTCAAGGCCAACGGCAAGACGTGCCGCGGCGCCGACACGCGCAAAGTGCACAACGCGTACTACTCGCAGTGCGTCCCCAAGAAGTAGAAAAACATCGCATCTATGAGTTAGTCGATTACTCACTCGCCATTCATACCAAAATGATTTTGAGAACTGATGGCCGACGGATGAACTTGCAGTGACACTTGCGCGCACCTGTCTGTGGCAACTATCTGGCGGGACCACTGGTCAATAAAAGCATAGGTGTTGACTGGCAGTCCTCATAAAGCATAGGCACTGGCGGATAAGCATCCGGATTGTATCTGAGAGTTTAGCCATTGGTGGCAATTCGGCCGAAAATAGGTCCCCTTATGGGGCAAAAATACATACAAACATCAGGTATATTTTATACGGCATCTATTTTGATCGTTCAACGGCGATAGTAGGTCAACTTTTGAAGGACATGTCGATGGACGACGGGACGATGGGACGGTAGGACGTCTTTTGGAAGTCGACCTTCTCTTCTTCGCCATATTAGGCACGTTTGTTAGTTGCCCACCATTTCAGTGCCTCGCCATGCCTATGGCGCTACGCAGGAGAAGCTAGAGTTACTGAAGGTAAGTCAGCTATCTAGAGCCCGAGTCTGTATGTCGCTGCAGCAAATAGCGAGGCGTTGCAGACAAAACCGACAACGCCATTTCGACACAAAAAGAACCATGCACGGTGCGGTGATGTCCTTCTACACCCCGATGAGCCGGCTCGCCGCCTTCACTGCCATCTTTTACATCTTGTTCGTCGACATCACGGGGTCGTTCGCGACCAAAGACAGCATCAAGGGCGTCTCGGAAGAGATGTTCAACCCGAGCAACCGCTACTCGCAGTCGTACATCCTCTTGTTTGTTCAGGCGCTCGTCACAAACAACCCGCTGCCAATGAACGCAACGACGGTGCTGCCGCCAGGAGCTGCGAGCCTTCTCTACTTGGACGCAACCGATCCAAGCAACCATTCAACACTCAGCTTCAACCGCGATGGATGCCTCCAACCGCTAAGCAGTGACCACATTTACACGTCATCGTACGTCGCAAAGGTGCTTCCGCTCATGCTTGACGGCCAGAGCTGGCATTCAATCAACCTCACGACCGACTGGGTCCTCGTCGACTGTAGTTACCAGGGCCGGACGCTCGGGGATACGACGGCATTCAAGGTTCACGTTCTCGACCGTCAGTTCTCGCGGCTCACGTCCATTGTGATTCAAACCATGGTGATCGTACGCCCAGTAAAGCAGTGGCGCGTGGCCTGTGGCACTGCAACCATCTCAACGATGGACTTGTCGGCCGTGCGCTGGCAAGACGGTGCGCTCACTTCGTCGCAGGAGGCCACGTACGATGTCATGGTCGGCACGGAGTTTCCCTATGTCGACTACCCATTCGACTATGTACGGCTGCTCAACCCCGCGAGCCGGTCCGGGGCGTGGGAGGC